CGATCAAGCGCAAAACATCCTCCACGAGTGCGGTGGCGCTCTCATTGGGGCAGTGTCCTGGACAGAATCAAGAATGCGGCTCTCTTTCGTTGATGTTGGCTGACGGATGCGCGCTTCAGCTTGATCTTGCAAACTTCCCATGACGTTAAGGAGGATCCATGGTTCTCAGACCAGCGCCGGCAGTTGCTTCCACGAGAAGTATAGGTTCTGCAGGAGCTGGTTGTCTGCGACACTGTCATATTGTTCAATCCAGTCCTTGACGTCTTCATACAGCTTGCGTGAAAAAGCGTCGGAGTGTGATTTGCGACGGGCATGCAAACAATGGTGTGAGGGGACACGGTTTGCTGCTACAGGTTTGTCATTGTTGGCTTAGTCAGCTTCGGATTTTCTGACAGGAGACCGAATTCCGGTGGTTTTTCCTGGTAGCAGCAACTGGCTCGGATTTCAGGTGCTTCGTGGTGTATTTCCGAGGTTACTCCTTGTGGTACTCGGTCGTCTTGCGGTTGTTCTGCCAGGCTCGGGTCAGGACTTTGCCTGCGGCTCGACAGGGGTATAAGACGCAGAATAGTCCGCCAGCCGTGTCCCATTATCGGGTAACTCGGCTGAAGAGCCGCCGGGTTCACACAGAGTGGAGGGCTACGGGTAAAGTGCCCAGCACCTCCACCTGAACACACGATTACAGCTGAGCATGACCTGCAGTGTCCCAGAATAGTGAATATTGATAGAAGATAGGACTGGAACAAGGATCCGTGACAGTATAACAAAACTAGCAGAAGAGAATCTATCCTCACCACTGAAGAAGCTGCATTGCTTTAGTGGCATTCTGTCCGAATAAATCCTCTCCTTCGGGGTTTGGCGACTGCCGTGGACGAACTGAACTGAAATGGATGTGGGACCACTTTTCTGGTAATGAGCCACTGCAGACTGTTGCCACAAAGCGGCGTGAGCTGGGTACGTAACACGCTCGGTGAAATGTCCGGACAGCTTGCAATTCGCGTAACGAGTGTGGATGAAACGTTTGTGTTGACGAAACGTGCGACAGACCAGCGGGATCAATGCCAACTGCAACACCTGTGCTCCGTGAAAGTGCACGTCTACGCCGGAACAATTTTGGAAGCAGCACAGCATCACCTAAAGCATGGCACAGGAACTACCAGCTTGAAGGCAGCTCTTCGGTGCGCCGCACACCTGTGCTCCGTGAAAGTGCACTTCTACGCCGGAACAATTTGTAAGCAGCACAGCATCATTCAGCACGGCACGGGAACTACCAGCTTCAAGGCAGCCTTCCGGTGCGCCGCACAACCGAAGTGAGCCCTCGGTCATTTGATCGAAGCTGCACCACGATTGCACACCGCCAAGCACGACTCACGCAATTTCCGTCGCTAAACTGTGTATCCAAATATATTGCACACGCTTCACTGCAAACCTCGAAGATTCCGATGGTCAACGAGAGCACAGAAACGTCGCCTTAAATTTTATCCTAGCGGTATCCGAATCAATCCGAGGTCCGAGCAACGTAGGTCAGATTGTCTCTTCCGTGGCAATATCCCGGTCGGTCACCAGCGAAATGCACACCGTTTCTCCGTATTTTCACGTTATACCTACGTCAAACACCACGCTGAACTCTGAACTCGCTTTCGACCGGCCTCATATGACGGCTCCCGCGTCTGAAATCAACTCGCCGAGACGAACGACAACCAACAAAGCATCCGACAAGCTCCGGCCCAGCTGGGGCCAGCCGCTGCATGGGCGCTGCCATCTTTCCTGTGACGTCACGTATTTGGTTTGGTCATGTGACGTGTGGTCAAATTTGCGTACAATGGCTGCCTCCCTTATGGGGGTCACTTTCGAGTGCAGACCGGAACCCCGGTTTATCGCTCCAGAGCCGTATATGTAGAGAGTTTGGTCAATGGGAGGCGCGGGCAGAGCCAGGGCGTGCGGCAGACTCGGAAAGAGGGCTTGGCATGCTCTCTTGACCAACCAGAAGCCGAAAAGAATCCCCTAGCGGTGGTAGCGAGAAACACTTCTGAGCCGATAGATCATCGAAGGTCTCTGTTCGTATATGGTTTAAATAAGTGCGTAAGAGTGAAGTGTAGTAACTCTTTGTGGTTGAAAATAGGGTGCACGTGTTGTTTCATCATGATCATGCAGAAAGATGTAAGAAACGAATGCGCCGCTCAACTCTGTTTTGCGCGGACAGAGTGTGACCACTCTGACGACAGATTCCCGGCGCTCGGCGTTTGGCGTAAGGATTATGTCGATCTTTCTGCTAGTCGCACTCTTCCACCATCATTTTAGATGAGTGTGATTGAAACATCACGTGTACCATATTTTCAGCCATCGAGAGTTACTCCAATGCAGTTATCAGGTTTGTTTCTCGCGACCACCGCCAGGGTATTATTTCCGGCTTCTGGTTGGTCATATTCGAATTTCTGAAGACGCCCTGGAACACGCCCAGCCCGCTTTCGGCCAATGGCGCCGCTTCATTTGTCTCCTATACTTCCCAACGAATGGCCAAACTCTCTACATATACGGCTCTGTATCGCTCTAAGCCCCTCTACCTCGTTGATGAAGGCACCCTAGTAGCCATGGCATGGAGGCATGTGGCAGACAGGATAATCAAGTGATTTCATCAGGAGTAAAACGCCCTGGTTCTGCCTTATTACAGTAGCCGCCATCCCACCATTTTCCTCATCTTACTCGCAACTTTTGCTCCTGACATCGCCGACATCATCTGAAAATTCAGACGATAACGAGGCAAGCGCGGTTGACGAGCAGTCTCTCCGTTTTCAGTCAAGGCCATGGGCGCGCAGGCGCATTAGCGGTTTCTTCGTTGCGGAGGGCTTAGCGGAGGGGGAAACGCGGACTACGAAAACTTCCTAATGCGCAGCAATAGGGAGTTTTCGTCGACCGCGTTTCCCCCTCCGCTAAGCCCTCCGCAATCCGCTACGATACCCGGAGCTGTACAGTCAAGGCCATGGACGCGCAGGCGCATTAGCGGTTTCTTCGTTGCGGAGGGCTTAGCGGAGGGGGAAACGCGGCCTACGAAAACTTCCTAATGCGCAGCAATAGGGAGTTTTCGTCGACCGCGTTTCCCCCTCCGCTAAGCCCTCCGCAATCCGCTACGATACCCGGAGCTGTACAGTCAAGGCCATGGACGCGCAGGCGCATTAGCGGTTTCTTCGTTGCGGAGGGCTTAGCGGAGGGGGAAACGCGGCCTACGAAAACTTCCTAATGCGCAGCAATAGGGAGTTTTCGTCGACCGCGTTTCCCCCTCCGCTAAGCCCTCCGCAATCCGCTACGATACCCGGAGCTGTACAGTCAAGGCCATGGACGCGCAGGCGCATTAGCGGTTTCTTCGTTGCTGAGGGCTTAGCGGAGGGGGAAACGCGGCCTACGAAAACTTCCTAATGCGCAGCAATAGGGAGTTTTCGTCGACCGCGTTTCCCCCTCCGCTAAGCCCTCCGCAATCCGCTACGATACCCGGAGCTGTACAGTCAAGGCCATGGACGCGCAGGCGCATTAGCGGTTTCTTCGTTGCGGAGGGCTTAGCGGAGGGGGAAACGCGGCCTACGAAAACTTCCTAATGCGCAGCAATAGGGAGTTTTCGTCGACCGCGTTTCCCCCTCCGCTAAGCCCTCCGCAATCCGCTACGATACCCGGAGCTGTACAGTCAAGGCCATGGACGCGCAGGCGCATTAGCGGTTTCTTCGTTGCTGAGGGCTTAGCGGAGGGGAAACGCGGCCTACAACTCCGTAATGTCAAAAGCGCAACATCATGGTATTCGTCATCCTTCTGTAGGTGTTCCTTTATCGTCTAAAGTTCTAAACCAACCAAGCGCAGCGAATGCCTTGCGACTTGAGCTTTTAGGGGTGTGCGTGTGTGCGTGCGCGCGCGCGCGTGTGCTCGAACCTTCGATTGCGCTCTTATCCAAAACAAACTATACAGCGAGTAGGCAAGCTCAATACATACTTGTACTGTTTGCCTTTTTTTCTTTTCTAAACATTAGGACCAACAAATCATTTGAGAGCAGCTCTTACCGCTCGTCCACAATGAAGGCGGGTCCACGTTCGCAACCGCTTTGCGAACGCGGATCCGCTTCCAGCGTGAATGAGCGGTTTAGGGCGTTTTCAGATAAGATCGAACAACCATGACCATTCTTAATTTTGACGAAAAAGATATTATGCTGACTCCATGCCAAGAAGAAGGATTGACAAAAAGTATCAGAGTATTAGAGTCGTTGTTTTGAGAAGCAAAATCGCAAATTCTGCAATAACGCTCTGGATCATGTTCTCAATCTCGGAACTTGCTGGAATTCTCTCCATCCGGCTCAAAATCAGTGTCCCGAGGGCCCTTGGAGATCCTCAATGGTCTATGGCACTTTCCTCAATACTTGGGTTGTTTCAGAGTGCTAATGCTCCCAAAACAAAACAAAAATTAGAAGCAAAGAAGATTCCAGTTCAAGGTACGTCTTTCCACCGTGCAAATATAATGTTTATAGTTCACCAGTGACATAATAGCAACTCCTGCAGTGCACGCAGTTTCACATTTAAATGGCCACTTTGAAATGTGTAGTCATCACCACACGTGTACGGCAACAACCGCCAAATGAGGACACTTGTCTTAACCTCCACCGCCAGAGTTCATACTCAGTACTAGGTATCAACCATCTAATAGAAGACCAACAATTTTTACAAACAATTTTTGTGTGTAGGTAAGTCATTAGAAATAATACTGAAGCTACCTTCATGATTCTATAAATGGGGTATTAGATGTACTTATGGGGGGGGGGGGGGGGGAGGAGAGGGGAGGTTGTAGGAAATGGCCTATTCACTCCCATAAGTTTGTAGAGAAACATTTTATTCGCAGTATTTTGTTAACGTTATATCTGTCTTCCAAACAGCAACCACCATGCAGCAGCAGGGCCTCTGCCAACAAAGCAAGTGCTGCAATGGTCAACGAACACCCTTTACACCGCAGTTGCCATCAGGCTTCGAAAATGCTTAAATAAGAAACAGCCTTTATTCTCGGGTTCAGCCCAGCTGAGCCGGTCAATTAGCGGGCCCGCTAGCGCACCGTCTGCACAATGTCGTCGATCTTGAGGATGCTGCGCACAGTCTCCGCAGCCAGCGTCACGGCACTGGTGGACACCAGCAGCGGCTGCACCACATTCTCCTCCAGGATGTTGGTCACCGAGCCCTGCGGGGGTGGCGAGAGCGGCTCAGCAAGGTGACCGCCCAGACAGACGACCCTCGGAACCATGCCGGAACATAACGGGCGTGTCCGTGCCGACATTTCATTGGCTCACTAGAGCCCATGATGCACCCGTAAAGAGAGGCCTGTAGCATTCTGTTTACTCAGGATAACTATGTTTACCACATGGCACCCATTTCACACTAAGTACCAAACCGCTCTCGTACAGTAACTGGGGGATGGTGTGTCGATACTTTAATCAGGGGTCTCAAACTTGTTTGAGTGTGGGGGGCCAGACTTACCACCCCCAAATTTTTGAGGGCCAACAGAGGCAAAAAGATGGCATTTTACGTTGCAAAGCAGCTGAGTCTTTCAGCGACACCCAGAGATTTCCTAAAGAAGGGGTCTCGTGCCATTTGCTTCTTGTAAAATAGCCATTTTACCAGTTCAATCTTTAGCTTTGATTTATTATAAACAACTACTACTTTGGGTTTATACCTAATGTGAGTACAAGATTTGAAATACCAACACCCAGGCAATGTGCTACAATTTTTCAATACAGCTAGGAACCAAGCACCCAATTGTTACCATGTCGCTCGATTCACTCGGTAAGTATCAAAGTTCAGTACGTCTCGAAAAAAATTCTTTTTATACGGTAGTTCGCGCTTTCCCGACGATATTTACAGCAGAAATACAGAGGTAAATATAATTAGGCCACACAGATAATGTACACATATGAACCCGAATACAACTTAATACACGTCATACCTTGCGGACATTGATGCCAGCATCCCGCTCCCCCTTCGCGTGACGGTTGCGCAGCTCCGTCACCGTCGCGATGGGGTGCAGGCCCGCGTTTTCCGCCAGGGTGTAGGGCACCACCTCCAGGGCCTCCGCAAACGCCCCCACGCAGTACGCGTCCAGCCCCGACAGGAGACGGGCGCGCTCTGCCAGCCGCAGGGATATCTCCATCTCGGGGGCGCCGCCGCCGGCAATCAGCGCCCGCCGCTTCACCAGGCAGCGCACCACGCAGAGGGCGTCGTGCAGCGAGCGCTCCGCCTCCTCTAGCACCAGCTTGTTGGAGCCGCGCACCAGGAGGGTGACCGTGCGGCCCGGGTGTGCCACCCCGGTGACCCGGATGTACTTGGCGCTGCCCGTGGCCACCTCCTCCACCAGCTCGGCGCTGCCCAGGGCCTCGGGGCCGAAGTGGTCCAGGGAGGCCACGGGGCGGCAGCCCAGGCTGCGGCAGACGAACTCCACCTCCTCCCGCTCGATGTCCCGCACCACCAGGATCTTCATCTTGGCCAGGAAGTGCAGGGCCAGGTCGTTCAGGGCGTCCCTGCGGGCACGGCGCGTCTCGTCAGCGCACGCCACGGGCCTTTGGCGCACTATTTTTTTCAGAGACTGGCAACTCGTTTAGCATTTATCGTAGGCCTCTTGCATCCTATCATACGTTTGATTACTCTCCAGATGTGCGCATATGCTTTTGTCCCTCGTCCCTCCCCCCTCCGACCTCAACCAACAACGGTGCATGCTTGCCTGCCTCATCATCGCACTTTCTTTGTGCATGCTCTATGTTGCCCTTTGATTGGCATTTCGATGCGCCAGAGACGTACTTCGAAACACTTGCTCTTCGTTTACTGTCTCGCATCAAAAGGGATCCCAAATAGGTACCGAATGACATCGTGGAAGCTGGCATGTCATTTCGTTTGATGTCGCAATCCCGGCAGTTGGTCGTTAAAGTTACGGCAAAAATGACCAAACAGTATCACTAATGTTGCAGTGTCCGAACTCTTGGTTACGAAAGCTTCTGTCACCGACAATGACCTGTAGTACACTCAGATTCTGAGATTGCGGTTCTCGCCCACCGATGCAGAATACTCCGCCCAAAAGCTCGCCAGAGACGTCCGCAACGGCGGGTTGAAGGAAGCCTGCCCGTCAGCATCAAGTACACCAATCACCGAGACATCAGAGTTGTCCTAAGGCGATGTTTGTATGTCATCATTCGGGCGGGCAACCATTGCGCTGGATGTCCGCGTCGGCAACTGTTGCCGAATTTGGTGGTTGCGGTTTCCCCGCCCGGTCCTCTTCGTCGAGAGAGGGAGCCCACCTGAGGATGGACTTCTGGATCAGCAGCACGTTGCAGCCGGCCTTCTTGATCTGCTTGACGATGTTGAGGATGTAGGCACGCTCTTCCCGGAGCACCCGGTCCATGGCCGTGTAGTCAGACACTATCACCTGGTGGTCCATCTGGGGGGGACGGCGAGAGAAGCGTCCAAAAGCAATCAGCACCGAGACATGACCGGGTCCCGTCAGAAACCCCGCCACACTGCTGCCAACACGCTCCAATGCGGAGCGCAAGTTCGTGTGCTTCTTGCACAGGGGTTACGATGACGCCAAAACGCCGAGCTCTTAATGGCCGATAGAAAAAATAACGGGTACACCTCAAGGCATCTAGCATTCAGGTTTACCCACTATCCTCCCAATCAAAATCAATTAGAACTCAGTATCATTCTGACGTCACCGTAAATCCTTCGCAGGAAGCAGACGACTTGCTCTCCGCATTACGTTCCCCATCACAATCCGTCGTTGGGGTTCCCAGCTGCCCGGCTTTCAACCGTCAGCTTGCAGTTTTTTTTTTTTTTCTGTAACTATCTAAGTGCTTTCTTTATTTTAAATCATTAAAGCAAAAACAAGCAAAAGAAAGTGCTTGCAAACAAACTGTTGAGGACTGTTAAGAGAGCTCGTGAGCGAGCTTGCTTGAAAAACGACAGCATCATTAAAAATCTCTAAGCGGGTGCGGTAGCAAGCGGGCAAATGGGAGGGAAAGCGGAGAAAGCAGAAAGTCAGTCCTTGCGGGGGTGCAGGACACATGGAACCAATTTTGGGGGGTTTTTTTTGCCAGGACCCGAGAATATGCTAAAACATGCTCCGGCTGTCTCCAGGAAAGGCCGACAAGTTGTGACAGGCAAGCAGATAAAACAACAAACAAAAACCCCACTAACCTAATAAAGTGTATAAGTTAACTTGGACAAATCTTATTCTAAATTGATTCCCTTTTAGGATGCTCTTACCAAAATAAATTGAATATGTATATTAAAGACTGTCAACACTTTTCCTTGTTATCAATTTAATCCCACATAACTCGTTCACCAATGCCATTTTCGCCAGCTCGGGGAGAGACAAATTAAATATTGCTCTCGCGGTGAACAAAATCGGACCCCAGGAGTCACCGACGACCGAGAGCCATTGATGGCTCCTCCAACAAAGAAAGAAAGGCAAGGCCACTCACGTCCGTTTTGGGCGGAGAGATGCAGAACTGGATGAGTCCGATCCGGGCCTTCTCCACCCGGTGAGGTCCACCCGACCCGGCCAGCCGCTGGGTGAACACAAGTCCGTCCACCAGCTCCGTATCTTCCACCGTGCCTCTGAGGGAAAACGAGCCGCCACTCAGCGTCCACCCTCCACGGAATCAAGTGCACCCTTTCCCCTCTATCGTGGCAAGAGCAGTGGTAGCACAAAATGTGATGCAGTGCCCTGCTAGATGTGATTGCACACTAAAGGTTCTCACGCCGCACTGCGGCTTCCTCGTAAACAACCCAATCCAAAATATAAAAAAAAAAAAAAAAAAAAGTGACGTGTTTGCTGAAAGTTTGGAGTCCGCTTGTCTAAAATATGTTAGGATTAGAGCATGTCACCGGCATTGCTTTGTGCTTGACGACGTGACGTGACGAACGGGAGTAACTCTTATCTACACAAGCAAGATATTCGGCTGGCACTTGCGTGCAGTCAGCAAGGAGACGAACGCTGTGTCAACGTTTGGCTTGCAGTCACATATTATTTTTTCCCTTTCAGAAACGGCGAAGTGCCAGCCACACGCGTTAAAAAGAGGCGTCGTCCTCACCCCAGCTTCCTGATGACCTTGATGTCCCTCAGGTCCACATTGGTGTCCCTAGTTGGGTCCACCACCCGCAGCACCGCATCCACCGCCATGGGTGCCAGCTGGCCCGCGTGCTGGGACACCACCTTGGACGACAGGGCCGTCGTGGCGCTCTTCAGCAGGGAGTCCCGGTCGGACAGGTCCAGCGGGTGCGCCATCGACTCCAGCACCTCCACTGCCATTGAGGCCGCCCGCTGGAACGACTCCGAGATGATCGTCGGATGGATGCCTGCAGATGTGAAAGCGTCCTAAACCGACGGAAGCTGGCCCTTCCCTGTTGCTTAAGCGCTCGAGATGCATGTCTACGGCTTTCACACTACAAGGACGGTTCCCACACTTGTGACTGCTTGCAACCATGTGCCTTAAAACTTCTTTCAACTAAAGAAGACATTGGCACCGTCTATCAGTTAATGTTACTTAACATTTCCATATATATATATATATTTTTTTTTTTAAATTTTGATTGAAATTTTCTTTTTTTTACGATGTTGTAAACAATTATTTCTTATAGATAGTATGTGCACCTGACCTTGCAAATACCGTAAAATCTCCACTCTAGTGAAATGCAGTTCCAGGGCCACCTCAATGATGGCAAGATCAGAAGAAGCACAAGCGTGTGAACGGGCTTCGTGTTCCGATAGACTCACTAAAGTTGAGCTTAGAGTATTGGCACTCCATTTCCCGACTTTTGTGGGCACTGCAACTGTGGCAATTGGCGCAGAGCGGCTGCAACCATGCCACAGTGGCGTTCCCTGGAATTTCAGATGAGGCTTCAGATAACTGGCAACATTGATTGTAAGCAACGAGGTAGCCAAAGCACCATTACTCTCAGGCGCAGCTTTTCTGGCGGCTTTAGTTCCAGCGAAAGGCATCCCGGCGACTCGGAAACGAACCCATAGTCAAAGAACAATCCGGTCCAAGCAGAAGCCTGCCCGTCATCATCAAATACACCGATCACCAAGACATCAGAGTGGTCCCAAGACGATGTTGCACGTCGCTATTCGGGCAGACGGCAAAGGGTCGCGTGCCATTCGTGCGGCAGACCGTAACAAAGAATTTAGGATGATGCTAAGGCTGTGTCTCCTACCAGCCGTCTGGCCCCACTGGGGGCACCTAAAGATCCCCCAAAAAAGACAAAGTAGGCTCACCCTTGAGGAGCAACTTGGCCGCAGCATCCAGCAGGCTGCCGCAGATCACCACCACCGAGGTGGTGCCGTCTCCAGCCTCCACGTCCTGTGCCTTGGACAGTTCCACAAGCTGAAAAGAAGAGGGAGGTCACCCCACAGCCAGGAAAGAACCCTGCTGGCAGAGACATCAATAGGCCTTCCATTTCTGGGAAACAAATATAGAAAAGAAAGATAAAAAAAAAACTCTAATGACATGGTGAAAAGTAAAAAGCTGACTGATCTGTTTAAAAGGCACCCACCATCTTGGCAGCGGGGTGCAGCACTTGCATCTGCTTCAGGATGGTGGCCCCGTCGTTGGTGATAGTCACGTCACCGTTGGCTGCCTGGATCTGCGTCCAAAAGCGAATAGCTTCGATGAGCATCCCCCGAGACAAGCGGGAGCCCTCAATCTATGTAGAATCATAGTGACTTGTGTCTGTACAAACCAGTACCGAGAGCAAAGTGGTTGATTGCAAAAAAAAGAGCAGAAAAAAAGAAGTTGAATGATGCACGGTGTCTTGTGTCGTTCAACTTGATTTGTACTTGTGTTTTTCAATGCTTTTTCTAAACATCAAGGACGCCAGAGGTCACTCCAAAAAAAGCCAACAGTCGTTGGCTTCATTAGTTATGGACCCCGTCCTTTTGGGAAAAAGGCGATGCAATACTCGTTTTCAGCTGAAGGAAAAATGAGGTTTTGCGCATTGTTCATATGTTGCGCAAATTAGTTCTTATAAGATATGGCTGAGGGAGGAAGGAGCTATGCTTTGGGCATTTGAAACATGTACATCCTGATAAGGTAACATATCTAATCTCCACAAAAAGAGGAAAATTATACTCGCAGTCAACTTCGCACATGTACGGCGGTTGGTGCACCCTCTCCCCTAGCATTGACTAAATTGCCACAGAAAGCTGACCGCAAGTATAGTAATAGGAAATTAGCAATGCTCAGCGAGGAACCGGACTTCTTTCACAACGGTTCTTGAGGCGAAGACTAGTATGGTTCTACTTGTACTTTTGTTTTGGCTAAAGCCACAGATCACAAACTGATATTTCGTGTTACCCAGAACTTGTCCAATGGCAACAGATCTGACTGGCATTCGGCGCCATGACTGAAGAAGTTAAAAAGCTTTATATGCCCAAATGAAAACGCTTTTACTCGACGCTTCTGAAGCAACTGAGGCACCCGTCATGGGCGAGTGTCGCCCGTTCCGCCCCCTAGTCACGGAACAGTGCGGTCCAAGGGAAGCCTGCCCGTCAGCATCAAGTACACCAATCACCGACGGATCAGAGTTGTCCTAAGGCGATGTTGTATGTCATCATTCGGGCAAACAACCATTGCACCAACACTCGGTAGCTTGTAGGAGGCACTTCGGAGAACAGTTCTCAAGATTATCGATCAGTATGTCTATCGTGTGGCTCTGACATTTTGACCGATGTAAAAGCTACGCTGCAGTAACTTCTGTAGCTAGCGAAAAGTGAACTTTGACGAAACACTGCACCAAACAGAACCCCTCCAACAGCTCATGGGAATAATCCATTTGTTTACCAAAGAGAGGTACGCACCATTTTGTCCATACCCCGTGGGCCCAGGCTTGTTCGAATGGCATCTGCTACAGCTGAAGAAGAAATAAACTATAATAAGTAAAAAAAAAAAAATCGGACAACGGTCATCTGCGCCGGTTTCTCAACGCCCACGCCGGCCGGATGCCATATCACCAAATAAGGCAGAAAAGACCACACCCCAGATGCTAATACTATGCCGCCCAGCCTCAAGATAAAGGCCTACGTAGTGTGGTCAGGGCAATTTGGGTGCCGATCCTGAACTCGCATTTTTGATCGTCGAAACATCCGAGCTCCCTAGGCTCAAACGTTCCTACTTTGTCATGGGGCGGTATTGACATCCCAAAACGAAACAAACTTAGCGTTGCGCACACACTGGAGCTCCATTATTGTTTGTCTTATGTCGACCCGGCGTTTTTGAACGTGTTCATTGATGTTGGGCAAGACTGTGCTCGCGTCCGTGGTTCGATCAATGGACATGTGGTACCAGTGTAGGCCTAACGGGCTCGACGCACCTTTGGCGGCCGTGATGTTGCTCTGGCGAACCTGGGACGGTTTGTCCTTGTCCTTGTAAGTCGCCTTTTCGCCCGCTCCACCGGAGCTTCGGAACGGTGCCGCCTTCATGGTTCTAGTCGTCAGGGATGCTCAACCGAGCAACAGTTTGACCCAAACACTGACCACGCCAAACAAGGACTGATTCGCACACTTCCCAGCACTACACAAATCAGCGGGCTAGCAGCACCGGCATAAAGATCCGCAGTGAATGCTAGTAACTGGCAAACATTTAGTATTTCAAAAAATATTATTATACTTTTTTATTTATATTTTATTTTTATCCACGTATCTATGATAATAAAATTGTTAATAATTAGTTTTCCACATCTTCTTTTTTGTCACGTGACCAGTAACACGGCTTGACTGGCTTGACATGAAACGAGCCGCTCAAGCACCCGCGCGCTTTTTCCATCGGTTGGCGCCAGTTTCGCCGATCGAGATATGTTAGATGTGTCGTACTAACACGAATTAACGGCGATGCTCTGATTTTTGTAAGCGTTTATAAAACAGAAAACTGTATAATGACGACGAGCGTGCTCAAGGCGCTTCGCTGCGAGGAATACAAGTCTCGGTCAGGTAAGCGGCGTCCAAGCAGTTATCGGTCCTTTTATGACATCGCCCCAGGACGCTTGAAGTCAGACTTTTACGGTCTCGCAGACGGCGATTAGACGGCGACATTAAAACTGTGATAAAATGGACTCGGGTGAAAGATTTCTGATGTGGTACACAATCCCAACTGCGTCCGTTGTGTCGTTTTTGATCCCTAACGGAAGTGTGCTCGCACCACCATTGTCGACCCTTGGACACTGGGTGCGCCCTCCGATACGATCTCCGATACGATCTTCCGTGGTGGCAGCCACCTTTACTATGGGTTTCCGATTCGTAACCGATGTCAAGGGTCTCATTTAAGAGTAACGGCTTTTGTGCAAGTGCCAACGGATTTTCCTTTTTGCAGTTGGCCGCGCGGCTTTTGCCACCTACTCGGTGTTGCGAAGGCTCCACTCCAGGCTCGACAACGAATTCGGCATCGAGAACCAGGTGAGAGTCTTTAAATTGGACGTGACTGTAGACCGTGCGACCGCCCGAAGGAAACCTTCGTGCCGGGATAAGTTTAGGGCTGACCTTTTGTGAAAGTCGCTAGGGTGGGGTAAACCCAGGTGCCTCGAGGCTACACGGACGAACAACTTACCTTTCGCTACGGTTGCATCACTCTACGGCCACCAGCACAGTCGTCGTGTGAATTGCTTTGAAAGTAATGTGTTGCTTGTATACAGGAAGGCTTTTCACTTTGATAATGTAGTGATTGCGCAGGCGAGCTGGTGGATATTAACCATTTTGTTCTTAGCCCGAGACTGAGGCAGGAGGAGAGGAAAGTTTCAAGGTAGAAGAAAAATGAACGGTGATGATTCCACTTTTGAAAATGAAATGAAATGATGATTCCACTTTTGCTTGCTCGGCCGTCTCCTGCAGTTAGGGAGAAGAGGATGCTGAGATCTTCTGCCTTGCAGAAGATTGTGTTCATGCGCTGTGCTAAATAAAAAAGAAGACTGAGGAAGAAGTGTGTGGAAAAGACCAATATGTTGTGTATACTCCGTGAGTCAGCATAACACAACATTCTCTTCTCCCATATCATACGTTAGCTTTGCTATTTCCGTAATGTGGATCGTCTTATGGTGTTCCACTGGAAGGACCAATAGTTGCCTGCTCAAATGATGACACACAACATCGCCTTAGGACAACTCTGATTTGTCGGTGATTGGTGAACTTGATGCTGATGGTCAGGCTTCCATTGGTGACCTTACCTTGGAGAATCGTTAGAAAGACTCTCGAAGTGAGTAACAAGCAATCAGCAACTTGAGTAGTACCGGACGGTGACTCTGCTGTCACAACTTCAAAATTATATTGGAAGATTTTGTTCAAATCCAGGAATGATGATTCACTCTTTTCAGGGCAGGGAGGTTCCTCCGCTGGCATGCACCTTCTTCCCAGGTGAGTGTTCACTATTGCAACACGGTGGTGCTTGACCAGGCCTTTCAAATAGCATGGCACTCAATACTTAACAATTTTGGAGTTTGACAACCAGTCTCTCCGAAACCCGCAAGACTGGTGTATCAATATCAAAAGTTGCCGGGCGTCAGGTATTTCTCGCAGGGCGGTGCATGACTACCCAGTTTTGAATCATTGCAGAGCGCAAGTTCGTCTGCTTCTTGTGCAGGAGTTGCGGTGAGGTCAGGTTGCCGAGCTGTGATTGGCTCTGATTGGAAGGATAGTGGGTCGACCACAAGGCAGCTAGCATTGAGGTCTATCTGCTATCCCTCCATCACAGCCAATTGGAGATCGGCGCTTGACGTCCCCGCAGCCCCTGTGCAAGAAACAAGCAAACTTACACAGCTCACAAGGGTATGTTGGTTGCTCACAAAAAAGCACAGCATGCAGTTACAGGAGACAAGAGAAGTAATTCGGAGTGATTCAAGTTGACCCATGAAAGGCAGGGTAACGTTGAGGGGAGAAATGTGTTGACAAAGGCTATTTTGCATACTCTTCCGCATCCGTACAGCCTGATTTTGAATTTTTATGTTTATTAGCAGATCTATAAAGTTATTAAGACAACAGTCGTACAAGTCCAAATGGAAGAGAGCCAATTCGAGTATTGTTGCTGCATTGTTGGCATTATCGAGGGTTTCCAACTTTCCTTGAAAAACCCCTGAAAAAGAAAAAAAAAAGTTTTTTTTAACAATCTGGTGGGGACACACATGTCAAAAAATTAATTTTACATGTAAAGAAAAAATTTTTTAGAGCAATATTGACAGCACGAGATTTATTTTAAATTTTGTGCTCAAAGTTCATGCCATCACGGAATGGTCATACACGCTTTCCACCTCCACGAGATGGTCACAAACTCTCTCCTCAATGTGATGGTCAAGCCGATCCACCTCTCCTCCACGTGCCCGAAATGCCAAGAGAAAACAAGTGACTACCGACTAAATTGCGTCTTGCGCCGTCGATATTGCTCTGAACAAACTTTTTTTTTTTGCGTAAAATTACTTTTTCAACATGCATGTCCCAACCACTGTTTAAAAAGAAAATCTTTTTTTTTTTCTTTTTAGGGGTTTTTAAGCCAGGTAATTTGAAATCATGGGTTCGGCCAACGCCTTTCGGGTGGCTGCCGGTCGCTTTATCAGGATTAGTTGCTGTTGGTGCAGGCTAGTCGCAGTCGCCATGGTATTTACTCTAAAACTTCTACTTGATATATGCCGGCTGCTCGTCATGGCTGGTCGGATCTGTTCAGGGGTGGCCCAGCAGGACTTGGTGGCGGTGGCGGATGAAGACGGACGCGTCTCCCTCTTCAACTCTGGCGCTGAACGAGTGACTAGACTAACCAGTAAGTCGCACCTCCAACGTCTTTCTCGGTGCAGACAATGCCTTTCATGAATTAATGTCCCTGGCTGCAAGCAGACCCTATGACTAGCATGCACAAGGTGTGGCAGTAAACTAATGAGACTGATTTTCTTTTTACAAATCAAGATTATTCCCTTCAAAATAGTTCCCTTGGGCAGCTACACACCGACGGAGGCGCTGTTTCCCTTGTTCGTAGCAGTGCCGGAAAGCTTCTGCTAGAATGCCTTTCGGCTCATCGGTTAGGCTGTTCTGGATATTATTTGAAGTACCAAAATGGCGCCCTTTCAGGTGGTCCTTGAGCTGGGGGAATAAAAAGAAGTCACAAGGACTCAGACCGGCAAATAGGAGACTGGAGAATGCCTTTTTCTTCCATAAAATTCATTGATGGAGGTTGCCGTGTGACTTGGGACGTTGTCATGGTGCAGCATCCAAGTGCGTGCAATGCCTGGTTGCACACGTGCCACCCTCTTCCTGAACCTTTCAAGGACTTTCGGTAAAAATTTTCATTGACAGCTTGTACCGGAGGCACAAATTCTTTGCGAGCGGTACCCTGACTGTCGAAAAAACAAATGAGCGTTGATTTGATTGTCAATTTGATGGCACAATGTTGCTCAAAATATTTCCGATCCATTTTTGTTACTCACCTCACGCTCACGACTTTGATTGACACGTTCTCAACAATTGCGTAGCAATTGTAGCAAATTAAAAGTTATACCGACTTCGCGGCAGGGGTTAACCTAACTGCCATATGGAGAAGGAAACAATAGCATTGTCGGATCGTGCACATTGTTGCCAGTCTCATTGCTTTTCTGCCACACCTTGTAATGTTTTCTACTGCTTGTTAGCTGGAGCTGTTTGCGGCCTCGTTGGGAGGAGTCTTCTGTCGCGATTCTGGTTCTTCTGAAACAGTGTGCAGTCATTCAGATGGGAACATCTATATGTCAAGTGGATGGCCAGTCAAAGTTGTATCAATGGGCACAAAGCAGAAAGCCCATGACTTGCATCAACTTTTGGATGGGTCTGAACTCCAAGCCGACCAGTGTTCCTAGGCTGCGTCTAACGTTGATGGCAACAGGTCCAGTGGCCAAGTGCTTTATCATGTGGCATGCCACAGCATGGAGCAAATGCAGGGGAGAGCTTGCGGTGCAGAACTCGGGGATCCCGAGTTCGATTCTTGCTCCTGCCCATTTCGATCTGGATGAATATTGTACTACTCTGTGTTTTGTGTGTCACTAGTGCATGGTGCACATTAAAAAGAGCCCATTTTTTTTTCTCTATGTGGGTGTACAGTCCGTGCCTTTCCAGTAACATTTTTCCGTGGTAAAAGGAGGTCCTTATAAGCTTGTAACAATGGTGACAGCATTTGAGGTTCTGTTATTGGTTGGACAACACCGTAGTATTAGTTGCCCCTGAAAAAAGTTTATTGCTTGGTAACTGTGTGGATGGACTGAGGGTGCTTGTTGTTACGCAGCTTGGGCGGCCCACGACAATGCGGTGTTTGAGCTGGCAGTGCGCCCCTGGCACGGCCACCTGGCGACTGCGTGCGGGGACCTCTCAGTCACCCTCTGGGACATCGCGAGGCGGGACAAGGTGGCCGTCTTCCAGGCACACACGGGCAGCGTCAAATGCGTCTGCTTCGCCCCACACTCCCCGGGTACGACAACCTGGAATTACGTTCACACGCTTGCGTTTGCTTACGAACGAGTTCTCTTGATCTCTTACGATGAGAGAACACTCTGGCGACATCTATGAGGTGGTCCTGAAACTGCATTTCACTAGGGCAAAGGTTTTGCGGTACTTGCGAGATCCAGTGCACATACTGTCTATGGGAAATGGTGGTTTATAATATTGCCAAAAGTTTTTCGAGCCTGGAAAGAAAGAATGATGCGTGATATAAGTTCGACATATACAGAAATGCCTTCCACGCATGCACAAAGCCAGAGGAGAAGGAGCCCATGGGGCCCGCACCCCCCCTCCTTCCCTCAAATCAAAATCCTGGCTACGTATCTGCTTCCACGTTTACCCGGTAGATGGCACCAGTCTGTTCTTTTCTCATAAGAGGTTTTAAAGCACACGGTCGTAAACAGTCGCAGGTGTGCAAATGGATCTTGGACTATGTAAATATAGGTAATGACCTCGAGGAACTGTTGGACATAAATGGACCCGACAACTTGCTGCTCTGGCTGTCTGTGCGGACCCTTTGTGAAATAGTGCTTATGAGGCTTGACTTTTTTTTTCCTCCCCTACTCTTCCTTTTATTTCTATTGATTTTTTCTTCCCTCGACAATTTTACTTTTCACCGCAGGGATTCCTAAACCTTTTGATATTAAGGAACACAATGTTGCTTGACTGTTAGCCGAGGAACCCGCTCCCTGTCCTGGCATTGATACATTAATGCAGTGCAGAAGCCTATAAGCAAAGCAAAAAATAATGCACACACTGAGGGTGTTTGGCTCACAAATGGGCATCCACTAAAATAAAGCATAAACTGAAAATCACCTCGTGGGGACAGCTGATAAAGTTTGGGAGATGCTTTGGCAGAACGAGCAAAAATAAGATTATCCCTTGGCGATGGATAAGCCTGCTTACGAGCTCACTGGAGCTCGTAAGCAGCATAATTTTAGCAAGACTCTGGCTAGTTGGTTTGTGATACTGAGTAAACTTGTACGCACAAGCACAGGACAAAAAGACAACAACGAAGGAGTGGACAAGTACAAGTGCACCTTGTTTTTAAGCATCAGATGCAGTGAAATTAGAAAGCTCGCCTCTGTTTTGATGTCCCTTGAGGTTGCAGATCTGTTGCACAAACCAACTCGCCCACGCTTTCTTGCAGATGTTTTTGCCTCCGGAGCCAGGGACGGTGCAGTACTGGTGTGGGATGTGCGTTGCAGACAGCCAGGTGAGCATTATTGTGCCTCTCTAGGGTGTTAAAGGGACACTAACACCCCCAAAATGTTTACTTTTTTTTATTTTTCGCTAGGTGATTTAATATGGTGCCGGAAGACTACCAAATAAGCATTTTGCTGCAGAGTCACATATATTTTTAATAAAGCTACAAAACTACTGTTCGAAATACGAGCACGGAAGCTCATGGCCGGAAATCATATGGCTACACCCAACCACATTTTTTTTCTCTGCTTCTCCATTGGTGAGGGAGACGAAGTTGCACACACCGTTTGTTGTGCAATTTTTTAACACTTACCATAAAATACCGGGCAAGCGCTCACTCAGATTTTGGAGATAATCGCAAAAAAATGGGGGATGGGCGCTTGTCCGGTCATCAATTTTAGATATAAATATACTGTGCATATTTTCTCAGATCTTACAAATTCGGTAATGGGCGCTTAATGTGGTATGGGGGCGGATGGGCGGTATTCTACGGTATATCCCTTCCGTTCAATGTTCTGCGCCTGAAGATAGATTGGCCGATACCATGAACGACAGTTCCGAAGTAGCGGCCCCACATCTGTCAGAATGTTGGTTCGTCGTGTGCCGCCATCGCGTTGTCTGGCCCACAGTATGTCACCATATTGAGAATGACGTGTACATGCGCTTCCCGTAATCTGCGCAACATTTTTTTCTCTATCAACATATTTGCAGTTTTTTGGAGGCCAGAAAAATGGGGTCCATACTCTTCTCTGTTTTTTATATTAAACATGTGCCTTAGATGACCCACGACTTTGAAAACATTTGGTACACATAGTTTGAACGCTAGTGACCATAGAAAAGAGAGTGAGCGCGACTGAAACCCGCCGATTCTCGACCGGCTGTTTCTGGGCGAAAACTAACTACCAACTACCCAGAACAAAATCTCTCTAGGCATCTCGTGTTTTGGCTTTCTCGTTTAAATTCCGCATTTTGTGCGTGAAGTTTTGAGACAACGACGTCTGCAGCATTGCTCGCTTCGACACTGACCGTGGCAGCGAAGAGAGTGATTGTTATCAAGGAATGTCAAAAGCTGGTCATTTTAAAGATTGATTATTGCAGTTACTAGAGCTCTGAAAATCGCGGAACTTGGTGTACATACTAAGTAGCCTATGAGCATTCCCCCTTTAACCCAAACTTTTCAAACTTTTTTTTTTGTGGATTTAATTGTGTCGCATATGTGGTTTCAATCCAATTGTACTGGAAAGAAAGTGTGCATTGGAATCGTCCAAATACGGTAGTAAGTGCGGTGCAAAGGTACTTAAAAGTGGTTTGTAGGTTCTTACAAAATTACATTCATAACATAATTATTGCTGCCTTTTTGTTTTCTTCAAAAGTATTTGATCTGATGGCACAATGCTGTGGTGTCACCGTGCTTAATTTTCAATCTTAGGTGCTCGTTGTACCGGTCACGCGTCTTTACTTTGCCACGTGATCACCGTCCTTTCATACCGACATGCAAAAGGTAGGGTCAGCTAATCAAAGGGAGGCGGTTGATTGGTCCGGCAGGCATGTAGCTCTCACCGCACTGTTCACTTCGGGGTACACGGCATGTAGTAGAATATTGCTCCGAGCTCATGTTTTGCAGCGCTGTCCGAAGAAAGATAATGTATGCCCTCTTCTACGTACGTGCAGTGATGAGGATCCCCAGAGCCCATGGCATCACCACCGCCGCAATGGGGCACCGCAAGAAGCCTCGTGGCCGCCACAAGGAGGCAAGTCTGCCCCGGACGTGGGCCAGGCATTGTGCCGGGTTGCAGACAGACGTCATAACCGACGGTTACCCTTATTTTCCAGTCATCTGCCACGGATAGTGTGACGGCGTGCTTGTTCCAGGACGACCAGCGGCTGATCACGTGCGGTGCTACTAACAAGTGAGTGCTGGTCCGCATCCAAAACAGTCTGTGCTACAAGGGTTTGAGTGGAGGCAACGTTTTTTGCTAGGCACTGCATCGATGCGTGCCTTGCAAAGAATGTTGTCAGTCTGGAAATCGAGCGCTATGCTACTCATTGGGGTCCCTTTAATAAAGCCTCATTCAGGCACTTAGTTGCATACCTGCCAACTCTCCCGAATTGTCCAGGAGCCTCCCGAATTTTGATCACATCTCCCAGTTGTACGGACGCGACCTCAAATTTCCCAAAAAGTATCCGCCGTAGTTTTTTTTTTCTTTTTACCTTTTTTTATTATGCTTTCTTGCTATAATCATCACACGTGTGCCATTGTGAGTTACTCGAGAGTAGGTTTAGGTTACTCCGGCGGGTTACCACTTGATAACTCAGAGCAGCAGCGTAAAATAAGTAGATTTTCAAACGCCAAGATACGAAACTTCTACTCCTGAAGTTCGAGTGCATTTTGGAGCTTGGCTTATATGATCATGGGTGCGCTAGGCTTCGTCAGGTCGTCGAGTGAGTTGCGGAACGCCGAACAACTCTGTGTTTCCTCGAGCTTAGTTGAAACGATCAATGGCACTTTCAAAAGCCAACAAGTACTTGCAAGTATTTCTAAATCATACGCGACTGAGTTTTTGTGCTTTGTCGCTTCGTGGAAAGCTGAGAAGTATGGATTCTGTACCATACTGTGATGTGTGAGCGTTTCGCACGGCGGCAAGCTTAACATCAAGATACCCATCGCTTCACGAAAGCATCAGAACCATGTTTGTGCCATAGAAGGGTAGGGCACCATCGAACAGTTTACTCCAAAACAACTGCGAAGACAGTGTGATCCGTGCAGAGTGCCTCTTCACAAGATTTCTTGTCAAACTAAAAAAAAAAATAATGTTTCGTACCCTTCCCCTGGCGCAGCGGTCTCCCGAATTTTTATGTTGCTAAGTTGGCAGGTATGTAGTTAAGATTGGAGCGATTCACATGGCAGCAATAATAAAGACATTGGGACAACTGTTTGCCGTACAGAATGTGGCAAGCAATAAAGGAAGTAGTTTTTAAAAGCAATTCCCACTTGTCCCACTTGTCTCGGTTGATGCTATCATTTTAGTTGCTGTGGACGCAACCGGCGTAAATGTGTGAGCCAATCTTTACAAGAAAAAAATTTGGTTGTCTCTTCTGGCTTTTCCAGTGATGGAAGTGGCATTTGCCCTTTTTGAGCAGGTTCTGTAGCAGGCAAAATATTGATTTGGAGCAGATGCCAACATTTGTTAGCACATTGCTTGAAAATAATAAAAAAGTGATTGCTAAACATGTTCAACTTTGATAATGACTGAGGGTTCCTCCTTTGATATTGGAACATATTATTATCACCTTTTCTAACAAGAATAAAAAGGACACAAAAGGAACACAGAGCTCTCTTTTAAGAAATAAGGCTCTGGTCAGGGCAGGTTAAATTTACAATGGGTATTAAGAAAATGGTTGAAAAATGAATTGTAGTGCAACCCTTCTGTTTGGTTAAAGCCTCACTTCCCTCCCCCACACGCCTCAGAGAGCTTGTGAAGAGAATGCTCTGACGCCGCCGTCACAGGCAGACACATCGTTCATTGTCTCCTTCCACGTCTTCACTTCAAATAGCGTGGTAGGACCTTGCGGCCCCCACAAGCCCATAAATATGATTTCTGCAAAATGCCAGCATATCTGCTAAGACGTCCATCACTACAATTCACACCCCAGGTTTCGTGAACCTGCCAAGCTCAAGACTTCAATATCGTAAACTGCAGAAACAGCCACCCACAAATATTATGAAAGCCTAAACCTGTGCTTTAAATGTGGCACCGCTCTTTAGCAGCGTTAGAACCAGAGTCGAGTCAAAGTTTGCTGCTCCTTCGATCGATAGCTGCATTTCTTTATATATAAACACTTTTTGTTTTGGAGGTTAATCTACAATCAATACGAAAGAAGTTAGTCCTGTAATAGAACTGAGCATGATTTTGGAGCCTATCGTATTAGTGTCAGCAGCTGCTCTTAGCACTCTGGTGCAAAGCAGCAAAGCTCGACGTGCGCACTCTGGTGAGGGGCGGTGAAGGTTGACGCAAGCGGCGCAAGGGCCACGGTACTCTGTAGCCCCGCCACAGAGGCATGTGGCTGATATGGTAATTAAGCGATCACGTCAGGAGTATAGGACCCTGGTTCTGTCTTATCACAGTATCCGCCTTCCTGCTATTTTGCAAAGTTTTCTCTCAACTTTGAGCTCCTGACATCGCCGACATCATCTGGCAATTTAGATGATGTCGGCAATCAACCGGCCAGTGCGGTTGTCGAGAAATCTTTGTTTCACTTTAAATTAGACATGCAAAGGAAAAAAAAAAAAAATTTTTTTTAAACAGCCTAAATGGAAAGAGAATTTCATTAAACATATTTACAACGAAAAAAAAAAAAAAATTAGCTATATTTACGGCGTGGAATGAACTTGTAGTTGGCGCCCGCGGGAGCTTACGGAAAAGTGGCCGCTATGGTCACGTGATGCTTGCGCTCTTTCGTGACATTCCAATCCAGGCTCCAACCTTCGGTATTTAAAAAAGATGGGCCGTAGTGCGTTTGCAACTGCGTTACAAAACATGTTTTACGAATGCAGTTACTAAATTCTGTAAATGACTTAATTTTCGCGAATTGTCTACAATTTGCGAGAAGTAGGTCTCGCGGAAATTTCCGGTAAAATTTAAACACATTGGAATTTATATTAAAATCCCACTGCATCCCGAAAATTAGAACCCACAAATTATTCCAAAACTTCAGCATTGACCTAATTTGCGAAATATTGAGCCCGCAAAAAATAAGTCGTTTACAGTATAACAGAAATGTTGCTTACAAAGCTTATAAATTTCATAATTTTTGACGTCCCAAATAAAAAGAAGCGAAAAGGTGAAAAAGAGAGAAATAAAAGAAAAAAAATGCGCGCACGTGGTTTTTTTTTTTTTTTTTTCTTTTCTTTTTTGTATTTTTTGGTGTGTTTATGACTACAACTTGCATCGTTTCAGACGACAAAACAGGATTAAACAAGTCAAAGCGTAACCAACGTTTACGAGCATCAAAGTGTGACATTGTGGCATTCGGCGTCTTCTTATACTTGTTCTTTCATCGGCTAGACCAATCAAGTGCAGCAAATGTCCTGTGACTTGTGCTTTTAGTGTCTGTGCTCGTGGTTGTATCTGTTCGAGCCTTCAACTGTGCTTTGACCTAAGATGAGACAAGCTATATGGTAAGTATAGAGCAGCTGCAAAAATACATATTTGTACCATTTTCCTTTCCTCCTACTTCTCTAAATATTAAAGTCACCCAATAATTAAACATATTTTTTTTACTCTGTTAAGCCCATTTGGCGCAGGTGTGGCGCACTTAGCGAAATTGGCATTTTGGTGCAAGATATGTCAGTCCTGTTCATAGCACAATTTGGCGCAAATGGTGCATCACTTCCATCAATGCATTTCCCATAAGCATCCTAAATGCATTGCATTTATGAAGCCTGTTCGCACTCTTCCTTTCGCAGGCACAGTACAAAGAATCCTTTCTAGAGCACATCAGGAGGGTGTTGTGAATGTATAAGGCCGTCACATGAAACTGCGACAGCTTCATATATTCGTCGGTATATCGCGTGACGTGATGCCACAATGTCACATAATGCGACACTGACGTCATCGAGGTCTGGACTCTGCAGACACAGTCTCCAAGAGCTGGCCCTTAAGTGCTATGCATTTAGAAAAGAGCAGAGGCTGGGTGAGAGTAGAGAGGTGGAGTGTTGGGAACGCTTTCAGTATAGTAGGAAGTGGCTTCAGAGCTGACAACTCGCCTTCACCTCACTCTTTTTTTTAAACAGCGTGATCAAGGTGTGGGACCTGCGCAAGAACTACGAGCTGTACCAAAACGATCCCAGGCCCCTGGCATCCTTTCCGTACGCAGGACGCAGCTCAGCCATCCACGGTAAGAGCCTCGGACGGACTTGCGTGCTGCATTGGCGGTTCGCATTAGCAGACGGAAAGCTCGTGAACGCTTCGGCTACGGTGCCAGGAACGTGTCTCCAACCGTCGTGTTTATTGCGTCCTAAAAAGGGGTCCCTCAATTTTCACCCGATGACGTTGTAGAAGCGTCGTGTTGTTGCCAGACGCAATCCCTGCGGTGTCACGTAGCGATGGTGGACGTAACAGGTGCCTCTTCTGCCGTAGGTCGCTCTACAGTGTGGCAGGCCGCGGTAGCTTCGGCAGCCAGGAGTTTGGACGCCGTAAGAACAGCGACGCTCGCATTCTATGGGCACCTGGCGCACCCCAGCGAAAAAACTGTGGGTTAATTTAGGCCAAACGGAGTTTGTTTTTCACGTGCAACCGAAATCTCGGTTACATGGTGCATTTCCAGTAGCTCTTTTTACCGGAACTTGCACGCCCCACCGCCAGAATCGCGGCACGCGACGGCGGGACAGTCCGGCTTTTGTGACGTCATTTGTAGTTATTTCGGGACCACTTTCATTGCACAGGTGGATAAAAACGCTACTTTGATGGGTGGACAAGAGTTCTGCAGTGTCTCAAAAAATCCATTTTGGCTTGCACAGGCTACACCTGTCTCAGGTTGCGGGGAGCGAGTCTGTTTGCTAGCTGCATGGACAGCCGCATTTACCGCTTCAATGCCTCCAGCTACGACCCCGTGCCCCGTAAGTCATTTGTCTTTATTTATATTTTTTGGAAGGCATTTGAGGTAGGTTTTAACCTAGAGCAGTGCACGGACTTTCGGTGTTGTTGTCAGTAGGCAAAATGAGAGGACATCATTCGTCGATTCTGGGATGGTCACTACTGCAAAGAAAGGTACCGGCCCACCACGACCCCAGTTGATATTCTTCTAGCAGTCGTGGGCAGAACAATTACCTATAATGCTATTTCGATTAACAAGTTTTAGTACTACATTGGAATTGTGAATGTCGTGCAGTCGGACCTCTTTGTAGTACACTTAGTTTTTCAGGAAAATTGTTCAACTAATTACATACTAGCACATTTCATGTCGGTACTCCGAAATTCTTGCGTGAGTACCACTGGTATGCTTTCGGCTTTGCAGCACTACGTCCATGTCCGGATCACAATCATTAAGCTGCACTTATACTGCTCATATATCATACAGAATTATACGCAGACACACCTGAAGCATGTTTGAACCACGTTTGCTCCATACATGCGTATACTTCATACATGTTTGCAGACGTTTTTTTGTACGACCAATGCGACAGGATGGTCATTCGAGGAAGAAACGTGCCTTGGACAGTGTCTGCACGGCATCTTTTGTACGACATATTGGCAGTGTAACCGCAGCTTTATGCACCACTGCCGCAAAGGCGATGTTCGCTTCCGACGCCTCCTTGCACCTCCCGATGTCCAAACTCTTCAAAGCTCTGCCTCCGCCGTTTCAGTGGGCCAGTTTGTCGGACACAGCGCGGGATCGTTCTACGTCAAGATGGACCTCAGCCCCGACGGCCAGTTCCTGCTGAGCGGATCGTCGGACAACCACGCCTACCTTTGGAACGTGAGTGTGCTCTCTCCTCTCGTGACCGCCCCAACTCCTGAGGGGTAGGAACAGCGAGCGCGACTCCCCTTTCTCTCGACCCCAGGTCCAAGAGCCCGGACCCCCTTCGCTGAGACTGTCAGTCCACACGGCCGAGGTGTCGGCGCTTGCCTGGCACCCCTGGGACGTCTCCAGGGTAGGGCTTCCTGTATTCCCCTATTGGAAGATTGAAGCTGCTCTCATCCATGCAGTTAAAGTAGTACTACGGTAGGAACCTACCGACGCATTGTTCGGGGTACCGCGACAAAAAGAATTATCTGGGAAAGCATAGCAACCGACAACACTATTGGGGTTCTGTAGATAAGACAACAGGCAACTCTTGCTCAGAGATTTATTAAATGTGACAGAATTTCTCGAAGCATCTCACCACGGCCCTTCTTGTGTGTGTCATCGGAAGTGGGTGGTACGATACACAGTTGTTCCGGCAGAGAAGCACGTGTTGCTCTGCTCTATAGTAAGAGTCGGACACTTGCTGGAAGTATTTCAGCTGAAGTAACTAATTCCATAGCAATTACTTTTTGGTGGTAGCTTTTACCCCGCCACTCTCTATGCCTCTAAGAAGGCTCCGACCCTCGGGAAGTTTAGAAAGTTCCCGGTCTATTGAAGCAGAAAGTTAGATCTTGACGCGTGGTGGAAAAACAGACATGGAACTAACCACATTGCTAGGGTGACCCCCTGCCTGCTAGCGAAATGTGGGACACGTGCACCATGAACTGTGGCCTAACACGTATGGTATTCTGTGCTGCCCGAAAAGATATTATAGACCTGCAAATTGTGTTGCGGCAATTAAACTCAAATAATTTTTACTCCAAGTGATATATTTTTTTAATATTATTTTAATGTTAAATACTTTATTAAAAGTGTATAAGGTGAAAACATAAAAATTGACAGCAGCAGATTCTAATGCTTCTAAAAGAAAGAGTAAATCTTTTTCGGCTTATTGTTTCCTGTCTATGCTTACTTTTCTAACATATTATTAGATAAATTTAGAACCTTACATTGTTTCTTTCAACCGTTGTGAACTGAAGGCTCTTGGGCTTATGTATGCACCTTCACTAAAGAAAGCTTTCCACGGCAACCATTTTGCCTTGACACAGCATGATTTGTAAATAATTACAATAGTATATTTTTTACATATTATTTTATTTGTATATTATGTTTATATAATTACAATAGCACTTTTGGCGAGCAATTTTCACTCGCAAAATTTTGCCACCAAGGGGAGAGGCACAGTGGAGCATGTGCTCTGGTCCTCCCGCAAGAACTGCCATCGCTTCCCGCAATGCTTGGATAGAAAATAATGTACCATGGCGATTCAATTTGATTACCAGCGACCTCCACTCTTCCCCATGCCCCGTTGTTTGGCTGTGCCACGGGTTGCATAGTGAATTTTACGACAGTGTGAAATGCAGGACATTTTGTAGATTTCAGTAGTTCTTGTGAAGCGCAGGACACGACCCCTACACATTGCCCAACCTTGAGGAAGCTTTTGGAGGTTTAGCAAATAAGCAACCCCCAAGTGTCACACTTTGTTTTCAACTGCACTGAGGGCTCATTTGCAACGGTGCAGCTGGTCACCTGTGGCGACGACCACAAGGTGGTGTTTTGGAATGCTGCGGGAGACGGCATGGGAGCGGTGGCCACGTGCGAGCCGATGGTCTCCTCCGAGCCAGTCGTGTTGACGGCACCGGGCACGGTGAACGGCGCCTGTGGCGGAACTGGCGGGCGCCCCGAGCACATGACGCCCAAGACGCCCCGGCGTTCCAGGCGGGAGCCAGCGTCGCTGGCCGACTGGCTCACGCCACCCTTCAAACGGAGACTTCACGACAAACAACCACCGGTGAGCTCACTCTCAGCGATCTCACTTTCTCGTCATCTCGCAACGGCAGGAAACCTGCCTGGCAGTCCCGAAAGAAGCGCATGTCACAAATGTGACGGCAGGACGGGAAACAGATTGTGCCGCGTTGCATTCCGAGAGTCGTATGCGGCGTCAGCATAGACAGCTGCGCAGTTACCATCTTGCGTCCGTGCCTTTGTTGTGTCTCGTAGTCCATCTTGTAGGTTGTGAGAACCTCGTAGTAGTTTAATGCCCCGCTTGCTCTGTGATCATAGGCTCGGTTGCACACCTACTGTATACCCGCTGTCAGATAAAGAAAAAATAAAGTTTTGTGCGTTGTTCATATGCTGCGCGAAGTAGTCCTTACGGCATTTGATTGTCGGGGGAAGAAACTGTGCTCTTGGCATTTGAAACATGTATATCTTGGTAAAGTAACGTACAGGTTAATCTGCAATTGCCCTACATATATCTTAATTCACCTCATAAAAATTAAATTAATAATGCTTCGCAACGAGCCGGACCTTTATTTCTGTGGTTCTTGAGGCGGATACGAGTATGTAGCAGTCATCAGCGTTTGTTCTGCTTGTTCATTTTCTATCCTATGTATGACTTGCTCTACCGGGGGAAAAAGGTGTGTGTACCGATGGAGCGGGCAGGCATATTGTTTTGGGGCTACCACACCGCAGTCCAGATCCAGGTGTTGTATTGAAGGGGGTTTCAGCATTGGCCCCAAAATCGCCCACAATGTTCATAATGTGATGTGTTCCCACTGCAGAACAAGGAGCTGACCACTCCTCCGCGGCCGGTGGAGAGCCCCGCAGTTCCTCCCAGCGCCATCCTCACCCGCAAGGGACACAAGATGGTCGCCAGGCTCTTCCAACGCAGCGTGCACCAGAACAGGGTAGGCCTTACTTCTTCCTCTGTGCTGCGTAACGGCCGGATACAAGTTTGAGGTCGTTAGGTTTAGGTACCGCACTACGAAGAAGTCTTTAGGCCTAGCCTCGCTCTTTATTCTCAGAAGTCATTCGCTTGCTCGCCACACCTGACCCATCCACACACATGCACACACACACACTGCACTCTTCACCCTGGTAGTACTAGGGCTTCTTTCTCTCATATTCCCTAGCTCCACCGATTCACACTTGTACACACACTGCACTAGTAGTACCTCTTTCTCTCATATTCCCTAGCCGTTAACATTTCTAGAGACTTCCCTATGCATCCCACCATGACCTCATGCTGCCTAGACTTTTACATAGAGAAACACTGAAGAAGTGGAAGTCCTCTGTGCATCACAGACTTAAGGATATGTGATGCATGGCTTCGGGACATTTTGTCCGTGATCACATGAAGCCTCAATGGTGATGTGATGGCGTTAACGCCAGCTAGTGTCCGACCACGGTGCTGGAATGGCGACTAGGCACTAACGTTGTTGCATCACGTGCGATGTCGTGGCCTCGACAGTGCCGCACGAAAAAAAAGTTGACGCCGAGTCTTTGTGTGCACGCACGTAATGGCTGCCCCCCCAAACTCTTAACGAGAAAGGCCGGAAAAATATGTGAAAATATTACCCGCATGTGTATTCCTGCACCAGTCATTTTAGAAGGTAAGACGCGCTATCTACTTTGCAACACTAGGACTCAGTACCTTCCTTCTACTACTTCCACCGGATGGCACGCAGAATACAGTTGAACCTCGATTTAACAAATTCGGCGTTCGAGCCGAAAATTACATTAAATCGTAAATTTCATTTGACAGAGATTTTTGTTGTTTGGCATTGTAATTGGTCTTCCAGGCTCCCAAAACCTTCCGATTGCCTCACATCTTGCAAGCGAGCATTTACAAATAAGATTCCACTACAAAATGTGAAGGTAATAGAAGAATGCAGTTCATCAACCCTCATTTTGTATCTTTATGGGTGCGGTGCCTAGCACCACAGGACACCGCAGGAGAGTGTGCAGTCGGGAAAGCAAAACGAAACTAATGCACTACCGCGGAGCGGATCGCTCGTAACTGTGGACAGATGGTGCCACGTGTGAAAACAAAAATTGCTACTACAGTCAAACCTGTTTATAACAAACGGCAGGAAACGCTACGATCAGTTCATATAGCAAAAATAATTTACAGCGAACTTCCACAATGCGTTTGTTATACACGGTCATATCGCCAAAAGTAAACAAATAAACTCATGCCGCTTACCTTTCAAAAAGTCCATTTATTGAAAGAAAAGAAACCTAGGCACAGTACGCAGTAATTTTCGCTTGGGATTTCGCCTTCCAAACATCAATGAGAATACTGTTCTCGACGTGCGACACAGCTCGTGCGAATTCGAGTCCACTACCCTCGATGCCCGAGCAGTAGCGGCGCAACACTTCCACTGCTGAAAGCGCTTCGTGAAGCGTTGGACGAGGTAGTTCATCACTTTCGGGGTCCCAGAGTGACTTTGTTTTTTTAGCTTTCTCCCCCTCTGAACCGCTTCCCTTCACTTAATTTTCTTCGCAACTTGAGCTTTTAAAATTTTCTTTCTTTCTTACTTTTTAGGGGCGAAGCTCCTTAGGGGCTAGCCATGTCCGTCCGCCGTCGAGTGCACGTGCTCCTGCTCGTGAGCTCACGTGCTCCCGTGCTCGTGTAGGGAAAAAAAAAAAGCAACCGGATCTCCACGTGGTAAATGATGTTGATTGGGGCGAAGCTCTGGTGGTGCTTGTCTGCGTAGATGGTGAGCCGCCTTTCGTTCGTTTTCATCCATGTCAGAGAGAGAATGTGTGGTATGGAACGTGGTTATGTACACATTTGAGCATTTGACCGCAGCGTGACATGGACGAAAACGAACGAAAGGCTCGGCATGCTGCGGCTCAGCGTCTATGCAGACAAGCACCACCAGAGCTTCATCCCAATCAACATCATTCACCACGTGGAGATGCGGTTGTTTTTTATTTTGGGGGGGGGGGGGGGGGGGGGGGGGGAGAAGGGACAGGCTAGAAGAGGATTGTTTGCACGTTTTTGGAAGCCTTCTTGGGGGAAAAAGTTTGATATAACCAATATGTTGTTCGTTATAAAAAGTGCTTGTTTAAATTTTCCGTGAGTTTGATATCAACAATACTCTGTACGTGGGTTCTCGTTCTAAATGGGTTTCACTGTACGATATCATCATAGTTTTTCAACTTTCTAGCGCCTGTAACTGCTGACAGATGGTGCCGCATCTGAAAACAAAAACTGCTACTATCATTCTACGATGATAATCATCGGTTTTCCACCAAGCCGTCTCGTTTATTATGCCACCATACGTTTACGCCCGCACGATACAAGTGGCAGCTACCGTTACGTCCCCGAGAGTGACGCGCGACTCCCCCACAAAGTCGATCAAATGAACAGTTTGTCAGCTCTCGTACACTGACAGGTTATGACTACTGTAGTTAGGACTCACAACCACGCGGTGAAGTCTGGGGATTACGAGACCGCGCTCGATCAGTCAACACCTTATGACAAAGCAGATTCACAAATGGGGAAACTATTTATTTTAAAACCTTGGCACAGGCGTTTAAGGTGAACCATGAAGTCCGAGAGTTTAGAGCTTCGGCGTCACATCGTGTTCGTATGTTGACAGAGCTGCTAGCGTTTGTTCAAGCGATTGTGCGCCTGCTTATGTCCGGAGAAGATTGATGCCGACCATCACCTCTTTTGACGTAGGCATGTGCGTTGCTGCCTCGGGTTCTTCATCAACCTCACCTTCACGCATCCGTTTCTTTGTTACACTCTCAATTATTGCCTCATTGTCCAGTTTTTGTTAAATTTTTTTTTTTTTTTTCTCGTGGAAGTTGTTGATATGTGTATGTGCAATTTCCAGACTTCTTCAAGTTGAAACTGCGGTGCACAAGTACTTTGCTAAATCAAGATAAAATATATTGTCTTCAATGGAAGCATGATGGGGAGACGAAACAAATATAGTTAAATCGAGAATTTCGTTAGATCAAGGTTCAACTGTACTGGTTCTTTGTATCTCGCCAATCCACGCTCAATTTCTGAATCCTCTTAGACGCCCTTTCAAGTTACCACTGCAGACAGAGGCCAAAATGACCGGACTCCCCGAACCACTCCAGCTTGTTTACAATTCTTATTTGCTTTAGGGTTTTCCCAAGCAATTTGCGTTATCCTGCGCTCGTTTCGCAAGAACTCTTGTCCCCTAATCTCAACTTTTGTCTGTAACAAAGCAGGCAACCAACCGTGAAAAAGTGCAGCCGGGCGTACATGCGACGCTGTTCACTCGTTCCGCCTGAAATCATGCCTTCCTAGCATGTGAAAAAAGCTTCTTTGTGTTGGTAATGCGTGGGGCTGTTCTTACGTGCAACTAATTCCATTTAGCAAAAACAAAGTTATTTACAAAAAGGTTTTGTTTTCTTTTTTGCATAATCACCACATCCATTCAGAGACGAGAAAAAAAAAAACCTCCAACCATTTTATGCATGCATATGCTAGTTTCGGAGTGTGTCCTTAATGGCATAGATAGTACCAGAATATGCTTCACCGAGCCCATGGCTGTGCCGTGTGAAGTCAGTTCTCAGCATGTAAACCTTTCAATCGCAATTATCCCTCTTTCAAAGCGGGACCTCGCTTTGCCTCATTCCGAAACGGCTCTTGCTTTTTACCTTGCCACTGATGCAAGTGCCATCCTCGCAGGCCAAGCCACGTGTCAAGAGGGCCCTGATCATCCACAACACCAAGCCCATCACCTCCTTCTTCAACAAGTGGCCCGAATAAACTTCACGCCCGCAGAGTATCAAAGGTCTCGTTTATTGACCATTCCAAAGCCTACCCCTACGTCCCCAAGCTAGAGCGACGAAGCTACGCGTCGCACTCTCTCTGGTTAGAAGCCCCTCCACCGCGGTTAGTAAATCCGATGTCCGGCCGTCGATCCGACGTCAATCCGGCCGTCCGCCGGCCTCCCTCGAGCGGTGGGGCTTCGCGCCGTGGCCCTCAGAGCTTGGCCGGAGCGGACGGCGCCTCGCGTCAATCTTTGCAGACGGCCAGGGCCTCTTCGCGCTCCTCCATCAGCTCCTTGCCCGTGGCGTCTAGCTTGGCCCGGGCAAAGTCAGAGATTGGCAGTCCGGTCACGATGCGCCAGCGCCTCTGGTTGTCCACGTGCACGGGGTAGCTGAACATCACGTCGGCGGGGGATCCGTACGAGCAGTCGCTGATCACCGCCATGGACACCCACTCGCCCTGCGTGCAGAAAAAGCGCTCGCTGGAGGGACCTCCGACGAATACGGGACTATGGCGCCTGTAACGCGTTTCCGACCGGTGCGTTTCCTCTATTTCCGCCCAAAGACGTCGTACAGGTGTCGTGGTCGGAAACAGTGGTGTATGCAGCCGATGCCAGTGCCTCCGCGGGTCGCTTTCCAGCTTAACAGTCTACTGTGTTTGAAAATAGCCTACGGGCTATTTCCAAGTGCCGGGGGGAAAAGAAAGTATAAATATGCCAATGAAGTGCAATTAAACTTTTCCCATTTATTATACACAAATTTTATTAGAATGTTCGAAGAAATTTAAGCCCAGAAATATTTTTTAATGCAGTCTTTCTTAGAAAAACGGCGGAAACAATTCGATTGGTGCTGCTGCTCAGATGGCACAAAAACAAAAAAAAGCAAAAGTGTAAACACTTCGTTCAGATACCACCAAAAGACACCTTTGTGAAAAGTTTCAATGCTCTCAACCTATTGGCTATTTAAAAAAAAATATTTCCTTACTCCCGAGCAGACATTTCGTCGTTTACCCTGAGACTGGGGGGTTTTTTGAAGAGCAGAAGTAACAGGCCTGTCTGTTTTTTCTGTTACTTCTGCTCTTCAAAAAACCCCCCAGTCTCAAAATAAACAACGAAATACTTGACTTCCACCAGCTAGCCTGTACTTTGACTCTTTTCCCGAGCAGAGTTTGGAAACATCCTCTAATCTCCGCTTCGATCCGTGGGTGCCCACTCACCTCGGAGGTGCCCTGCCACCAGTCGTGCATGTGGTCAGCCGCCGCCTTAGCAGCCGACATGGCGCTCGACAGCTTGCGGGCCGCAATCACCGCAGCACCACGCTTCTGCACCGTCTGCAAACCCAAGTGCAATGCTGGTTTAGCAATGGGCGCAGCGAGTAGACGACGCGCTCTGTTGTCGCTCGCTGCGCCCGTCAGAAGACGGTACTGCGAGCAAATAGCATTGCTAACTCGGTCATGTCTGCAAATGCACCCGACCGCGACTTTAGGAAGTTTTTTTTTTTTTCTCGTCTTTTACAAGAACAGAATTGTGCCTCGAAATTTAACACTAAAACTGTCCCGCTTGGTGCACATTCGCTGAATGTTTGAGCTTCCTGCGTGCAGGTGCCAATTTTTATGGCTCGTTTTACAGTGGAAGGTTTGCTTGGGACACCGTATATATGGCCATTGAAACCAGTCGCTCAAAAGTCTAAGTTACATGTCCATCCTTCCTAAGCTATTTGCACAGCTGAATAAACTGAAGTTAAGTTTGCCGAGACTAAAGTCACTGACAAGATTCCTTCAGTTGTGACCACATCTAGTGCGAGTTTCCTACTTTCGATGACGTCTTGGCACCTCTTGAGCCTCGAGCGTGCATGCGCAGCCAAAGCACTGTGGAAGGCGACGAGCGCATGCGGGAGGTTGAACATGCAAGAGACACGTTTGGTCGTTCTCATCCTGTCTGTGACTATAGACCGTACCATTAGGGTCATAGCAGAGAGGGTAAAAAAAGAAAAAAAAAATGCCCTCCCTCTCTCACCCGCATTTCGTCTGCTCCGCCGAGTGGGCTGTACCTAGCATCCGGCTGGGTTACAAACTCTGTTTAAAATCGCGTCATTTTGGAAATTTCAAGCGCAGATGCGCAGATTTTGGTATGCCAGTTATTGTGTAATACTATGCTAGATAAAAAGACTAACAGGGTCCAATTGCGGTGTTACCTGCGTGCAAAAAGAAAAATAGGGAAAACTGTCAGATTGGCCGATCTCTCCGGCGAAAAGTAAATCCGGTTGCTGTACCTTTTTTACTATACAAAGTTTGTACTGGTGTAGGCCTTTAGCGACCATGAGTGGAAGTCTGAAATAATAAATAAAAACATGCTCTCCTGCCGCAATACACACAGTAGTTGTGGGTAGTAACGAAAAAAAGATATGCTAGTTGATCATTTATCGAAATAGAACGACAGGGAGCTCTAGGCTGATTTTGGAGTAGCCATAACTATTCTAAGAACGCAAACCACTTCACAACGGCAGCCACGAGCAAGAGTTCGACGTTCCGTACAGCCCGAAGATGGAAAATGGCAACCTCTCGGTTCCTCGTCTGCTAGCGGAGTCGGACGCGTACCTCCTCTCATTTTACCCCGCCAACCCGCTGAATTTCCCGGATGGATGGAGAGGGCGCCGCTGTCGACCAAAATGGTGCCGCCCAGAGGGCGCTGAATGGAACGGTCTATAGAGACATTTTTGGCTTCAGATATGACATTCTGGTCTCTGAAGGTTAGCAGGGCTGCCTGGAGGGCGTCTCCCACTGGTGTGTTTAGCGTCCTATTCCTCCAGTGCATCAAAACTGGTCCTGAAGTGGCAACAAATGACGTCGCAAAAACAGGAGTGTCGTGCTGTCGGACGTCGCAATCCTGGCAGTTGGTGTTAGAAGTCTTGTCAGATGGAACAGGCGTCTGCCACATCTATCACCGCTGCTGTGATGCCACCAGGATCGCAGCTGGCGACACCATGACACTCCTATAACCGACGTTATGAGATGGAAAATGAGGGACCACGTTTTAGGATGCGGTAAACAGACGAGTCGGGGAGGCGTTCCGGGCACCATAGCAGGGGAGAGGTCATTCGGACTTGCCGTGACAAAGTCCCCCTTGAAGTAGTCGGCGTCGTTGATGGCCTCCGTAACCTTGACCGTCTTGCCGTCGAGGTTGACCGTGGCGTGGTTGGCATCCGGGAACTGGGTGGATGAGTGGTTGCCCCAGATGACCACGTTGCGCACGTCCGCGGGCGATACCTTGAGCCTCTGGGCGATCTGACCCTTGGCCCGGTTGTGGTCCAGCCTGGTCATGGCCGAGAAGTTCTCCTTTGGGATGGACGGGGCAAACTTGGAGCACACCAAGGCATTGGTGTTGGCTGGGTTGCCCACGACCAGCACCTTGACAGACTTCTTGGCGTGCTGGTCCAGGGCGCGGCCCTGGCTCTTGAAGATCTTGACGTTGGCCGCCAGCAGGTCCTTGCGCTCCATGCCCTCCTTGCGCGGCATCGAGCCCACCAGGAAGGCCACATCGATTGCCGCAAACGCCGTCTGCTCGCTGTCTGTTGCCACTATGTCTGCACCACAGGAGAGGAACCACATCCGGGGTTATCGGGCATTCTCTAGCGTAAAAGACTGGTACATCTATTACAATCAATAACAATGGCTGTCACTAGCGAAATGACCTTGCGCTACTCTAGTAGTTACGATTGTCACAATGACCCGTGGAGCACCATATCTGGGTGGATGTTAAAAGCAGTGGCACTGAATGTACCCACCCTTGAGCAGGGGGAAGGCGCAGTCTATCAGTTCCATGACTACACCATTAAGGACACCCAGCATCATGGGAATGTCCAGCAGGTGGAGGATGATGGGCTGTGAGCAAAAGGCATGGAACGTTGTCAGGGCATGCAATGTACTTTCCAAAGGGGCACCTCCTCACCTGATCAGCCCCAAATACCTCTCCCCGGGCAATGGTGGCCACCAGGGAGTAGGCAATCTGGCCTGCCGCTCCCGTCACCAGCACACGAATCGGTTCCTTGGCCTGCAATAGACGGTAGCACAGATGAACCGCACTGACCCTCAAGCAGTCACTTTTGGATTAGGCTGGCGGTATGGGGTAGTTGGTTCATACTGACAAAAGGGAAAACAGCACAAAAAAAAAGGGACAAAGCACTGACTCTCAACTGAACTTTAATAAAAATAACTAAATCAGCAATACCAAGAACATCAGGAATCAGGAGGTGGCCAATCAAGAGGTGTCTAGAAATGCAATCTCCTTGTGTAAATTCAGCGACATCTGGCTGTCACTTTTCCTACCTTCTCTTTTAATCGCATAGGCTTCTAAAATTTCCCTAGTCATGACGGGCAGATACGTTAACCACAGATTGTGGGAGCATGACTTGTCATTACAGTCAGAAGTGGGAGTCGTGGGGGGGCACTTGCCCCTTCATTGCGCCAGCTGTGGGCGTCGACCCATCTTCAAAAAGGTAGAGATTTTTGCCAAGGGCAGAGATCGAATGACTAGGGAAATTTTAGAAGCCTATGCAATTAAAAAAGAAGGTACAAAATGTGTCAGCCAGATGTTGCTGAATTTACGCAGCAAAGAGATTGCATTTTTAGGTACGTGTTGATTGGCCAAACCGGGATGTGTTCGGTATTGCTGATTTCGTTTTTTTATTAAAGTTCAGTTGAGATTAAAGTTCAGTTGCGCTTGTCCTGTGTTCACTTCTACTTTGTCCCTGTTGTTTGTGTGCGGTTTTCCTTTTTCTCACTTTCGAGTTGAGGAAGTGTGTTAACGGCAGGACCTCTGCTTCCAAAGCACCTATTTTCTCAAATGGCACTCTGGCTCTAGCTGCACTGCCACCATACCGTACTGCCAGACAACCCATATCATTGTTGGAGCATGCACTTCTGGTACAGGGCTGATGGACATTTCGGCGCACAATACATTTTAGGCAGGGTATTGGTATTGCTATTATTTTGGTTCAGGAGATTGCCATTATTTATTTATTTGGTTCAGGAACCCCAGAAAGGCAGATAGTCCGTACCATGAAAGTTTGCAGACTTTGAGTAGACATTGCACCTTTGTTGCAATGCCTACTCAAAGCAAGGCGGGGGTAGGCATTGTACTCTCCTTGCAAGAACAAATTGGCGGCAAGAAATGGGCGTTGTGCCACAGCAGGAAAAGACGCAATCCAAAAATTAACAAATTCGTTTTTTTTTTTTGTTTACTTTTGTTTTTGTTGATTAAGCTTTTGAAGTCCTCCGCCCAGTATCTAAGGGCTGCAAACTGGCCCCGGCAAAGCGCCTCCCACCCCGAATTATTGCCGCAGGCAGGACGCCATCAAAATGTGCAAGCAACTCCTTGAAAGAGGAAGGCCACAGACGTAAATCATATGTCAGGTTCGCTGCCAGCTATGCAGCAGGGATCGAACCGATCGACGAGGAGGCTGCCCCTGTGCCACGCAAGCTGCAGCAGTGAACAGCGTCGATGCGAGGTCGGGAGTGTAGGGGAAGGGCATCACTCCCCCAATGCCATGAATGAGCGTCCAAGGTCAAAGAAGCGGAAGCTCATGTCTCAGCGTAAAACATTCGATCGTGCATGACGAAGCGGCGTTTGCGTCGCTTTACGCGTTGCATATGACACTACAGAAGCAGACTGCTTACCATCTTTTACGAACAATCGCAGCAACAGCCAGCAACGCGGACAATCCCCACTATTTGTACACGCCGAAAGTGAAGAGGACTCCGCGAGTTATCTTTCAATCTTCGCCAGACAGTTTAGTGTCTAGTGAACAAGAGTGCGGAAAACAAAGCGGGTAACTCGGAAACGTTGCACAAGACAACCGCCATAAAAGTTTAAAGCGCTAACGTCGGCAGCGTGCCTTATATAACAGAGCTACGATGTCTCTGTAGATGCTGCAGACACCGCAGACACTGCAGAAAACAAGCAAATCAAAAAGTTGCTGGTAGTGCAAAATTTTTTTTTATTTAGTTTCTTACTAACCATAGTTACTAACCAACAACCTCAACAACTGCCTACTAGGTGACGCGAGCCACCACCCAATTAAAAAGTCTTAAAATTTGTTTTTCTATTTATTTCGTATAGCCTGTCAATATATTCGTCGCGAATGGGCACGGCAGCTGTGGTTAGCTTGGTTCATCGAAGAAATATGTTACAACTGTCGCACAAAATGAGTTCTTTTCTAGCAGGTGCCACGTAGGTGAGGATTTGCTGGCCATCTGTGCGAATCTCGACAAGCGAAGGGAGGCTGTTTGCGGCAAGAAAACCGATCACCGGCTCTCGTGTGGGTTGACACTTTGCGATCGTCGGCGCCAGCCCAGACAGCTTCTGGGATTTGGGCGTTCCTCGGGTGGACCATCGAGTGATCTACACCCTGTTTTGAGCGTCTCCGAGGTACGCCCTTTCGAGAACACATACAAGACCCCTAAATACACTTCGCATGTTCTCTTGCCATTTGTGTTTTCGCCAATCTCGGCTTTTCTTGGTCGTACACACTGCGCTCACCCCGGACATCGGTTCTTCTCCGCATTTTGCACAGATATGTTATTGACGAACACCAAATTTCCGCACTATCAGTATTGATGACAGCGCTTGAACAACTTGTCGATCGTTTGTTTATGCAAACTGTGTCTCGATCAGTAACTCACCAGATGTAACCGATGTTTAATCTTGTGTCTGAACTATTGTCATGTTATGTTGTTATACCCCGCCCCGGTGGCACGCTAACAGGCGCACCAGCGCACGGGCTCTCGCCTTTCTGTCCTAGCCTCGCAAGCTACCTAGGGTAACACTTCCCCTGCAAATAGAGATTATTAATATTATTATTCCCCCCCAATACGAAATCGCTGTGAACCAATGAAAGCCACGGGAATGCAAGATCGTCCGCTTCTTCCGCAGGGGTTGCGGTGACGTCACGACGCAGAGCTTTGATTGGCTCCGGTTGGAAGGATAGTGGGTACACCTCACTGCTAGCTGCCTTGAGGTCTACCCACTATCCTTCCAATCAGAGCCAATCAGAGCTCTGCGTTCTGACATCACTGCAACCCCCCGCTCAAGGAGTGGACGAACTTGCGCTCCGCATTGATGTCACTGGCCGGTCCTAAGGTGGGGAGACTCCACCGCGTGCTTGGTACTTAGCGGTTCTGACGAGGTGGGGTACAGGTTGGGGTCACCTGCCTGAAGTTATATTAAAAGTTTCCGCGAACGGAGCGAGGTGTGATTGCCCGAAGCGCGATCTGTTTGGCTGCCTAGCTTGACAATCGTTTCGTATTGGACTTCCAAAGAGGAAACGGTGGGCAAGCTAGGCTGCGAAAAAGACCGCGCTTTGTGCGGTCACTCCTCCCTCCACTCGGGGAAACTACTATACATTCCTTGCATGTGACGTCATATGGCACCGTAACAGCCGCCATTGCTCCGTACCTTCTGCAGCATACATTTCATACCACAAATTTGTTCTTCTCGGCAACCCTTGCCGAGAAGCTGAAATCTGATTGTGATAAATGTATGCTGCAGAAATTATGGGCACAGGAGCATGGTACGGCTGTTGTGACGTCAATATGCAAGCCATGTATATTGTAATCTCACGCCTGAAGTTTCACCGAGCCTTGTAGAAACCGCCAAGCGCTCGCAGCATGCCGGCGGCGACATTTCATGGGCCGAGCGTTCATACCATGGTTGCATCATCGACTTCCTAAAAGTCTGATGTCACTAAGTCACTGGCAGCATGGCAACGGCGAGGATGTCTTTCAGTTGTCCTGCCTCTAGAGCGAGCTTTCTAGTTTCGCTGACACTTCGGTGATCCTCCAGCTTACACTAGCAGCCAATGCACAGCAGATGGCAACGAGCACATGCTGGGTGCCGGGCATCCGAAAGAGACTCCTTGCCGTTTATATCCTACCAGTGACTCTACATGATCAGGCAATGTCCTAGTAGAGGTGCGCGCCCTTCCCACATTGGTTGGTTTTTCAGCAGGCGACTCCCAGATTGCTAACATACTTCAGAAATGTGTGAACCAAAGTCTTAAAAGGCTAGGAATAACGGAGAAGATACGAGTGAGCTGGTGGACTTTCAACATCTTGCAAACCCGAGACTGTTGGCTTTGCTTTTTTTTTTTTTACTTATCTATCTGGAGCAGTGAGAGGATGCACAGTTGCAAACAAACAAGCATTTTGATTTTAAATCAGTGACATGAACAACTCAGCATAAACCAATGTGCATGTTGTGTCAAGAGATTTGTGCTTCTCTAATTCGCATCTATTGTTTTGATTACTTGCGAGTTTGAGTTATAAAGTTGGTTCTAATGTGCAGCCCCACATCACCCGATCCTTGACGTCAGCAAACCGGTTGCCGCGCTGGCCCGGTAACACCAACACAAGAGAACACTGCTGCCACCTGGACAAAGAGGAGACAAGCTTGTGGCAACTTGTGTTCTTGGCACTGCAAAGATGGAGGCAGCGTAAAAGGCAAGACAGTGAAGCGGAGTCCCAGCAATGTGCAATTAGGAGCGTCGCCTTTTTCTGGGGCCGGAGAATGGGTGTTGGTCATCCAAATCACACCGACAAACACAAATGTAATTTTGATGTATGGTAGTCCCAACATCAGCGCTACATCATGTGTCACTGCCACAAGCTCCGCCATGAGCAGGGTGCCGAATCTGGGCGGAATCATGCTAATGTCCTTTTTGCATTAGAAACCATATTGTTTATCAGCAATAGACCCTTTCAGAAATTCATTGCCATCTAGTGTCTCAAATGTTAGTGTAAATTTTTGTACGCTAATGGCGGTTAAAATTTAGCACCTATTCATCAACGGCAGACAAACAAATGTTGCGGTGTTCTTCGCTGTACAGTTGTTTCTCTGTTTGTTCTCGTTTCTATAGTATCAAGAAACTATCACTAAGTATGAGGCACTTAGTTGAGTAAACCTCCTGATAAAATTCACTACATGTCATTTATTGTCATGAGCTGTCTAGGCCGTGCCGAAGTCTAGTGTTTTAAGGATTCACATGAGACCCTCAAATGAGTAGCGCACAGAAGATTATAATTACCGTCATGCTGACATCAAACAAAAATACGGTGAACTAATGTCTGCAATGTTCAGGCTCCGCATCTGTGCCCGTCTTCAAATTCTTTTTTCACCAGCCATCAAAAGGCCAAAATTAGTATGTAGCTACAGGTTAAATACACTGAGATGATGATAGTTATAGAAGTGGCCAGACTAAATTTTGGAAAGAGTTTATTGCAACAGATCTCGGTGTCTTTAGAACAAAAAATTGTTACTTTTCTTTCTTTATCTTTCTTTTTCCGATTGACCGGGAGGTGGGCAGAGACTAAAGGCGTGATGCCTGACAAGGTCTCCGCCAACTTTTACAGTTCTAACACAGCAGTGTAGGGTACATAGCGTTTTTCACACAAAAATAATAGAGAAAAGAATCTATAAAGCTCTATACAACTCAGAAACAAAAACAGGATCAATTATCACACAATGGTTTTTTAACAAAGAATGATGGAATCAAAGTAGTCAGAAACACTTTTTTTGCACATAAAAAGAGAATGATCAAATATGGACATTATTTAATAAATATCAAATACATATGAGAACACAATGTCACTGCCGACCAAAAGTGTCTTTAGCCTTTTTATTGGAGTATATTGCAATTAAAATTTATTAGACCTTAATTAAAATCATCTGGTGGGCTAGTTGGTTATACATCTTGGTAAAATTAGTGCAAAGACAAGGGAGAAAGAACGTAGAGCGCTCTTTCCTGTCTCAACGTTTTTCCTCCCTTTGCGCTAATTTTACCTAGATCTATTAGACCTTCTGTATTGTTCAAAATTTTGGCGACTTGGAAGCTTGTTGTTTGTCTTCCATAATTTGTATGTATTTTTGGAGGTCATTTGATTCAATGTCTAAGTGGGTAATTGGTTGTGTTTTCTAATAGAATCGCGAAGATTTTTTTTTTTTGTGTATTATTTGTGACAATTTAAAATAATAAATTTGATTTACTTTAAGTAGACCATATTTGCTGAACGGCGGTTCAGTTAGGAGGTCTTGAGGCTTACCATAGTTTCCAAATAGTCGTAGAATTTTTTTTTGTAAGATGATCAACCTGTTACAATTTGTTGCCGATCTTGTGCCCCATGCTAAAATACATAACACAGTTTGGAGTAAAATAATGCGTAACATATATTCTTTTTTTGCCCACAAGGGTATGAGATTTCTCATCTTATAAATACATCCATTGGCTTGGGATAGCTCAGAACTCAGCTTATTTATGCGAGTGTTCTAAATTAAGTCTTGATTGAGCCACACACCAAGAAATTTTTGTTAAAAAACCTCCTCTATAATTTCATTTTCGAATGAAAGTGAGTGAGTGAGTAAATGAGACAACTACTTGCAACTGGATCATTTTTGGGGTCAAGTAACTGTAACCTAGCTGCCCTTTCTTACTAGTCTGGTTCACACACTTACGACGGCTTACAACCATGTGCCTTACAATCTCTCGTAACGAGAGAGCACACTGGCCCCACTTATCCGGTAGCCATGGAACACACAACATTTCCACATATTTCCTCATCATTCTTTCCTTCTTGGGTCGAAAAACTTTTGAGATTGTTATGATTGACCTTTTCTCATAGAGAAAACTTACATATTTGATATCGCAAATATGGCAAAACCTTCATTCTAGTGAAATGTACTTCCAGGGTGACCTTGTAGATCGTGCCAGCGTGTTCTCTCGTCGTAAGAGATCTAAAGAAATCGGACCTAAGCAAGATGCAATGGGCCTTACCTTTTACAGTCGTTCATCTTGCTAAGAAAGTAAAACATGTCGCTCGGACACTGGGCGGGACGCTTTTCTTTTCTAGGTCTTCCTTCCCTGTTTGCTGCTACTTTCCTGCTTTGTTTGTACTTAGGGGCGAGGTCAATAACGGCAGCAGCACTCCCAAACAGCGTTCTCGGAACGTGCCGGCGCCACGATGTCCCACCCGGAAGCGCCGGCCGGTCCGGATAGCCACGCCACGGAAGCCAGGGACGACGGCGCTTCCTGGGACAACCTGGAGTTCGAGGCCGACTGGCAGCAGGCGGCGTGTGGCAACGACGACGATGACTTCACGGATTTTGCTCAGGCCACGAGTAGCGAGCTGCCGGCAGACGACGGCTTTGCAGACTTTGCTGCCTTCGAGTCTGCGCCCAAAGAGGAAGAAGAGGACGAGTCGTGGACGGCCTTTGAGGCTACCACGGAGGTGACTCTGGGACACCTTGGAGGCTACCAGGTGAGAAGGAATGTTGCGTACTGGAACCACTTAGGAAGTTTTTTTGCGCTCTTTCGTCACTCTGGCAGGGCTCCGTAGAAGTCCCGCCCACAGCTAGGCTTTGGAAGCGTGACTCCTGAAAGATTTTGTATGTTGTACAGTCGTCTTATTAATACGGCCTCTGTTAATATGGATATCCCGCTATAGACTGACACGCTGCGTACAAACAAGTCGGCACTTGCTTACACCAGGTGTGGGCACTGTGCATGTGCAGAGACCATATTCATGTGGAGTGGAGCGTCTGCATATGTGCCAAGCCGACAACAGCGCCACCACAGCGGTGTGATGTCAGGGACGGGTGTTGGTGTAGATATAGACAGAATCTTTGGGGACAGTCTGAGTAAATATATGCACATTTTTGTTTCGTTAAATCAAAAAGTTGCACAGTTGTGTGACTTTTGGCAGCACTTTCCTCCTCTATATTTCTCCTTCCTCCCCAGTCCAGTTTTGGTTTCGAGCAGTTGCTTTTTTTTCCTTAATTAAAAATAAATGTATGCTGTAGCAAAATATTACTTGGTTAGTCTTCCGACACCATTAAAAATCGCCTCGCAAAAAATTAAAAAAAAATTTCTGAGGTATCGGACATCACTGGTCTCGTTTGATTTACCTGCATCAGACTACATCGGTGCAGAAACGTGCAGAGCAATGTACTTCTAGTTGCGTTTTGAGGTAGGCTGCACTCGTAAATCAAATACGGCGGTGTGCACTGAGTTCAGCTTGGGCAGGAGGTGCAGGTAAATCGAACAGGCCCACTGTAACACTTGTTACAACAGAGGCGGAGTTGTCTGGTGCCCATTCAGCTTTGGCTTATTTCTGGCTGACCAGTCAGTGAAAACTCTAATAGCCAAAAATCTCAATGCCGAATGAAAGTGGCGATGCAGGCTAGTTGATTTGTGACTAGAAAATGGAAGAAAAGAAATAAAGTACTCCAGACGAGCGCTGACTAGCAACAAATAAGTTCAGTTGTTATTCAGCGCTGGTCTTGCATACTTTCTGCGTCTTTTTGTGTGCTGTAGTAATATTTTTAGTCTTGATGCCGTGACGCACATGCATCTGTGTCTTTACCATTGGCTTTACAAACAACCGCCAGGATTGAAATGATCGTAACTGCCATGGCAGGTTTGTTGCATTCTTGCAGACATACACCAATTAGAGATGCTGCAAACTTCTTTCAAACTTGAGGAGAGAAGATCGAACCTCAGGTTTGAAGATTGTGTAATGAAATTGAGTGGAGTAGGATGTATTCCCCTAGTAAAGTATTTGACTCTGTCGTGGAATTGACAGGCTTTCTACAATAAAGGAGGCTAAGGCAGAGTGTCGTTTCTAGCAGGAACAAAGCTCCCCAGAGCAGCTGCTGAGGTTGGCCTACCCTGGTGGTGAAACCGGAGAGAGTGAGGTTGACCTCGACCCCACCAGCTTGCACACCAAGTGAGTAATCGACCCAGTGTTAGCGATGTTACCTAGGTCAGCGGTATTGGACATAGTAAATGCCCATTCACGCATACACCGCAGCACAACCTCACCGCTATTAGGAAATAAGCGCTGACCATGCTGCTCCAGTGCTGACATTGTGCTACTATCTTGGAAGAGCAGTGCATCATCAGTGCTAAATTACACTCCTGTCAGGGCTGCATGAGTGCTGTTCCTAGAGTTGATTTAGTGCTGCGATGGATGTGTAAACGAACCTTAACTTAGACGGGTCTCTCTTATCGGGCTTGAGGAACGTTATCGAGATTGTAAATCAGACAGGCCCTCTTTGTTGTGAGGAATGCTATCGGGGGCCGTAATTTAGACGGCTGCGAGGAACAGTACAAGCGTCATAATTTAAATGAGCCTTCCTTTGCGGTCGTCGGAGACGGTAACAGGGGCCATATTTCTTGACGGGCCTCCCTTCTTGGTCATCAAGAACAGTATCAAGGGCCGTAATTCCGACAAGCCTCCCTCGTCGGTTGGGGGAAAAAATAATTGGGGTGTGGGTATGTTTATACAGCCTGAACTTAGTCTGCTTCGACGGGCAACTTGTCTCTCAGCTGCAGATGAGAAATTTTGCTGGTGCAATACAACCGCTAGCCTGTGGTCTTTAGCATGCACCACGCAGTAGTGATACATGACCGCACGCCGGTACGATGCTCATCAAGGTCAAAACGGGCAGGGGTGGGGATTGAACCCAGGATCCCTATGTTATACAGCGCGAGCTTTCGCTCCACGTGCTCCGAGCTGATGTGCGCTAGCCCACTCGGCCACCGATGCCCCTTGTCGGTTGGGAGGAACGTGGGTGTGCGCTTTGCAGGCTTTGGCTGATTCTGCAGGACTTGGACCAGGCGACCTCGCTGCAATACCAGTGGAGCAGCTCTGGCTGCTGCCAGCACTTGCTGCACAGCCTCAACATTGACTCCAGAAACATTGTGAGCCCCCGCCCCTCTCTTATTTTCTTTCTCTATTCTTTTCTTTTGCTTTCTTTCTTTAGGTGCATGTCCTGGTCTCACTGATCCAGCTACCTAACACAGTATGCTCTTGGCTCGTCTGCTCTTGCCTGACAGCCGGGATAAGGTGTCGGTCGTTTTTCTGCCAACCGACTTGGTCAAAAGACTTCAAGGCGCAATGTCCTGAGGAAAGGCGAAACATTAATATGTGGAACTCTATGTGCCTTGGAAGTCGGTTCCAAGTTCATCTCCCACAGTACACTGAACAGACCAGACATCTAGATAGGAAAATGGCCTAAGGCATTGAATTTGTGTTCGAGGGAAGCGTCCTGGGCTTCTTTGTGGCGCCTGCAGCATGTCTCCGACTGGTGCGTTCACTGCATGCTTATTTTGTCGTCTCCGTTTCTGCCTGGTGACGTCACCATCGTCTTCTAATCCCATGGTTCACCAAGATACTGGCCATATGCCACTTCCGTCGTAGCTCACTCTGCAACTGACCAGCTGGTGTAAACTTCAACGGCAGACGCCGCAATGACAGTGACACTGGTGTCCACCCGCTTTTTTTGTCGACTCCTCTATGGCCAACTATGCCGGAATCACGATGTGCCGTACAACTGTACGGCAGTTCCTATGACACAATTCGTTGCCGTTTAGGGGGACACGTCGATGCGTGGGCGACGTGGGACGCCGAACACGCCCGTCGGGGATGCATTCCAGGCGCCATAGCTTCCCTGCAAACGATAGGCCAGCATGTGGGTCACATCCTCTATAGTCACTGACAAAATGAAAATGACGGGGCATTTTTCTTTTTATATACCCAGCCTATTGCATGCACTCGCAACATCCATACAATATTTCACCACTTATTCTACTAGCACTCAGCTAAAGAATTGGTTAGTGGGAGATTTGTTGGGAAATTTCAGATACTCCCATAAGAGAATTGGTCACATGGAATGTGTTCAATAACGCGGCAGAAGGACCTCGCGGAATCTCCCAAGTTCGTCGTTTCTGTGGCGCTTGAACATCCCAGAAATTGTGGTGCAAGCAAGCTCAAAAGGCCTAACGAAAGGGAGCAACCGGAAGTTGCTCGGGGCACGAAAGACTGCTCGCATTTGTAAATGCAAAGAGGGTCTATGAACTCAAACGTGCTGCTCTCGCGTGCCCCGCCGGCACGTTTGTTTTCGTTGGGGCGTGGTGGCGGGCAGCGTCGGCTTGTGTGCGGTGGCGGCGCTAACCCCCCATTGCCGGCAGACTAACCCCCGCGGTGCACTAACCCAGCTGCGTAACCCGTCGGTGCCCCTGTTTGCCTGCCACCTGGGCCTGCTGGAGCCGCAGCGGGGACCCGCGGACGAGGCGCTCGAGTCCCCGGCCCCCGAGGTAACTTGCATGCAGGATAACGCGCCAAACCAAAGCCAAAAAAAAACAAAAAAACTACTCGGTGTTTTAAATAGCTGCCAGGCTCTTTAAATCGACCGCAAAAATCGGTTTCTTAACACATCGCGCTACTTATTTGTGCAGCATTGCCCACAGGTGGTGCATTTTTTCTATAAAATTTACAGAGAGCGAATTACCTGAGAAAAAAAGTAAGAAAAGAAAAAGGCTCAAGCCGTATGGAAATGCAGCAAAGCCATTGGTCTTGAAACCACAAGGCGCCCTATTGTTTGAAGATAGGTGGCTTCGCTGCGTTTTCATAAGAGTTAAGCCTTTTTCATTATTTACTTTTTCCTCAGGTAAGTTCACCCTTTGCGCATTTTATAGAACAAATGCACCACCTGTGGGCAACGCTGCACAAAATCGTAGCGCGATAGGTTAAGAAATCGATTTTTGCGGTCAATTTAAAGAGCCTGGCCGCTATTTGAGACACCCGGTATTTTTCTGCAAACCACGACGAAGAGGTTAGAAGATTGGTAGAAATTATCTAGGGAAAATTAAATGAAACACAACTAACTAGCACGACTAGGGGACGGGTGTTTCGAAAAAAAAAAGAAAGCCGTATACAACTCCCTGTAACGCCGAATTAGAGCGCAGCTCTTGAGGAGGAGGAGGAGGGTGTTGAGGGTCGCATGTTCTCGGGGGAGGGGGGGGGGGGGGGGGTGTCACGTGGCTTCACGGTTACACCGACGGCGTCGCCGCTCAAGCCGAAAACAGGCGCCTAAGAGCTGCGCTCTACAAATTGGGACTTCCTCTTATGTGGCTTCGACCCAAAACCTTAATCCTTTCTCCCAGTGGGCCCGGTGTTGGTGTAACACCGCTAAGGCTTGGCCGAGGAAAATAGGCGACTCCCTCTACGAGGGGGCGGTGGTGGGGGTTGCATGTTTTTATTACGGTGATAGCTGTAAGGACGTCCATTGTTGATGTCATAGTTGGCGTTGTAGGAAGTCAGTCGTCAATGTTACCGAATCCTCATAAACGATTGCTTGCCACTTACGGGAATTTAACATGGGTGCACTGCATGCGAAGTGAGAGGCGTTACCACTGTGCTACGCCACGCCCTTAACTTAACAACCCGCTCTAAACTTGTTTTTTTTTTTTTTGTAGTACTCGATGCCCACTGCATGTGCTCTCTGGCAAAAAAAAAAAAAAAATAGCCGGTAACAAAATGCTGTTGTAGCACTGTCAATGTCAGAAGCTCGTGCCAGGAGACGTGGTGTCAGGCACTCAGGAAAACAAAAAGAAACAAAAGCGTTTGCAACAAAATGGTCAGATTTCTGTTTTTGTTAGACACTTTTGTTCACACACCCCACGGTGCATGAACGCAACTCCGATGCCCAATGACTTCGCCGTGACGTGTCACGATCAGAGTGTCGAACCGAAATTGTTATCAGTTCGGTTCTGCTTCAGGTTTACTGCTTTCGGTTCAGTTGGTTCACACCGGTTTGAACCGGTAAATTGAGAATATATTTCCCGCATTGTTTTGGCAATAGCCACTATTTTCGCGGTGAAACAAATAACTATATAGTTGTTTATCATTCGTACAATCCATTTTTATTTACAGGTACCAGAAATAAGGAATTGCATTATTTAGTTTCGATGCAACACTAAAAGAAAGCCTAAATTAACAAGCTGTTGTGTTTGTACGACTCAGCATTCATTTCACCTCAGTCACATATATTTTACCTGATTTGAAAGGTTGACCTGAAATGAGGTCGGTCCCCTAAAAGATCCGTGATTGGTACAACTTTTTGCGTCACAGTATTACAGGATCACAGTATCCTGACGTCGAGGCAGTGCTTCTGCAGTGGCTGAAGCAAGTCAGAGCAGCTAACCTTCCAAAGACTACTGCATTGATGATAGATAAGGCTGACACTCTGGCCTTGCAAATGGGGTACACAAACTTTGGTTGCAGCAGCGGCTGGTTGACCGCTTCAAGAAGCAAAACGTGATATTGAAGCCAATACACGGTGAAGGCAGTACAGAGGGCGATGCAGCTGTGGATCTCTGGCGCAGCCACCGACTCGCTGAGCTTCAGAAAACCTACCATGAGAAAGATACTGTAAACGACTTATTTTTCGCGGGCTCAATATTTCGCGATTTAGGTCAAAGCTGAAGTTTTGGAATAATTCGCGGGTTCTAATTTTTGCGACGCGGTGGAATCCCAGTATAGGTTCCAATATGTTTACATTTTTTTGGAATTGTTTGCAGGACCTATTTTTTGCGAATTCTAGGCGATTCGCGAAAATTAGGCCCTCACGAAAATTAGCTGTTTTCAGTATCTTCACCCTGGATGAGGCGGCGCTCTTCTACATGATGCCGCCCAGTTGCACTTTCGCTCCGAAAGGAGAAGCGTGCACCGGAGCGAAACAGCGGAAGGACAGATTAACTATCCTTTTTGGGTCGAATGCTACTGGCGAAGAGAAGCTGCCACTTCTGGTGATCAGCAAAGCACAGAAACCCGTGTGCTTTCACAATGCTCGGCTGCCGAAGGGTGTGATCTACCGGTCGAACAAGATGGCGAGGATGACGGCTGCCCTCTTTGAAAAGTATGTCCGCACGCTGGATTGGAAGCTACAGAGAAATCAGAAAAGTTATCTTCATCGTGGACAACTGCCCGACACACAGAAGGATGGACAACCTGAAAGCGATTACGATGGAGTTTCTTCTCGCAAGCATGACGTCCGTTCTCCAACCGACGGACCATAGAGTCATCAAAATCACCCGGAAGCTCTACAGGGAAAGTCTCCTTCGGCGAATTTTGTTGTCAGAGGACAATGAAAAAGGATACCAGGTCGACCTCCTCGGTGCAGTGCATCTCATCGACAGTGCCTGGGAACAGGTTCTGCCATCGTCGATCGCAAACTGTTTCCCTCATGCGGGTTCTCTCGCGCCACAAGTTCGTCGAAGCCAGAGACACAAGAGTTCAGAGTCTGCGACGAACTCTGCAACAAAGTGCGCCGACTACCCGGTTCTGCCGACCGTGGTGCAGACGGAGACATTGACTTCGAATAGTGCACTCTGTACGAAAATGACGTTCGAGTAATTGGCGACATGACCGATGCCGAAATTATCGAAATCGCTCAAGGCGAACAAAATGACGAAGAGCCTGGGGAAACTCCGACGTCGGCTGAGACGCGGAATATGCTCCTCTTGCTGAAATACAAGGTTGAATGCGACGTCGGCGAGGAACGGCTGATGTCTCAAACAGCCTGAAGATGCTTTTTTGAAGCCATGCACGAACTCCAAGCAAGAGAGCATCACAGCGTTCTTTGGCGGCGAGTGATTGCGATAGATGGAAAGTCAGCCCACTACATTTTTGTTTCGAAAAGTAAGGCAGGGCTAAAATGGTGCACCCGTTGCTTGCAAAATTTGTACCAGGTACGCTTGTACTTCTAGTTTGCTTTCTTTAATAGAGCCTGTGCTGTTGCTGCAATTGTTAGAAGTTTTGGCACAATGTGTGATCGGAAGTGTGAAAATTTTTGCACTTTGCTTATCTTGAAATTTCGCTTATCTCAAATTTTTGCACGGTTTTTATGACTTTAAATTAACGAGGAATTGCAGTGTTGAACCAGGGTTGGGCAGAAATACTCAAAAATGTATTCGGAAATACAAATAATACTGGGACACATTGAAATAGTAGCTAAAGTACCGATACTAAGATATATCTGTAAAAATGTATCGTGATACATATCGGAAATACATTTTAAAAAGAGGAAAAAAGTATTTGGCAATACAAATACAGGAATACATTTTAGGGAGGGCAGAAATACAAATACAGAAATACTGATAGTGCAATACATTTTCCAAATTTTTTGAGACGCCAACTGAGATGAAGCTTGAAGTTTGAAGTGGAAGTTTTCGATCCCGAAATTACTTTCCTGTAGGCTTGGCACTTTGCCTTGAAGGTAGTGGTTTCGGACGACAAGGAGTCTTCAATGGGCCCAAAAAAACGTTCCATGAAGGGCTGACCAGGGTCCTTTCCATGACATCCTGTCTCTCTGACGAGGGAATCCTGTCAACATTGATCACATGATGTCACGGTGGAATGAACTAGTATTTTTTATCTGTAGGTGTGGCCTTGTACATGAAACCACGCTGCTGTATGAAAGGACAATACATACTTTCGTTGTAGGTTACCTAGTTGAAGATCGTGCATGCAGTGTCATTTGGAATTTTTGATAATAGCAGACCACCTGAAGCATCTTGGAATACAGTTGAACCTCGATTTAGCGAAGTCACCGGGACCCCCTAATTATTTCGTTAAATCGGGAACTTCGTAAAGTCGAGAAAGACATTCTTCGGGATAGGCTGCGCGGGGAATTCGAATTTGTTCGTTAAATCGGGAAACTCGTAAAATCGGGCTTCGTTAAATTGAGGTTCAACTGTACATGTCTTATCTTCTGTTACGGTTGAAAAAACGATACGGTAGCATCCCTGTTCTGAAGGTCCTTACTACCGACCCTCCGCCACCGACGCACGGATTGCAGTCCTCAAGTTTTGCCTAGCATTATCCAAACAGAGACCTCGTGGATTCCGAGCTGATATTGCCGGCACAGGTGCGAGGTGTCTGAGAAACAGCGGTGTCGAGACGAGTCGCGGGAGTATGTAGTCTGGAATGGCACAGCGAGGCCACTTCTTGCCTCCTTCTGGGTTTCGGATCACCAGAGCAGCGGGTCACGTTCACGTCGGCTGATGACGTACCCTTGAGCCGTGCAATGTTACGGGCGCAGCCGCAGATGCATTCGAATATGTGTTGAACTTCACAGCGTGAGTCTTCCTACTACTTCAAGTCAACCATTGTCAGGCTCGTGCTGCAACGGAATGTGACTCAGCTTTGCCGGCTGGGTGTACTCTGTACGCTAAGGTGAGAGAGACAGTTAGCAGCGGGCATTGGATGCCAGCAAACAATGACTCAAGAAATCCCTACCTAAGGACGTGCGGCAGAAAATGCTCTGACTCCACTCCTGGCACGCCACCTGGTTCGAGTCCCCGAATACGCAACACTTCTCTGAAGAGAGAAGAGGACGCATAGAAAAATAGTTTGCAGAATCAAAAGGAACCTTGGTCAGCATAGTAACAATGCCCCAGCATCTCCTTGACTCTAGTGCCCTCAGAAGAAAAAAAAAAAAAAAAAAATGTGTTCGGACTTGTTTTTTTTTTTTTTTGCGGGGGGGGGGGGGGGGAGTATTTCTCAAGAAATGTAACGAAATACATTTCATCCTGATTGTATCGCGATACAAAGAAACATTCAAATTGTATTTCGATACAGGAATACAGATACTGGTGAAAAAAATGTATCGCGATATAGAAATACAGATACGAAATGTATTTCTGAAATACTATCGCGATACTGCCCAACCCTGTGTTGAATCTCGGATTAATAAGTCACGTTTAGTCCTTTTAATGCTTCTATTCTCGGCGACAATTTTCTAGAGCAGTTCAGCAATATCAAAAACATGTTCGGGGCCCTCAGTGATGTGTACATGTAAAATAGGTTGTACAACAATTTTTGTACTTTCAGTATATACCGCTAAGAACTAATCTCTGATATTGATCACTTTCAAAAACACCCATTAGTTTTTCTTTCCGTGCAATGGCAGATGCAGAGAAAATAAAGGAAAAAAAACAGCTTTCCCCTCCCCAACTTGCAATTAGAACGAGTGGCCACATGATCCGACACTAATTATATACCGGCAGCATTCGTCATTGCCATACGCTGGGGTTGGCAAAGCATAGAGCGTGGGCTAAGCTTCAGACGTTGTTAGAGTACGGCTATTCCCATCTTTGAACACGAGCCATTACCCGAATTTTCGCAATACCGATTTTCATGAACCCAAGCACTCGACTGAAGCTCATGACAATAGAGTATGTCACAGTGTCACGTGACTCGTGGTGCTAAGTCGTGATGTGTGACGTCACGGTGTCAATAACGCTAATAAATTTAGTGACATTCTCAATCTAAGTCTACTTAAGGCAGTGAGTCACGTGACGTCACGGGGCCACGTGACGTGACATTACTTGACAGCATGTCCTGACACCATGATGTCTTGTGACACATGATTAATCATAGTGCCAATGCAAAAGTGCCACGAAAACCCACAATTTCTCGTTCATTGCAATTCTGTATGTGACGATTTATTAGTACATAGAAATACAGCTGCCAATTTTTTATTCTCCAATCTTCATTTTGTGATAGTAACAAAAAAGAAAAAAAAATTACCATGAACCGTTCTGAACCGGTTACTGTTATATTTTTTTCTGATTCAGTTACGGTTCAGTTCTAAGACGGCGGCGAATATTTTGGTTGGGTTCAGTTCCAGTTCGGTTAAAAATAACGGTTTAGTTCCGAATTTTGGTTTGGCACTCTGGTCGAAGCTGTCGCTGTGACTTTACTGTAAATTAGCACAAGCTTGCTCAATTTTTTTTTTTTTTTTTTTTTTGTCTGATCCCCTAAAGGTCATTTTGGTGATATCCTACACTCCCTGGTGATAGTTACAAAAATGCAGAGGGGAAGGAAGTTGGTTTAGAAAGACAGGGGGAAGAATCTTGATTTGGGTGGTGCAAGCTACACCCCCGTTATAAAGGGTACAGCTGTTAACATCCATCCATCCATCCATCCAACCACCATGATTAAGCCGAAACATTATCAATCTTATCACTTGCCAGTGAAACCGAAAAATAATCTTTGCTGTTTTCGGTTTTACCCAAAAAAAATTGTGCAGTGTAACTTTTCTTTTTTTTTTTTACACATTTTTAGGTACTGTGTTTGAGCCTTCAGCCAAATGACCATACGAACCTTAGCGCATTAGAACCTTCCATACAAAAGGTTCTAATGCGCTAAAGCATAACCACACATGCTTTAGCGCATTCGAACCTTCCCCTGCTGGGGACAAGAGAACTTACACACACTCAGGTCGTCTGCCACATTGGGGTTCCCACACCCTGTTAAGTGTTACCTGCATAGCCCAAAACAGGCTCATTGTTTTGGTTCCACACAATTTATGAACATTTCACTGCATTGCTCTTTTAATATTTAACATTTTGACAAAAGGGAACATGGTTTCTTTTTTGCTGCCTTCAATTTTTTTTTCTAGCATGGAAATATGAGCCGCTTCAAACTGGTATGAGCCATTAATGTTTTTCTCGGGGCTGAGTGGACCTGGACCATTTTCCTTGAACCGAAACAAACACTATTTGGGTTCGACACTGTTCCTACGCCTAAAGTGCTGTCTGCCGGCATGTGGCAAGAGAGTAGTCGGCTACGGGAAGCACTCATTGCAATTAGGTATGTAGACTGGAGTAGCTCCGACACACGACGTGGAGCAGGACAAATCCAAGACGACAACAGGTCTGAGGCTACCCGCGCCTTCACGCGTTAGGGTTGTATGCCTTGGCTGCCCGACCTGCGCATTGCTCTAGTTGTGTCTGTGGTAAGGTGTTCGGCTTTCATCTTCCCCCTCTGCACAGGATTGCATCCCACCAGCCCAGTTTGACTGGACATCGAGTGGCCTGGTCAACCCCCTGGAGCAGCCGAGCAGCTCCAGCCTGCTCGACCTCGATTTTCTCACGGCACTTTCCTCCTCTTCTGCTCGGACAGACGCCACTTCCACCGGTCCCGTCACCAACGGTGGGGACCTCCTCTGGAAATTTGTTGCAAGGGACCACAGAGAAGGCAGTGTTCTTTGCAACTGAGCAAGTGTGATGTCTTTTAAAATTGAGAAGTGCATGTGCTTTCAAACGTAGGAAGTTTGAGGTCTTTTAAACCTAAGATGGCACAAGGCCCTTAAAGCCTAGACAGTGTCAGGTTTTTGAAGCCTCTGAAGTGCAAGGTCCTTGAAGGGTAGGTAGTAACAGTGCCAGGTCTTTGCAGACTAGAAGGTGCAAGGTTTTTGAAGCCTAGATAGGTGCCAGGTCTTTGAAGCTTAGAAGGTGCAAGGTCCTTGAAGCCTAGAAAGCACCATGTCTTGATCCCTGGAACCTAGGCAGTGAAATGTCTTTGAAGCCTAGAAAATGCCAGGTCTTTGAAGCCCAGGAGATGCAACGTCCTTGAAGCCTAGACAGTGCCAGGTCTTTGAAGCCTAGGAGTTGCAAAGTCCTTAGCCTAGACAGTGCCATGTCTTTGAAGCCGAGAAGGTGCAAGGTCCTTGAAGCCTAGAAAGCACCAGGTCTAGGTTTTTAGAACCTAAGCAGTGAATTGTCCTAGAAGCCTAGAAAGTGCCAGATCTTTGAAGCCCAGGAGGTGCAACGTCCTTGAAGCCCAGAAAGTGCCGGTTCTTTGAAGCCTAGGAGGTGCAAGGTCCTTTATGCCTAGGAAGTACCAGAACTTATGAAGGCCTTTGCACAGTGTTTCTGCTTGCCACTGCCCCAAACGGCAGAAGGTGCGTGACTGTCCATGGCCTCTCTCTCCCCCCACCGAGCAGGGCTGGACGAAGAGCTGGTGTGCCCACCAGAGGGGGTACCCTCTGTGCGGGGGGCCTGCCGGCTGCAACAGCTTCTGGCCTCTAACGTCCCCACCCTGGCCCCTTCGCTGCAGCCCAGGAGCAAGCCCCCCCTGCTCAGCGGGGACGCCCAGCGTCTACTGGACTCCCTGCCAGACCTGACCTTTATGCAGGCTGCCGTGCTCATGTTCCCCGTTCGCCTCGACAGTTGACCTCCAGAAACACGCCTGCTGGTGCTCTTTGTGTTCGTTACAATACCCCTCGTGATTCCGACCTGGGTTCCCCGCCGTTGGCTGCAAGGCTCTTCCTGCTGCACAGATTCCAGGCTCAAATGCTTGCTTGGAGGAACGTGGGAGGCCAGTGTCTTGTGGTACCCGCATGTCTCCAAGAGTGTGGTAAAGGGGTCCCTGGAACCAGCTTGTGTCCAAGGGTGTGGCAAAGAGGTCCTTGGCAAGTGAATAAACCAAAAGATGGTGTAGAACAGAGGTGACTGTTCATAGCACCCGAGACCATTCCATCTTTTGTGAAAACATGTTTTAGCGACGAGACCTCTTGTCTGGCATTTGTGGACTTTTCCGGACTAAGCTGCCTCCTGACTTCCTGTGAGCTCCATTAGAACAGTGTGTGTCTTTGAAGTGCATCTGCTCTCCGCTTGGTTGCATTTCTGCAATGGATCCCGGTGCCCTTGCTGCCCCCATGTGTCTACTGGAGGCTCCTTCAATAAAGTCTAAAGACTTAACGTCGCTCCATTACTGAATCGGATTTAGGACTATTGCAGCCGATCGTGAACAGTGAATCAAAGGTTCCCCTTGAAAGCTATGAAAATACTCATAACATGATATACTAGTATGGTGCTCATAGCCAACATTGCACAGCATACCCTTCCAGAACTTTAAACTGTAGAATTTATTAGCGTGCATTGTCGATATTAAGGAGTTTTACGATAGCGTACGCAAAGATTAGCGTCATCACCACTGCGCATACACTGAACGCTAACCATGTTTTGCGCTTTGCGTACACTATTTCTCGGAAATTGCGTGCACTATTTCTCGGAAATTGCGTGCGTATGCAGAGCCTGCGTTCCTCAAAGGAGGATTCGTGACGCACAAGTTGACTAAAGCCAGGACGAGCACAGTTAGAAAGTGGTGGCTCCCAGGACCACAGTGAATGTGGCTCTATACAAACCACAGAATCGGACAGCAACGTTCAAAAGTTCTGAATGACCAGTGTTGTCAGATTGCGCACTTGAAAACTCCCCACAACCACATTAGAAAGTTCCTATTTGTCCCTACTTCTGTCCCTACAGATTAAAAAAGTTCTTGTATTTGATTTATTTTGTTCATAGCTCTCAATTCTGGGGCTATTTTTAACAAACATGCTTTATGGTCTCTCTTGGAGCAATTACAACCACTTTATATAGCTTTTTATTGGATCCTCCAGGTTTGTAAAAAGCCAAACTAGGCATTGAATAAAAAAAAATTGCAGAGTTTGCATAATATACTGTGAAGTCTGGTTGACATGTGAAAACTCTGATAATATTTTAATGTATTCAGGTCATTAACGTAGACAACGCTAGGTTACACAGGGACCACAGTTGCATCCTTTTTTGTTTAATGAAATTTGAAAACTAAGTCTTGATGACGGGTCCACAGCCATCACTAGGTCAGGTAAATGTTGCTTGCTCTTACAAAACTTCAGGCACCTTTCCTTTCCTTTGAAGTTCTTGTACAACTCCGCTTGTGATTCTACAGCAAGGACTATGTGATGGATAATGTTAATGTTGTTTTCGTTGATGTCAGTGCAAGGAGCAAGCTTTTTCATTTTTGCTGTTTGTTAACAGTAAATTGGAGCTTTTTTTTTAGTTTTGGCATTTCGATCCCCACAGAAAGAAAGGACTGACTTTTCCTGAAGGAGGGCCTTAAAAATTCGCAGGGTTTCTTCTGTCATCCCTAAGGATCCCAGTGATATCGAACCTCCGAAGACAGAGCGCTCTATGACGACGCACTTTTGACGCCGTTAATCTCGCGGCTTGTCGCACGCCCACTCTTCACCGTTGCCCGAGCGAGGGTGTCCTCTTTTCCCGCTGGGTTTGCGCTGCGCGCGTGCCACTGCCGATTTTGGCACAAGTAACGCCATCGCGTGGTCCAGTGGCGAACTGTGGGTTTTGGTACTTTTCGTGTTGCTGACGTGTGTTCGCTCAAGGACTGAACGATGAGACCTATAAGGCTTTCGCCTTAATAGTGGTCTTTAATGGCTCGGGAGAGCCACAGCATTGCAGAAAGGCAACAGCCCGTACCATAAAGGCCCGCGGTACCTTTTCGTTTTCAGCGAAAAACCAAGGAAGTATTTACCATTCCACCTGCTTATTGTCAGGACATGGCAATAGATACAAAAATAAACGCTCGTAAAAAATGTCGGTGCCGCGATACGCACCAAAAGCGCAAACAAAGATATAAGAAATAATTAAAGAAAAGTGTTGCGCGAATTTTCGGATAGTACATAGTTTCGAATAATTCGATATTTCTGAGATGAACTCTGATATCAGTATTTTTCGGAGTGTTCACCGCGGCGGGTTAGCCCCGTTCAGCGCTCTTCTTACCGAGCACTGGTGCACTGCGGGAGAAGCAACGCCCGCAGAAGCGATCTCCGCGGGTATTGCTTCTCCGCAGTGCACAGGTGCTCGATAAGAAGCGCGCTCAACGGGGCTAACCCGCCGCGGTCGACACTTTTGTACTCGATGAGGGGAGGGGGCCCGAGCTTCCCCCGGGGTATTTCTCGGCCCTCAGAGTAGGAGTTCCCAGTCTGCAAGTACCATTCGCCAAAACTGATCATTCTGGCTCGGTCGTGATTACGGTACGGTGGACGTTTCGTGTGCTCGTCCAACCCGTCAGCAGCCACTGGCTAGGGTCAGTATGGCTAGGGTTGGCTGTAGTTGCGTCCTCGTGCGTCCGCGCCTTTCGCACAGTCACAAAAAAGACTTCATTCAATCTCGTTGGCATTATCAGGTTAACATTTGTATAATAAAATCTCTGAGCTCTTTTAATGTTTTCTCGGTCTACGCCATTCTTCGAGAAGACTCGTTGGGCTTTTTGGCAGTTATGTTTGGCAGTACCTCTCGTCTGGCAACCTCATTTTGGTTTGCTAGTTTTTGTTTCATTCGTGTTGATTGGAGGCATTCGAGGGGAAGTTGGTTTTGTCGCGGTGTTTTCGGTGTTTTGACGGTTCCCTGCGCGAAATCCAAGCTATCAACACTCTGACCCGTCGCTTGCCGAACTTTTGTCGCCAAACCCGTCGTCGATACTCTTCTGGGATGCTGGGAAAGGTAAGACAACGACCCGAGTCGTCGGGAGGTAGGCACGGGAGGCCGACCGCCTTGACACCCGTGCTGGCCCATGACCCCGTTAGAAAACGCGAGCTCCAAGATCTCCCTGGCTGCAACAGTATGTTTTGTCTGTTGTTTTTTTTTTTCTCCACCCTTCTGTCTCCGCCAAAAAAATACCTGAGCACACGTTCTGGTCTGATCGTCGGTTTCCAATGCGACCAGCGTCAGCTCGCCAAATGTTGGTGCTTTAATATTTGTTTTTGTTTTTCGCCAACGAATTGAGTCGTGCTTTAGCCTTTGGTGTGTGCGCTGCTATCTGAGAAGTCGCGTTCATGTCACTGTTCTTATTAGCCCGTAGTCCTACCGAATGACTTTTCCCCGATCTTGCAAGAGGGGGATCTCTTGTAAGGGTTCCACTCTCTCGGGGTGAACGTTCGCGCCGAAGACCTGGTTCAACATCTTAAGCATAGAGGCTCTGCTGAAAATAGATACATAAATCAGTAAAAGCCAAATTCACACGGTACACACAACTACTTCTCTGAAAAGAAATCGGAGCAAATCAGGTTTGGGGCAGATTTAGCTCTAAAGAGATAAGATAATCCGCCAACCAAAAATTGAAATAGTAGCGACCCTACGTTTCGAAACCATTCGTTTCTTCTTCAGGGGGATGAATGAAGGACAGCAGCTTCTTCTTCTTCTAGATGTTGAGCGACTTCTTTTTCTTTTTCATTGGTCTTAGTAGGCTGGTCGTGCCGTGCGCAGTCTGTTATAACATCTTGGAGGCCGGTAATATATAAAGTTGGAAGTGCCCCTAAGGACCCAAGCACATGGATCCTAAGGAATCATGCACATGGATCCTAGCGTACGGGAAGGAATCCGTCTAAAGGCAATCAGCGCACTGTCGAAACTCCCACGACGTCAACCATACAACATCTCTAAGGAGGAACACACAGCGCTCCGCAAGCTCAGAGAAGACAGCACCATCGTCATCTTACCAGCGGACAAAGGCAACACGACTGTCGTCCTTGACAGAGTAGCGTACGAAGAAAAGACCCAAAAACTTCTTGATTGCTCCGCCTACAAGAAGCTCAAACGGAATCCGACGCTCGTTATACAGAGAAACTTAAACAGCATGCTGGCAACAATTTTTAAAAACTACCCGGAGTCAAAGAACCTTTACCTTCGACTTATTTGCAGAAATGGATTCGCTCCAGGATTTTACGGACTTCCCAAGATCCATAAGCCCGACGTTCCTCTGAGACCCATCGTTGACTTCACAACTTCACCACTTCGAGCTTTGTCAGACTACTTACACAGAGTAATATCCCCTCTCGCCGGGAATACGCCGACTAACGTACGGAATTCCAGCGATTTCGTAGAACGCATATCGCAAATAAGGGTCGACAATGACGAGTGTCTGGTATCATTCGATGTTCTATCCCTTTTTACAAACGTCCCGATTCCTCTGGCTGTCACCGCAACAAGAGAAGCTCTCGAGAAGGATGAAGACTTAGACACAAGAACTTGCCTTAGCATCGATGAGATATGTCGTCTCCTAGAATTCTGCTTGAACAATACTTACTTCTCCTTCAAACAACAATTCTACCAACAAACTAGTGGCACGGCAATGGGCGCATCCATCTCCGTTGCCATGGCCAACCTGACAATGGAAGTAATCGAACAGAAGGCTTTACAATCTTTTGCAACCAGACCCCAGATATTCCTACGGTATATTGACGACTGCTTCTGCATCATACAAGGATCAGAAGTGGACAACTTCCTCGGCCACCTCAACTCTATAGAACCGGCTATACAATTCACCGTGGAACGCGAACACAACAACACTTTGCCCTTTCTCGATGTGCTGGTCAGAAGACAAGGTGATGCCCTAAAATTTACCGTGCACAGGAAACCAACTCACTCTGGACGTTACCTCCGGTTCGATTCCAACCACCCGGTTAGCCACAAGGCGTCTGTCGTCTCCACACTGTTTACGAGAGCTAAGGCTGTGTGTTCTTCTGAAAACGACAAAAGAAAAGAGGAACAAACAATCATCAGCGACCTAAAAAAGAATGGCTATACCGGTAATTTCATTCGCCATGTGGTTCGCCGTCAGAACCATAATAGGATAAACCAACCTGCAAGAACAGCTTCCAAACCGCTAGCACGCGTCAGCATCCCTTACGTGAAAGGAACGAGCGAACTGCTATCCAGACTATTCGCAAAGGAACATATTATGGTTGCACACAAACCGGTGTCAACTCTTGGGCACTTCCTACCCCGCCCAAAGGACAAGCCACCGAAGGACAGGGCCCAGGGCGTCATTTATAAGATTCCATGCTCCCAATGCCCCGCCTCCTATATCGGCGAATCGAAGAACTTCCACGATCGACTCCGCCAACATAAAAACGACGTGCGAAACTTCGACAGAGAACGCAGTGCTCTCGCTGAACATTGCGAGACCCTCGACCACCGCATTGCCTTTGAAAACGCAAGCATCCTAGACACGGCACCAAATCTACGTAGAAGACACCTCGTAGAGTCATGGTACATACAAACAACCTCTAACAACATCAATAGGTCCTTAGGGGCACTTCCAACTTTATATATTACCGGCCTCCAAGATGTTATAACAGACTGCGCACGGCACGACCAGCCTACTAAGACCAATGAAAAAGAAAAAGAAGTCGCTCAACATCTAGAAGAAGAAGAAGCTGCTGTCCTTCATTCATCCCCCTGAAGAAGAAACGAACGGTTTCGAAACGTAGGGTCGCTACTATTTCAATTTTTGGTTGGCGGATTATCTTATCTCTTTATTATTTACCCAACCAGAGAGAATTCTCTCAAACATGTTTACCTTCAAGATTTAGCTCTGTATATATTTCAATAAGTGTGCTAATGACACTTCCAAACTAAAATCTTGGATGCTTTTTTTTTAATGTTTTTTTTTTTCTTTCTTGTCTAGCTCGCAGGTAGTTGCAATTTGCGTCCTTGAGAAACGTGTTTTTTTTTTGTTTTTTTCACCTTTTTTTTTTTTTTGTTAGTTTGGGGCATTTTGGGGAAATAGTCTGGGGAGGAAAAAGTCAGGGAGTTTCAATATACAAGTTATGGTAGAGTACTTGGGGCAGAAGATCTGCATTTTAGCCTACCAACAGGGCACTTGGAAAATTGCAAGATTATTGTTGAATACCATAGTACCGTAATTGTTGAATACCGTAAGATGGCCCACCCCTGCTTTCTGGCCAGTTTTCCGCTCTTAGACAAACACCAAAAGGTGGCCACTCCAACTGGTTGCATTATAGGTGAGGAGTACAAGTTCGAACAAGTCTTTTGACTCCTTACTTGGCAGTTAAATGAGAAACCATGCCTCGTTAATTTTTTCTTTAGGTTACGCACCGTGAGCTATCGTCCCCTTCCTTTTCGGAGCCTTTTTCGTTAGTGGTGATTATGCGGGAGGGCCACCCATATTTCGGGATATTACTATGACAACGAAGTGAGCCTCTCTCTGCAAGTTGTACCTATTATGGCCTCTGTAGAATTCAGTGCCATCTGGTGGTGCCATCTGAATCAGTCTAACTTTTAGTGTCAGTGGTGGCAGCGAAAATGTTATAACATCACATCGGGAGCTCTTCCTCTCGTAAGTTAATGGTACACATAAGAACACTCTCTTTGCTGTTCATGTCTTGTTTGATTTGTTTCGGTTCCATTGGTGGAAAAGAAACAAATGGTGTATGAGGCACAGATCTGCACTCATTAGATTGAATGGAATGGGATTCTTTGGCTTTCACTTTTCTGTTGAGTAATCACACAAACCGGATTCTGGATCTAGCCAGCTTTCCAGCTTTGGGACACAACTCGGCTGTGCAAGCTCTTGAGCAGCACGTGCAACTGCCGAAGCTATATGTCCAGTCTTCTAGCCTTCACTGAGTAAATTCTTAAAAAACCCCTGAAAAGAAAAAAAAAAAATCATTTTTAAAACAGTCTTGTTGGGACACGCATGCAAAAAACATAATTTTACGCGCAAAAAAAAAAAAGTTTTAGAACAATATTGACAACTCGATTTAGGCGTTAGTCACCTCCTTTCCACTTCTTTTTCCTCTCAGCATTTCGGGCGCGTGGAGGAGAGGTGAATCGGCTTCACCTTCACGTTGAGGTAAAAAAAGTGAATGACCATCTTGTTGAGGTCGAAAGAGCGAATGATCATTCTGTGACATCATGTACTTTGCGCGCAGAATTTCAAATAAATCTCTCGCCGTCAATATTGCTCTCAAAAAATTTGTTTTCGTAAAAAATTTATTCTTTGACACACATGTCCCAACCAGCCTGTTTGAAAAATATTTTTTGTTTATTTTCATGGGACTTTTAAAGGGTCGGTGCAACGATTTTTGTACTTTGCGCAAATACCGCTTAGAATGAATCCCTAACGTTTAGAACCAATGGAACACGAATTAGTTTTCTCCCCACGCAATAGTCGTTGCAGATAAAAATATAAAGAAAACCGAACAGTGTTCACCTGCTCAACTTGCAACCAGATCAAGGGGATGCTTTATTGAGCCGACTACATGCCGTCAATGTCTGTCTTAGCCATGCGCCAGAGTTGGTGAAACACAGGACAGACGCTGTGTTCCAGGCATTGTCTAAATTCGGCTATTGTCATTATTGCAGTACTAATGTAGCGAATCGGGTAAGTTGGTAAACGTTATACGTGATGAAAACAGCCCAAACGATGAAGACAAAGTGAACAAACAAACAAACGAGACGGGACAAAACTGCACACGAGCCTCTACCCGAGTGCTTGTCGAGTTATTATTACGAGCCCGAATTGAGTGCTCACACAATGCTGAAGTCCAATCTATGGGCCGCTTTCCAATATTGCCACTCGTGGGGCTAAGCCAACAATGCGTCGTTAGAGCTACGTCATCTAGTTTTGCGGAAGAGAAACCAAAAGAAAACGCTTGCTTTTGTCCTTGAAATTACAGTGCAGAAAGTAAGTACCTTGGTCAGTGACATCACGTGCCAGCATACTTGGGTCTCACTAGTGTCAGTACGCTCATGTGAAGTGAATTCCAACTGAATTTAAGGTGAAATTCCACCTGTACTACAATGCCTAAAACGCATCTTTGATTGGTGTGTTTACCATCCTTTCCTGCCCATACACCAAAAATGGGCCCAAAGCGGTAGTAGACGGTTTCTCAGCAGCTGTTGTGTCGTGTTGTCGGATGCCGCGATCCTGGCTGTTGGTGCTAGAAGTCCCGGCAAAAAGCACAAGCAGATGCGACCGTCTATCGTCGTGGCAACCAAACTCCTGGCTGTTGAAGCTTCCGTGGATTGTCAAGCTGGATAAGCAGCACAGGCGACTGCCACATCCACTACCGCTGTTGCGACACAGCCAGCGACAGCATGGCACTTTTATGATGTCATCAGGCGGAAATTGAGGGACCACTTTTAGGACACGATAAACACACCAGTTGGAGACGTGCATAACTTAATGTCTAACATCACAATGATGATGGTGATAATAGTCATCAACGTGGCCAACCTGAGTATAAAAAAGGAGCTTTTCACGACTGACCGATGCCCGTGGGTCGGCGCCGGTTGCTTCCTGCAGTGGGGGTAGCAGCGTAGGATGGACAGCGCCCTGATTCAGGGGATCCGGCGTCTGCTAAGCGACTATGACAACATGGACGAGCTGGTTCAAGACCTGACGGCGGCTCTTGAAGAGTCCTCGCTGCCCAAGCGCGGTGCCACGGCCAAGTGGAGCGCCATCTCTGGCGACGACTCCGAGTCCAGCCTTGAGGGGGGACGCACGGTAAGGACTGGTGCCATTGAATGTTTTGGTTTGTTTCGTGGCCTAGTGTGGTCGCCGTCATTGTGGGTCACCTTATCAGTAGTTTCTCCTTGGACCAATAACAAATTGTATCATAAAAAAAACAAAAGGTCTTTTTTTTTGGTCTGCATTCGAGCACACCATCTAATCACCGTCAATCTGCATAAAATTTTATTAAAAAAAAATTGCCTCCAATACCTTTCAAAAGGCAAATTTTATATTTTTTTTACACCAAAACATAATTTATTTAACAAAAAAGAACCAGACAGATAAGAGTGCAGCTTTGCACTGCCGCCATGTGTGGCACTGGCGTTTGGCAAAGGCTGGTGGCATTGAGAAATATTTCTCCTGTCAATAAAAAAGTATGAAAGATGATGTCATTTTATGAAATTGGTAGAGATAGACGAAGTCAAGAAGCATTGGATGTCTAGAATGAATCCTAGCACCGTGCAACGAGCCAGAAAAATCGGTGCCTACAAATAGATAGCTCGACCTTTCACCGAATCTGCATTTAGGCGGTGCATTTCATCCGGTGAAATTTCGAGACATAGCTTTCTTTTTGTGAAGAGCGAAATATTGCTAAATTCGACAACAAACATGTTTGCAGACGACCGAGTTAGTGATGATTGTCACTTGCGGCGCCATCTCCCAATAAGTGCAGGAAGCAGACAACAGAGTGTGTCGTCTGCTTGCTGCGTCATGTGCACGCCACGTACGAACCACATTCTTTGTGCGTAGCATGCACATCACACATTAACAAATAGGCACAGGAAAAGGTTTTCGTGTCTCAAGCCCTCTGTGCCAACGTTGTGGCGTCGTGCGCAGCGCGATGGCAGGCCGCGTGCTGAGCGCGGCCAGGCACAGTTGAGCGACTCCGACGAGCTGCTGCAGCGCCTCTGTGCCTGGCGCCACCGGCAGAGCAACGTCGCCGCCGCCGAATCCGACTCGGTCAACGAGAACTTCCTTCCCCGACCGCAGCGCCGCAAGCGCAAGCTCAAGCGTATGGCTGTCGACCCCCCCAGCATTCCCCAGGTACGCACCCTTTGAGGAGGCCGAATCGGCCGTTTAGTTTATCATGACACAGCCTTTCGCACGAAACGAACGCTTAGTAAATACCACCACAGGGAGTTTCCGAGCACCGTTCGGGCGTAAAATCTTTTTTTTATAAATAAACCATAGAATTGAGTGCAATGAAACTTTCCGCAGAGGTGTCTTTAGGTGGTGCATTTATCCTGCCCAAATTAGAGGAGTTTAGCTTGTAAGAAAAAAATTGAAGCCTAAATATTCTTGTTTTTTTTTCTTGTGCATAAGGAGGAAAGCGGTAAAAACCGTCTTGCTGATGCAGCTACTCATAGATGGCACGACATAATACAAAAACGTGAAGGCTTCTTTGAGCCTTCACGCTTTTGCAGATCCACCAGATCTGAGCGTGTGTGCTACCATCCGACTAGTGGTGTCAACCAGACGGTTTTTAATGCGAAAGCATTAACTGGTTCCATGGAGCAAGCCGACGTCATCAGCTTTGAAGTTGTTCTAACAGCACCTAAACTCCTCTCTCCAAGTGAAGCCGGCTCCCAGCTTTGAAACCACGCGAAAAGCCTATCCATATGGCACTTAATTTCCCCGATCCCAGAAGAGCAAAGTGAACCCGATGGATTTCGGCTTCAGTCCCATTGGCCGCTGCGCATCGGTTCCAATGACCGCCACCCCATGGCGTTGTGTGTCTGCGAGGCAGTGGCTCCACCGCTCCATGCCCAAGGTCAGAGCGCCAAGGAGAGGTAGTGCGCGCGCTTGACTGTCGACGCAAGTACGCTGCAGACGGAATAAGGGAGCGGAAGAGCGGCTCGCATTCCATCGGGTCTTGCTTTTACATTCACAACTCATAAGAAGTGCTTAGGTGTACCTCGAGCCTTTTACCAGTGTAAACCAGGCAGTTTTCCTATGCATAAAAAAAGATGGGACTTTTTAGGCTAAACTTTTTTTCCTAAAGCACATGCTTCTTAAATTTCAGTACGATAAATGCGCCACCTAAAGATGCCTTCGTGAAAAGTTTGAATGTGCTGCTTTCATTTATTTCATTATATGAGTATTTTTACACCCAAATAGCGCTCAAAAACACCCTGTAGAAGGCAAGGTTTGCTCCTTTCCTCCTCCTACGGTCACCGACGAGATAAGAACAGAGGAAACGCCCTTCAGTTCCGCCTCCAGCACAAGCTTCCCACCTACGACGACGCTCAGGTGTCATGTGAGCTTGGAGCTCGCATGTGCGGCCAATGCACGGCGAGTGGATTCAAGGAGCAAGTGCGGAGGGTCGAGCATCCTGTCGATGACCGTAGTAGATCCACGCAGCGTCGGCGTTGCTGCCAGGGCGTCTCAAAGTGTCTCGTGAATCGATGCTAGCGGATGGCGAAGCCAAGATGGACGTGTCTGCCGCTTTGCCGCATGCAAGCTTTAGCGTGTTTGCCGCTCGGTGTGGGTCGAAGATTCACTGACAGCGATGTGCAGGATCGTCTTCCGGGTGGTATTGGCTTAGCACCGAGGATTTCTAAAGAAAATGGTGCCGAAAAACACAAGGACCGAAGCAAGAGATACGAGACAAGGTTTCGGTCCTCGTGTTTTTCGGCGATGTTATTTTCCTCAGCTTCGAACCAACTGGCTCGGATCACCACCTCACTGGGTGTTTATGGAGGGTAGCTGCCGATTTCTTTGGTGCATTTTAGTGGTCCTGGAAGTAGAATCGGCTAACCTCGCGACCAGACGTCTGTCGGTCGGGTCGGGAACTGTGGCGATCCGAGTTGCGTCGAAAAGCTGCGGCGAGGTCGCAGCCGGGAACCGATTACCGAAAAGTGAGAAACGGGACCTTGGAAAGCACTGGTCAGCCGGTGTGGGCGCAGGACAAAAAAACACGTTGCTTCTCTTCCCATCTTTCTGGTGCTCTTTTTAGTTTCCATAAAAAATAGTGAGCCAACTTAGCCAAACTTCTAGTCCGACGCACAAAAACGTTTGCTATATCTCGATCGTAGCTGGTGAACTCGGAGATGCGCAGAATGTGTTGCGAATGAGCTGGGCACATGGTGCGCGTGGCCGTGACATCACATCGTCACAGGACGTCGTGGTGCCACTGTGACCATGTCACAGTCACGTGACCTCATGAGTTCACGTGCGTCAGTAATGCTGGATTCCAACGCTGCAGCATGAAAGTTTTCTCACGGAATTCGGCTGATAAAACACATTCTGTATTTGTAGCTACTGGAAAACAAGAGGAGGTGCCCAACTGCTTTATTACCTTGCAGTGCACAATGAAAGACCTCGTTCTACAGCCATTGCTGATACGTAATACAAAAGATTATCTGCACACACTGTCTAGGGCCTTCCTTGTACGATAGTCCTGTTACGCTAGTCATACAAAAGCTGTCTTTGGAAGTGTTTGATGCAGACACTTCTGTCATCACGTCTGTGGAAAACACTGTGTCTTTTGTATGTTGTACAAACAAAATGACTGCGGCTTAAGACCAACGCTTGTGTCGTGACGCAGCTGTCGCGGCTGAAGGGCCGGGCGGCCCCCGCAGGCCCCGGGCGGCGGCTGCCGTCGTCGTTGTGCGGGAAGCGCAAGCGCAGCGTGCGGGAACGCAGTCTGGAGTCTCTGGCCAGGGTGCACCGCCGGTCGGAGTGCTGCGACTCCATGGACACCGGGGACGCCGGGGCGGCCGGCAAGCCCCACGGGTGAGGTGCCACCTTACCGAAACCCGGTGTCTTCGATCATTTTGCTTTTCAAGGGCAGTTTACTGATCTCTGCATGCATGTCACCCGGAATGTAAAGGAAAATTAGCAGTTTCTTCTGCATTTTCTGAAGGCGTTCTAAATGCGTATCATTTGTGGGCCCCTTTTACGCTCCTCGTTTTGCGGGCACAGCAGGGAGGGAAACTACTTGAGGGCACATTGCAAGGGTTTTGCAAGTGTATAAAGCCGCCACAGTGTCATGTGATGTCACATGAGTGAAATGAACTGCATTTGTGTACTTTGGGAGCTGCGTTTGAAGTTATTTCTGGGAAAGGATATGCTGAGCTAGAATAAAAGAAAAGGACGTGCGAGGCTCTGCCGAGCGGAATCGGCTCGAATGCTAGGTACTTCCCCCTCACGGAGCCGGTCACGTCACCTAAAATTCCCTCTCGTGGCTGTTTTACTTGCCGGGAGAGGTGCCCGCATTGATTGGCGAACCAGCCCCATGGAACAGAGTAGGCACCTTTGTAGCCACTGGCTATCCAGCTTATGTTTAAGGTCACACATACCAGTACGGTGCCTGGATTATGTCTCAGACCGGTTCGTTTACTGCGGCTATATTTTGCCCCTTCAGTTTCTGCCCGGCGGCGTCAGAACCGTATAGTTCTGTGACAGACGCTTGTTTTACCTTGGTTCGCACCACCGCCGGTCGGCCGACAGAAATCCAGGCAACCACGGCTTTGGGATGCCACGTAGACGGCAACTCCAGCGTCTGCTTGTCTCATGCACTGGCGCTTGTGCAGCCATTTGCCGGTACCACGACAAGCTAACGCTTCTACCTGGCGGCACCATCGGAGTGCTTTGAGGGCACTTTGACGTTCGAGCAGTGTCGAACGTTTGGCGCACCATTTGGAGACGCGTTGTAGATACGGTAGCGCCGAGCCTGTGCAAGACAACGTCGCGGAATACGCGCACGGGTGACCTTTCCCATAAACGGAGTGTGCAGCCGCTTACGGGTGCAGCGAATGACAAAACGAATGACCTCGGGTGAAAGTGTAGGCTGCGGTGTTTTTCCAGCGCATGCCCGGAAGGGTTTCCTCGGAATGAAGGGGTTGTCTCTCCATGCAGGGAGTGCAGCAGCAGTCTGAGCAGCAGCGAGAGCGATGCGGGCATCCTCACCAACGACGAGGGGCGGGAAGGTGAGTGCTCCAAGTGCTCACTCCCCCTCGGGCGCGTTCCACATTAATTCGTTCTCACTCGCCGCGACAGAAGTGTTTTTGGAAGGCGCACATGACCCCGTTCGTCCCAGCCACACTCTCGGGAGCGAAGCCAAATTTCCCGGGTGTCAAGCGTCCGTTCATCCCCGGACAACGGGTGCCTACCCAAAATCGTGGGATGCCTACAATTAGATTTCAGCATAAGCACTCACCGGACACAAATTTAGGTGCTCCTTGTGCATTGTATGTTGGCTTCTAAATGTACGCGGAACTGTCAAAAACATTTTTGTAAGTGCCTGGATAGGACACATGTCACACAAAACAAAAACATTTCCTAAAAAAAAGATATTGGTGCATTATTTCTTTCGCAAGACTGATTTGAGCAATTCCAAACCATGACACTTTTTCAGGGGAGCGCGTTTCAACGTCACTCATAACTCGACACGAGCCTTGCAAAAAGAACATTGCACTAAAAGTGTGTCTTTTTTTGCAGCAAGTTAATTTTTTGAGGTGTGGGTCCTATCTAAACACGTAAAAAAACCTGTTTGTTGAGTATCTCTAGAAGTGGTCTCGAAATTTGTTCTCGTGTCGAGTCAACGTAAACTTGCACTAAAAGAACTAAAAACTTGCAACATACACCTTGCACTAAAAGATTATATTTTGAGAGGAAAGTTTATTTTGTTACACACACGGCCCATTCAGGCACCTGGAACTAGTGTCACACTATACTTGACCGACACACGGGTCAAGATCGTATAAGCAAAATTCCCGTATGAATGTCGCACTCGGCAACGCATGAGGCTGCCACACAGAGGATTGTGGTTCGAACCCCGCATGAACCCCCTTTCGGCCCAGTTCTTTTTTTTTATAATTCTGCTCTCATCCGGAAGGTTCCAGTCCGTTCTCGGCCATCGTCGAGCATTCTTGTTCAGAATGTTTCCGAACGTACCACAGGTGTAAAAGCGGCAGTGCGCGCCCCTTAAGCCCTTCCACTTGGGTGGGAATGTTTAGTGTCCTTTTAAGTACTGCATGTCGACTTTAAGAGGCGGCCATTTCACCCAGGGGACGACGAGCAGAGCGACTTCTTCCACGAGGCAGGCCCCGCGTGCGGCATCCCGGCGGGGGTCATGGCCTGGTGGGACGAGGAGGGGCCCCTGGCGCAGCTGGGGGCACACTTTCAGGCCATCCTAGGGGCCAGCCTGGCCCCACACATGCCCCACCCGCACAGGGTAAAGACCCCCAACGCATCTGTCGAACGAGTGGAGTCTAATGCGCCGACGCAGCCCTTGGAGGCGGGAATATGCGGCGCCTCCCATTGTCTTTTCGATGCACTATGGCAATCCGACATACAGCACATGGGGGATACCCACAAATAGAAGGAGCGGTTCGTGTTCGTTTGGCACTTAGCAATTTCAGAACACAATGAAAGCGGGACGATAACGAGGTGGGCTAAGTATCGGCTTTGCGATGCGATGCGTTCACTCTTTTTTTGTTTGTATTTTGAACTCGTTCTGGTAAAGGAGAAGGAAATGCGCGCCGCTTCCAGGATGTAGGGAGCGAACAAGCTGGCACGAGCGTCCGTCAGGATGGCCCCAAAATTCCCTGCACCGCGCAGTTCGAGTGGGGTCGACGAGAGGCCTCGTGGGATTTCTCGGAAAGGTCTATCGGTGGAGCAGCACTTAAACGAGCTGCCCTTGTAAGCTAATGGCGGTGCAGCACTTGCTATTGCTACATGTCTCAAGCGTTCGCGCAACAATGATTGTTGGTACTTATAAGAAACGCGAACCGTGAATTTTATCAAGGAACAACCCCAACCTCCCCCCTCCTCCAACGGGGGGGGGGGGGGGGGGGAGGTTGGGGGTTGCCGACACTTGAATTCTTTGATAAAATTCAAAGTGGGGGGGGAGTCCTCTCTGCCAGCCCTAACCGCTGGAAAGCCTGGGTTTAAGAAAGGAAGCAACTCAAATCAGGTAAAGCATTTTAAATTTGATGGCGCATGTCTCCTGCTCAGATTGGGTGCAGGTGCGCACTCGTGTGTTGTAGCGGAGAGGACGGCGGGGGTGGAGAGACTAAGCAAGGTGGGGACGCTCGCGGACAATCGACGCTTTCGACTCTTCCTCACAGCTTGCGTTGCAAATGTGTCCCGCAAACTGCGGGACATTGATCGAGCAATTGGAAGCACTCGCGGACGTATGCGCACCAATTACCGCACGTCTCTTTCCCTAGGACGGACGAGAGATCCGGTCAGGCAGACGGAGGCTGGGCAAGTCCGTGCGCGACGCCGCAAAGGTGACACTTCTTTCTCGGTCTCCTCCCCGCATTAACCTGCGACAACTTATTCAATGCTCTGTTTGCGAGATGTCAGACCCAAATGGAGTTATTAGTTTTCAAAGCGTGCGAACCCTGGAAACGGCTCAGGCCTGGGGGCCCGAGCCATTTTTGTCGAAATCGGGGAAAACCGTAAAACCTGGAATTTGAGCTGTCCTCGAATAAGAAAAACGCAAGTTTTGCAGAAAAAAAAATCTATATCTAGAAGTTTTATATTGTACTGATGCGGAATGCAGCCCGTCCCGAACTGCGAGGCAGTTTCTTTTTTCAGGAACCGCACCCGTCAATCTCTTGTCGGTGTCGGGAATTTTTTTTTTTTTTTCTGTATCGGGTCCACACGCATTTTTCTGAAGGTTGGGGAATCTCGTGTTTGTGTCCCGTTTTCGTCACCATAAGCCCCGACAAACACCAATCTTTTGTCTGACGCCGAACATATGCGCTGAAGAACTCCGAAGCGATGGGAAAACAGAAGCGTTTATATCACCTTTTAGCAGCACGTCCAGCCTGTTCAGTCAGATGACTACGTTCAGGGCACTCTTCATCGGATAATTTAAAGCGTGGCATGCATGCACTTGAAATGATAAACCTGGTGATCTTCCAGAACCTCCTAACACACTCCTCATCTCCCTCCTCTCCTCCTCACTTCACTCCTGGTCACATGATTTCCCAGTTAACCAATTGGCGTCGAGCACCTCTCTCTTCCTCCCACCGGTTAACCAATCAGTGACTAACCTCGGGGCCATGCTTTTATCCCAGCTTCACTTTTGGGCCTCACGAAATGCCGAACATCTAGCCAAAGAATGTTTCTCGTTAATGAACCCCGAAAAAACACCCCCAAATAAAAGGCATACTAGCCACGAAATCACAGCAGCCTATAGTATGTTGCTGGTTTAGAATAGCGAGACAAGCCCCTCCCTCAAAGCTCTCTGCTTGCTGTGATTGGTAATGTCCTCCTCTCCTTTGGTCTCCTCGCTAGCGTTTGCACTGCAAATTTGGAAAGGAGGAAGGCTTTGTGGGAGGAACTTCTGACACTATACTTAGTCTACAACTGACTATAGTTGTGAAGCAACTGGTGCTTCTACATGACCTATCTCGATGCACTTGTTGGCATGCTCAAAGCCTTAAGGCATCGGGAGCATGTGAGCACCTACCCCCACTCACTCAGCGGTTATTCCAAACTCCGGATTCACATCATGGAAGCTGCTGCCCCGTTATTGGACAGAGGCAGAATGTTTTACCAGGTGCGCGGGGCATACTTTGTTCACCACTAAGCTGACAGTGTGGCAAGAGCTGCACACTTGTCAGACCGTTCAGCTGCCTCCCTTCCATCACCTGGCCCCGCTCTCTGCTGCAAGAAGCGGGTGCATGACTGGTGCAACGAGCGTGCAAGTTCTACCACATTGTCAGCTTAGAGGGGCCATGAAACGATTTTTCAATTTTTTTTCTTTTTGGATTTTGTCTTCAACTCAAAAATTGCACAGCGTAGTAAACAAGCAAGTGCATAGCTCCCACCACACTGTCAGCTTAGACGTGAATGGAATACAGTGAGGTCAGGCGTCGTGCGATGTACTTTGGGTTCCGCAGAAGTATCATAGTGAAAAGGCAGAGAGTTTCCGAAGGGAAGGAGGTATGAAACAATTCCACTATGTTTTCAAATTTTCATAGGCCTTTGACTTTCTACCTTTTTCCTTTTGGCCCACTAAACAATATGCTGTTAGTAAAATCACAATCTAAATTCATTTATCCCAGCCCAAAATTCGTTTCATAGCCCTTTTAGGAGTGAATGGAGAATTCACTCTTTCTCACACAAGTTGAGATCTGGTGGCACCAGTATGCAGAGTCTTTAAACTCTACCGGTTTTAAGCGAGGCGGCAGGTTTTGCACTATTTGCGAAACCAAATCTATGCACTATCTTTTGGAAATGGTCACTTATAGCACTGTCGGTACGTAATTCGCTCTTATGATGAAAGAATGACACGCAAGTGTGCCAGAATTGCCCGACAGATGGCGCCACACAGTTTGTTGCCAGACAAGAAAGGGCGAATAGGGGCGAGGAAGTCACTGTCCTGGGACAGGAGACGGCTTCCTTTCAGCATTGCGACTCTGGGAATTTTGCAGGAGCGCTCGCTCTGAGTCCTTGTTCCTCGTGCAGGCCCTGGCAGTGTCCTTGCCCTCGGAGCACCGACTGGCTGGCCGTCTTGCAGAGTGAGTGCCGCAGCGTCTCGCATCAATCGCACGCTTCACAGGTCTCGCTCTTTAGTTGCCCCTAACGTGGGCTTTTTGGAGGCGTGCCGCGAGTGAAGTTACATATGCTATGTGTGCTGGCGTCTGCAGCACTGTTTTAAAGCACTTTGCATGTGCGTTCGGCGACACAATATTTTATTTACTTCGAGTTACTTGTAATGGTAAGGTGCGTTCGTCTCTATTTTATTTATTAGAAAGGTCTTCTTATTCTAAGGACACTCCGAAGGGAGTAGTCGGGGACCTCTGGCGTCCTTCAGCTACAGACCGCCTTCTCCGCGTCGCAGGGTCCTGTCGGAGCGCGGGGCCCACGGCCGAGGGGCCGAGGTGAAGCGGCGGCGCCGAGCCCCCCCCGCGGGGGGCGGGCGCGCCCCCGACGCCTGCCCTGACTGGGGCGCGCGCCCGCGCCACCGCCCCTTTCTCGACCCCCCGCCGCCACCCCCCACCCCCGTCGCCACAGCCCAGCTGAGGACGGGGGACCACACCTCAATCGACGTCGCCTCCCTTTCCTTCCCACGCCGGTGCCCGCAACGTCGGTCGCATATCGGCAACGTTGACCACAGTACGGCGACACGCCGGCGTTGTCACCCGCAGGATGGCAATGTCGACCACAGTGTGACATGTCGGCAACTCAATGGCAATGGGATGGCTTAGGGTGCCTACATGTTTCCGCCGCTCCGGAGCGGAAACATGTAGGCACCCTAGGATGGCTACATGTTGGCAACTTTGGCCGGCGGATGACTTCATTCACCATGTTGGCATCATGTCGGCCACATGTCATTGGAGCAGACCGGTGCGCAAATGCCGAGGCACGAGCCAATGTCGACCAGGGTTTGTCTTTCGTGCAGACGTCAGTTGGGGCCAGAGTTTGAATTTTATAATAAATCTAGCGCATTTCAGGGATGTTTGGATCAACGGTTGATTGCGCCGACTTCTCGCGATTGCTTTGAAGAGGCAGTCTTAGACTCGCTCACATGAGACAAGGTACCTCGGTGACTGTTCTTTGGGAAGATGCGCACATTCAATGTTTTCTCGTACGAGCAACACATTGCTTTACTGTAATTTGAAATTGAGCCATTTTGTCCCTTCCCCCAGAATGTTTTATTAAAAAAAAGGTAAAAAAAGGTACTGTATCAAAGGAGCCACCTCTTCAGCATTCCTTTTGTACTGGGACACCATTGCAAGGCATTCACTTGTAGCAAAATCTCCTGGAAAAGCGCACATACTGGCTAAATCACCTGCAATATCCGGGTCTTCACACACAGAAGCCTTTCTTGTGAAAGGTATGCAAAAATTATTCTCGAATGCTGCGGGATACAGAAAAGCTGGTAAGTTGCAATGTGCTATGTAGCATCAATGATTGGAGCTTGGCATCTTGTATTCCCGCCATCAGAAGGGCTGAGAGACATTTGTTGAGCGTTTGTCTTCCATTTTGTACTATGGTCCCAAGATGATGCATCACCACCAGTTTGCTCACCTTCGGTACACTGCACCGCAGTTGGCACGAACACAACGTTTACTTTTTTTTGTTTTACTTTTTATGCCCCACGTAAGCAGTGTCCATAACACTAGCAGTTTTTGTGCCAGTTCTTTGGTTCTAAGGGACAGACAATACCAGTGACTGCTTGTTTGTGCTAATAGTGTCACACTCTACATGTATCTCCTTTCTACAAACTTCTGCGAGTATATTGGTGCACTACATGCAGTCACCAGCTTTGAGAGCATTGCAAAGTTGTTCCATCTCACGAAGACGCCGACCTCTTACCAAGTCGTTTAAAAAGGCTAGACTAATCAAATGCCGTCAATGTAGACAAAAAAACGTGCTGGTAGAGCCAGTATAGACGAACTCAACTCTCCTACGTCACGCCGCGGTGGTGGCGCGTCGGGCGCACTTCCGGTCTGGGGTGGTGGGCAGAAGTTGCCGTGCGAGACATGCATTCCTGTGTTCTTTTGGAAGAAACCAGACAAAAAACCTGCCTTCTCGTCAAAATGCTGCGACGGGGGCTGTACCAAGGGTCTGGAAAGGTTTGAAGATCAGCTTTCACGTGTTTCTGCCCCCTCCATTCGTCCGAGAACGTGGATAGTAGCCGTGAAAAGGGCAAACCAGACGCTGTCGAACTACGATTGCCTGTGCAGACAACACTTTGTGGTCACCAGATGCATTTGCTTTGTTCCAACATGAACGAGAGAAAACCGGCAAGTTGTCCGGACCACCCACGGGTTCAGTGCGTCTTCAAATACACACGGCCGCCTGATCGTTCGAACTTTCGTCTGCTCTTTCAAACTTGTCTGCTTTTTGTCGTCTGCTCGTTCAAACAAAAGCGGCCCGTAGACCAAACTTTGACCCGGTGATTGCAATAAGAAGTAATTGCAGGCTTCAAAGGACTTAAGTATAGGCTCGGTGTAAACAGTAGATACAAAATGTTGATCATTGGTACCGCTGGCCGTCACCGACTTGTTACGCTTGGTCTGTTTCCGCTTCTGATTTTCAGTATCGACGTCGATTATCGCCGCTACCTGCTACACTTTTGCAGCATGAGCGACGTTGCGACCGAAAATAGCTAGAAGAATCTCATCATGGTTTTGGCGTCCATTCTGCGGCGTTCGTGCGAATGAATCGCCGCACGTCAAATTATTTACGCAAAGTTTAGCGGCGTAACGAGCCTTGATAATTTCGCTCAGGCGATTAAAGTGGTAAGACATTGCGATGAGGACGTAGAATCGCCAATTCCAACGCGAAAAAGAGTATGCAGACTCACACAGGCGCCGACAACGTGACTCCAACAGTCTGTGGACGCGGGACGCGGTGCTTTTTGCTCGTACTTCATTGCGCATGCGTTCGGACTGTCGTCTGCTCTTTCAAACTTGTCTGCTTTTTTGTCGTCAGCTCGTTCAAACGACAGCAACCCGGAAACCAAACGTCGACCCGGTAATTGCGATAAGAACTAAGTGCAGGCATCAAAACGTTTTTGAAGGTTGGTTGGGGTAAGTAGGCTAAGTCTAAACAGATACAAGACGATGTTGATCATTATCAGTGGCCATCACCGACTTGTAATGCCCAATTATACTTGCGGTTTTCAGTATCGACGTGCACCATCTCATCTACGGTCCATGCTTTTGCAGCCCGAGCGACGTCGCGACTGAAAATAGCGGGCAGAATCTCATCGTGGGAGTCAGGCTCTAGCGCACATTCTGTGGCGTCCACGTGAAATGAATCGCCGCACGTCACATTATTAACTCGAAGTTTTGCCTCGTTAGTTTTACTGAAGCCGCTCAAGTAGTCAGACATTGTTAGGAGGACGAAGAATCAACAATTCAAACGCTAAAAAGAGCACGGGGACTCCCACCGACGCCGACAACAACGCAATCCAATGGTTTGTTTATGGGCAACGGCGGGCTTCTTGCCCACCATACACCGCGCATGCGCGGCGCCGTTGGCGTCCACTAGGGGCGCTCCGGTTTGTTTGTAAACATGAGTTGGTGTATACCCGGAACTAACTTTGGCGCAGTGAAAGGTGTAGCCAAAACCTCGGCTCTTCACAGACAAATGCAACAAAATCCTGTGGTGCGTGGTATCTGCCTGCTACACAGCAAAAAACAGGCATGTTTTGGTGCAGGAATGCGTAACAGCTTTGTTTATTGTACACTCAATAGACACTTGGTTCTACTCTGGAGCTGAGGTGCTTCAAAGACTGAATGGGCATCCTGGGTCCGTGCAGCAGCGCCTTCTACATGGAGAACTTGTAACAGCTTGTACAACATGTGCCTGCCCCGCTCGGTTGCAGCCCGAAACCAGGAGTGTCCCAGTACTCTGTTGCCAAGCTTTTCAGGTCATTGTATCCAGTGAATACACCCCGAGGGGCGCTACTCAGTCCAGCGGTGGGTGCAGTTGGTGTTGGTGCACACGTAGTACAACCTCATTTCATCCTGCGGGAAAGACAAGCTCCGCATTAGCTTGGCGCGAAAAGAAACCCAGAAATGCACATCACATGCTTATAGTTGTAAAAACCAAAGTCTCTCAATTACAGACATAATAGTTAAGAAGTAACGACAACTGGCAGGCATGATTAAGCACATTTTGTGGGCAGAAATCGGCATCCTCCAGTTTCTGTTACTGCATGCTGGCGAATTCTTGCTGGTATCAGCACCACAATGCCAGTGGGTTTCACGAAGAATGTAGCGATTTGTAGGAAGCAGCGAGTGCATCTGTTATCCAGGAACTTCAGGGAGATTTGTTACCAGCCATAAGGCAACTTGCATCGTACCAGTGGGAAGCAGATGACCCCCGAGAGGTTGCGTTCAGATCTGCACTTGCTTCTCAGCACTGCTAAAGAGGTACTTGTAAAGTGAATCCATTGTTAATTGTTGGGGAGAGTTAATTCCTCCCTTTGCCCCCCCCCCCCCCCCCCCCCCCCCCCAATGGGGGTTCTATTCATCTACTTTTGCAAGGTAACCAAACCAGTTGTATGCCACCATTTTTTTCCAACGGAGTGCAAATGTTTACACCCAAAGCGAACAATTCTGGTGCTAAGCATTCAACAAAGGTGGCAGTAATGAAATTCGAGTGATTAAGTTACTTCGAAGAAATAAATCATTAGTGCATGATGTGACCTCTGGCATTTACGCAATATTAATTAATTTAAAACATGACATCCAAATTTCTTTGTTGGGACTGAACTTTTGCTAATAAAAAGGAAATCATAGGCTTTTTTTTTTTCTTCTATGCCATTAACTGTTTCATAGTGCTATACCCTGTTCATTTTGAAGCTAACAACAGAGTAAAAACTGATCGATGGACCAATCGTCAAGGGTTGTCCAGACACGCATCCTCGCACCAAGCCGGGAATAATTACTGTTGCGTGCTACAGATGCACTCAAGCAGAGCCATGGTTGTCACTTGCCATTCGTATAGGGTGCGCTTGGTGGATCTTGCGCTGTAATAAGAGCCGGAAAAATGGGTGCCTGTACTTGGAAAGTTTACACTTTCGTCGAATGTGCATTGAGGTGGTACATTTTACCTCGTAAAATTTCAACATATAGTTCTCTCTTTGTAAAAAAATGAGATCACCAAACTTGCCAAAGTCAATGGTAGTAGACTAAGTTAGCGATGGCTTAAAAGACAGATGTAAAGGGAAAAAAAATTTTTAACAGCTGGGATTTCGTTGGAAATTCGTTGCAAACGAATTTACAACGAACAAGAAAAATTTTAACGCAACACGCTTTCTGTAGAGAGCACTGTTGGAAGCTACGCGTCATCTGCTATGAGCCAACTTTTTTTCCTGAATAGAAGTTTGCGGTCAGACGTCGAAAAAAACTTAGTTTGTTAGGCTTTTAGCCCACCGAGGAATAACAGTATATCATTTTCTTGCCAGAGCCAGCAATATAAAAGGAAATACCCGAAGTTTAGATGCCGATCCCATGCATTCCACTGGGCGAATGAATAAAAATGGCGTCCCTCCCACCTCAACTTGGGGTATCCGGGAGTTCATGAGCTCGTGCTTCTCACCCTGCGCCGTGGGCCGATTGGTTCACTCGGGAGGGGGACGTTATGGTGGCAAGATCACAAAATGGCCAAACTCTCCCAATATACGGCTCTGGTGTCTTTTAATGCGTGGCGCCATCTCCCGGTAGCCGCAGAGAGCAAACAACGCACTTTCTCATCTTCTAGCTGCACCAGTCTCAAGATGGCGCCACGCGTTACAAGCGTTGCTGACTCGGTCGTCTGTGAACACGTCCGTCAACGACTTTAGCAAGTTTGTTGCTCTCATCTTTTACAGGAACAGAACTACAACTCGAACTTTCACGAGGTACAATGTACCACCTCAATGCACATTAGGTGGAAGTTTGAGCTTTCTACGTGCAAGCACCGATTTTTCCAATTCGATTTACAGTGCATGATTCACTGGGCACACCCTATATATTTCACAAGCAGCAAACATGCACGCAATAAACCATAGAGCCCTCCCCAAAGAAAATTCCGGGAAGCGAGGAACACTCGGACTCCTTTGCGACGTGGAAGCACTACGCCACCACGGATGCAATGTTTCCCATGGCCTTGGCTCTAATGTTGGCTCGCATGTTGAACTACAACGCCCGGAACGTACTTACGACCGGAATGTTTGGCGTCCCATTGTGCCCGCGCGTTGAAAGTGGTCCAGAAGCGACGACAAATGACGTTGCAAAAGCCAGAGCGTCGCGCTGTCAGATATTGTGATCCCGACGGTTGGGCGTAGGAAGTTAAGGGAAAAAAGAGAGAGAGAATGCGAGCATCGCCATCGCCGCAGTGCCCCGACACCCAGTGGCGTAACTAGGGGGGGGGGGAAGGGGGGTACAGGTGCCCCGGGCGCCACTTGGGAGGGGGCGCAGGGCCGAGTCAACCCATAACAATAATAATAATATAATGAGGATGATGATGATGATGTCATTTTCACTATCATCATGAGGGGCGCGAAATTTCATTTGCCATGGGCGCCGTCATATCTAGTTACGCCACTGCCGACACCTGAAGTTTCCGCGGACTGCCGAACCAGCGAGAGGCCTTCAGCAGAACAAGCTCGCACCACCTACACCGCCGTTGCCGCGACACCGCCAGGACTGCGGCCGGCAACAATGCGACGCTTCTGAGACGTCGCCAGGCGGAAATCGAGGTAGCTTTCTCGAGGCCGCAGCAGACTCGCCAGTTTGAGACTCGTTCTGGGCGTCGTGGCCGAGCAGAGTACAGGATGGGGACTCACCTCTGCCCTGCGGGACTGTGCCTGGAAGAAGACGGCCTCCCGATGCGAGCACTTGGGGCACGTGTGGTCCTCGGTGCGCGGCAGTGTCGGGTCGTGCACCACGTCCGACACGATCTGGGTCAGCTCGCTGCACGTGCAAGGACATGAGCCATCACTTTCCCTGACCGCAAAGCGGGGCAAAGCCTATGCCACCTACGAGACGAGGCCCACGCCTTTGCCTTCACCCCCTTTTTGGGGCACTTTTTTATGCAACACCTTTGCTCTAAACAAATTCTGTGGAAATATTGTAGAGCCCTTCCACTTCACGTGAAGACGGAGGACCAGCGAAACTGTTATTTGTACGACGTCTAGGACGATGCCCAGAGGACGACCTCAAGGACAACTTCTAGGATGACCTCAAGGACAATGTCTAGGACAACTTCCAGGACGACCTCTCGGACGACTTCTAGGACGACGCCTAGAGCACGACCTCGAGATTGACTTCTAGGACAACCTTGAGAACGATGCCAAGGTATTAGCACCTCACTATCTAATAATGCCAAGGAAGGCTGACTCACGCTGGTTGCCCATCTTAACGTGAAGTAACAATAACAGCTTTGCTGGGCCTCTATCTTCACGTGAAGTGGAAGGGCTCTACAATATTTTTAATTTTTATTTATTCATGCTGCCACGACCAATGGGGAGTCTTCTGTCAACATCCGCGGACACATTTTTTCTCAGATCCTAACACATAACAGCTTCGCTGTAAAATACATTTTGGGGTTTACACACCTAAACGACGAAGGACATCTACTATGTACCGGCAAAGGACGAGACATTTTCAGTGTGAAACCGAAATCTTGGTTGCACTGTGTCTTCCTCGTAATAACTTTCCAACATATTGTGGACACCTCGGCAGTGATCAAAGCGCAGCTAGAAGAATAATGCTGATGGAATGAGAAACGAGAGTGAGGAGGCAGACAAGCTGGTTATATTTGTAGTACTGAACATTGGGAAAGCCTAAAATTAGAGACCCAATAAAATAGACAACAGATGCCTTGCACCTTTTCGTGGATCCCCAATATCGGGTTTTCAGTGTTGTAACAAAATAGGCCATTTGCAAAATTCCTGCCAGCTCATCATGCCATTCGAAGCCACCATATTGGAGAGTTTTTGCCGTCTTCCATCTGTGGATGAGGCACATCTGCATTGAACTGGGCTTTCATAATATTGGGACAATGCAGTTGTAGGTTCAAGGGGCTGCTTCTTTGTTTCGGCGCAACGAAGAAAAGAAACACAGCCGCGGGATTGTGGAAAAAGGATTGTCAGAAAGGAGGTTGCAAGACTCGTCACTGAAGCAATGAACCGGATCATCTAGTAGACAAGTGACTGGTCTTTATCGCAGACGACGTGCCAAGGGTTAGGACTGGACTGACAGTATGTGATCATGTTATAGATCTAGGACTCCCACTTTGTCAGGACTATTATCTCTCGGGCAAAACTACCAGTGTGAGAACCCCCATAATATGGTGGAAACAAAACAATTTATTGGCAGTACACTCGATGGCGCATCTTTTTGCATATGGTCTATTAAATGGAAGGTGTATCCATATTGTAGATTACAACCTCTTGTGAGCTCAAGCAAAACAAGAAGGCTTGCACTTCACTCTCTCGGCGGCCCTTGTGCAATAGTTGACTTGTTATTACTAAAAATTTCCTCCCTTCCACCTAAAGCTACACTGTTTACCTATTCCAAGCAGACGAGTCAATAGAGGCATGAGGTAACATTGGTTCCAAAGTTTTCCTCGCTCACACAATATTTTAACATGAAGCTTGGGTGTGTTAGTGGTAAGGCATGATGATCAAAAACGTACAGTGCAAACAAACGGGACTGGAGAGAGAAGAGACACAAAATTGTGTGTCTTCTCTCTTTAGTCCCGTCTGTTTGCGCTGTACGTTTTAATCATCCCTTCTTTTTTTATTAAATAACAAAAAAAAAAAAAAATTGGAGATGTTGGTTGCTGTGAAGGCAGCCAACATCTCCAGTTTTTTACTCCAGAAATCTTTGTGGTAGACTGGGGTGCTATGTTGCGCTTTTTGGACTCCCAGGAGACTAGGGAGAGGGAAGTGACGTCAACGACACAGCAAACGCAGATTGGGTGTTGATTTCGTTTTCTTCTGTCAACATCCAATCTGCGTTTGCTCTAGTCGTTGACGTCACTTCCCTCTTCCAAGTCTCCTGGGAGTCCAAAAAGCGCAACATAGCCCCCCTGGTCAAGTTTATCAAGCCGGCAGGCTGGCCTGCGTGTTAAATCTGTGACTCACTCGACTTCGTGCGTGATCTTGTTGACGTAGATGCAGTTGTTGTCGGCCACCTGTTGGTAGTCGCAGTTTCGACACTGCAAAAAACAACAAAGATTAAACAAATGGGGGTTCGGCGTTTGAGAGGACAGACAGGTAGACGCGAGCATATTCACTCACCGCATAGAGAAGCACCCGGTTTTCCTTGTCCTCCTTTGGATAGAGCATGTTGTTGCTGCGCACAGAAATACGCGCGAGTTAATTCGAATAGGTGCGACCGAGAAAGAACTAGACATAACTCAACCCCAAACGAGCTGGTGGAGATTACTAGACATAACTCAAACCCGAGACTGCAGGAAGTAAAAACGAAGCGGACACACAAAGTCTCCAGGGGCGTTGTGTGTTCGTGTCGTCTTTACTTCCTGTATTCTTGGGGTTGAGTTATGTCTTGTCTAGTAATCTCCACCAGCTCGTTTGCACCCCGACTTTCTGTTCGAGAAAGAAGCTGCTTACCACTCCTGACAGAACTTGATTCCCACGAAGCCCGGTCCCTCGTCGCCGAGTCCGTCGAAGCTAATGCCCATGGTGTCGGCCCTGACCAACGTTACTCCTGACGTAACGTCGGAAAAACACCGAGCACCACTCACAGGCCAGGAACGTGCCGAACAGATCGGACCAGTGAGCGATCAGAACGTCTGCTCGAACTCCTTTCAGGGTTCTGAAGCCCTCGGAAACGAAGACAGGCCAACGTTGAAGGGGTTGAAACAATCGGACCAACGCGTTAACGTCTTCGCGTCGTTTCACTGGTTTCACCAGTTTCACGCTGTCCAATTTTGAGACTGGATTTGGCTAAATTGTGCCTATTGGATCAATTAAATAATCTAACCGCCTTGGTTACAGGGAATTGTAAATGTCTTTCATTTTTGATGCTAAATCCGCGTAGGAAAACATAAATAAACGAGTAAATAATCGTCAATCTCGTCTAGCAATTTTAATTTCGGATGTATTTCCAAAAGGCCAAGGTGGCCAAGGCAATCCAAATCCTGATCCAACGTTGTGTTTGGTTTGGTCGGCTACGTGCGTTCCTTGGGTTCGGTGGATTTGGAAATTTGGAAGAGTGTGGTGTTTGGACCGCAAGACCAGAATCACCACAGTCACTGGTGACGGTATAACATCTGTTCAGCCAGTTCAGCTATGTCGAGTAGCGACTACGCAGAGATGCAGTCACGTGTGACCACGGACGCCACGGGCGTATGACAGAAGAGCAGTCCGTCAGATCGGCGACTGATGTTCATCGCCGCCGCTGAAGAGCCCAGCGCTTGAACCTGACCGCAGAGATCTGAGAAAGTACGCATTGCACGTTATCACACCGCGTTCCGGATCATTCATAACAATGCTTCCTCTTTACTCACTCACGACGTAGTTCTGCAGGGATGGCCACCTAACCCCGGGCCTCTGCTTGCTCGCCTTGCTCATTGTTGACGATGTCGGTGTTGTCATTGCAGGCACCCCACTGGATCCCAGAATGGCTTCGTCCGTGAGCGTGAGCGTGGAGGCTGGACAAGAGTACCAGGTGCAAGAGATCACCTACGATGGGCAGGAGGTCTACGTGCAGTGAGTATCGCGTCTGGCGGGCAGCTTTCTCCTCAAAGCACGTTATCCCGGGGATCGCGTTTTTCAGAGGAGTAAAGCTATACGCACTCCGGAGTGCGCTTCGCGCGGAAATGGCTATACGCACTCCTCCGAGAGATCATGCCGCTCGGGCCACCCTTTTCGAACGGCGCGTGAATCACTGGGGCGCTCGTTAACACAGCCCCCCGCCTGCGTTCACGCCGCTTCGCGGCGACAGTATCGGCTGCTAATTACAAAGCGTAACCAGTACACGCCGCTTCGCGGCGTCCAGCCGGCAATCCAAGCCCCGCTGTCCCCGATCGCACCTCCGGAAAGGGGGTCCGATACCATTTAGTTCTGCGAAGTTTCTCGACAACATTCGATTTTTTTTTAATTTTTTTTTTATTGTTCATTGCAAAAAAGGAAATGTCGTAAATATCGCCAAATGTCTCGACAAAACAAAATGTTCGAGGAAAAAAAAAAAAAAAAATTAGGCCCACCACGGATTGAACCCGCGTCTACGTGCGTATGAGGCGGACACCCTAACCCCTATGCCATGGCACCGCTTAGGAAACTCGTTGTGTCCACTCTTTTTATACGAGAAAAGCGGAGTGCGTATAGCCATTTCCGTCCGAAGCGCACTCCGGAGTGCGTATAGCTTTACTCTTTTCAGAGAGCAGCAACGCCAGAACGGCGCAGAAGTCTGTCGAAGGCTAGCTAGCATCGTGCAGGAGTCCATGAGTAGGACTTACAGCTATTCCATTATGGGTCTAACTTCCTGCCTTGTTTACACTTCTGGAAGACAAATTTGCCACCAACTGAATGCACTCACCGGAAGAGGACCGTGCCGTCCAGATTTGTTGCCGGCAGCCGATATCTGGTGGATTCGACGAAACTAAACGCTACAACCTCTCAGAATTTAGAGAATACGAGGGTACTTCCCACACCCATGCATTCTTCATCTGTCTGTGTTGGCTCATATCTGCTTCAAAAACTCCATAATATTGGTGCTGTGAATGGGAAAGCTATCTATGGCAGTGGGGCGGAAGCAGCACATGTGCAAAGATAGTCTCTATCCATGCAGTGTTACATAAACGACTCTAGCAGGCTTCCTTTTGGTATGCCCTTTTACCGCTGCGCATTATGAAGTAGGGAGTCTATAAATCCAAGAAAATGCTCTCAATATCTTCTCTATAATATGGGGAGGTAGTGACCAAACAACCTTCAAATGGTATACAATTTGTGTATGTACCCCTCACACTTAATTCTGTGGCAGTTTTATTTCACCTATACTTTTTTTTGTGGGCACTGTCTTTGTAGCTCAGATGCTTCTTGTAAAGGATGGGATGTCCTTTAGTGTCAGTGGACATCTCTGCTTGCACACAAGAGTTCTGACATGGCAGCATTTTCAACATGGGAACTCAGGGTGGCTCGTGCAGGATGTGACATCAGCAAATGACTGTTTCTTCATGTATTGTTATTCGTTTGCAGCAAACAGAAACATTTTATTAGCAGGAGAAATCGGTCACAAACTGATTTAATTGTTTGCCGGATATTCCACCGAATTTTGATGTCTGGTGTCAAAATTAGGGCGGATCTGTGAGTGTGAATGTAGCATTAAACGAAGCAACTTTTCCCACCATCTTGATGTTGCAGCACCGGCCTCCTACATTCACACACAGAAACTCAATTAGTTAATGTTTCGTCATCATCGTCCGCATTAAAATTGTAATTTCTTGCACTGCTTTGGCACAATCTTGCTCATTAATAACATGTTTCTATATTTTTAAATGATGTTGAGGATACTAATCATCCCCCCCCCCCCCCCCCCCCCCCAACCATTTGGCCTCGAAAGCGATCCAGCAACAGCAAAGTTTAACCATGTGTTCAGTTATCGTCATCACCACCACAGGGGAGTCACATGAAACTGTCATATTCCTAATTGGCTGCTGCCACTTCAAGCATTTTCGAGTTGCTCCCATTTTGGTCTGGACCCGATTCCAGGAATTTGTGTTGCAGCCCGAGGATCTGGGGAAGAACTCTCCGGAAACCCGACATTGTGGAGATAACTCTCGTCTGAAGCAGGCCTAAGAAAACACAAAATGTTAATATCCAGAGGCAACCGCGAAACATACATGAAAACGGCGCAAAATAAACACGGGGACGAAAATATACCACGCGTTTATTGGCACCAATTTCTTGCACACGATGAGCCAGCTGGTCTGCACCACCACTTTGCTCTGTAGAGAGCTTCAAATGAATATCCGTAGTCACGTGCGGTGGTGCTCAGACACTTCAGGGAGGCCGTCTGCCCCGTTTCAGGCCCTGCTCCATGTCGGAGAACCTCACCAAGTTGGCGCAAAAGATTGACTTTGGCAAGTCTGCGGGCGACACGAGCGGAGACGTCCCGGAGAGCCCGGCGGAGGAGCAGAAAGAACTCGCCTCGTTCCAGCCCTCTCTCTGGCCATGGGACTCTGTGCGCACCAAACTACGGTGAGTACCAGAGCTACCAACAGGTATAATAATCTTTCACAATAAGGAAAGAAGGACATTTAAGACAAACAGACAAGACAGCCTGTCTTGTCTGTTTGTCTTAAATGTCCTTCTTTCCTTATCGTGAATTAATAACCAACACGCTCAACCATCTACATATAATAATCTTTATTTTGATATGTCCACAAAGAGCTCACTAGGCCTAAAAAGTGTTTATACATTCATTGGAATAGAAAGACGAGAAAACACGTACAAAGCAAGAGTCATAATCGTATACAGACTGTAGTCCATTGCAACTCCACAAGGTAGGGCGAGGGTAAGACGGGCCGGGAGGAGGAAGCAGATGGAACGCTAGAGAAGAGAGGGGAAACCTCCTCCTCCCGTTAGCGTTGTCTGCTTCCTCCTCCCCAGCCTTCCCTTCCCTCACCCTACCTTCTTGAGTTGCAACGGACTATAGTGGCTCGGCTGCTTGTCGGAAAGTGTTCATGTCACAAAAAATTATCTATTGCTGCCGACAGGTGTAATAATCGTAGTAATAATCTTTATATTTATGTGTCCACTAACAGCAATAACTTAAAAAGTGTTCATACAGTCAGGAATAGAAAAAAAAAAACAAAAAAAAATACGTACAAAGCAGAAGTTACAACCATGCACACACTAGTGGCTCAACTGCTCGTCGAAAAGTGTTCATGTCACAAAATGTATCTATTTTGACGAAAAAAATGTATTTTATTGACTCGGTGCTCGGCTTTTGCTAAAAAAAAATGTGTTGTCTTTGTAGGAAAATTTTAAAAGCACTCTATCGGTCCGAAGTGCTTTTTTTGTGGATAGCGCAAAGTTGGCATTTTGGTCACCTCCCCAACACAACTGCTGTAGTTACAGGTCTAGAAATATTTACCGCCAAATTGTGCGTGAGGAGGATTGACCCAAAGTATTTACCACAAAGTGTCGACATCGTTAGTTTGCAAAGAAAAACACGACACATAGCACAATTATACTTAATCAGAATGACAGGGCTAAGCATGTGACAAGTCTCTACGGGTGGAGGCCACTGGGACGGCGTGTTGTCACATGCCTCACTCCGATGCTCCGATTGGCTCGCAGAAACCAAAGCTTTTGCGTTTCCCAGGTTATTTGAAAACGGAGTATAGTCGAGTTCAGGGGCTGGTTTATGGGTCAGGCTTGGGGGGAGGGGAGGGGAGGGGGGCTCTGCACAGAGATCTAACATCGCGAATCAAGATAGTTGCCATTTCACGAGGAGAAGGCATTTCTTAGGAAAAAGACAACAACAAAAACTGCCGTATTCCGTTTTGTCCATACAAAAGAGTTCCCTTAGAGACTGTGGGGGAGAGAGGGCGGTCAGCTCTCTATTCTTTCCTTAAATCTGACCCTGGTCGAGTTTGGGTCAAAGTGGGGCACGGCTCTCGTCAGGACCGGGCTTCTGAACGTTGTGGTCCGCTCCAAACCTGAGCTGGGGGCTGCCACCATTCGCTTGCAGGCATGCCCTGACGGAAGTGAGCGTGCTGTGTGACGTCCTGAACATCGCCAAGCAAAAGCACTACATGGTGTTGGACCCGGTGTCCCAGGAGCCCGCCGAACACAAGCCGGTGGCCATGCTGGTGGCCAAGAAGAAGGTGCGTTCTAAGCCTGAGAGGTTGTAGAAAGCACAGAGTTCATATTGCAATCTGGGGGAAAACGTCCCATGCATTTCGGCCGCTTTGGAACGGTGGTGCATGGACAAGGACATTGGTGGTCCTGACGGGTCCATGTTGCTGGTGACACTTTCGAGATTGTCCTTTTATGGTGCACGCTTAATTTGCGTGCTCTAAGCATCCTAGAAAACTCAGAGCTACAATCATGCATGGTCTTTTCGCCTATTAAAACTTTTATAAAACCTACCAAGCCACCCCTTTTCTAGAATGTATCTCGGGAAAAGGGACGTGTCACTATGTTTGGTCATTTTTTAATATGGAAAGATGCCATGTTCTCACAATGTCTGGGTTTTCTAGGATGGCCAGGGTTCATAGATTGAGTTTGGCCATAAAACAACAATCTCGAAAATCACTTTAGTGCCCCTTACTAAATGCAAAGAAGCAGCAAAACACCACGTGAAAAGTCTGTAACTAGCTTTCTTTTTTCTTATAGTAGCTTTATTTTGCAGAAAACACCGGTGTCGCACATTTTTAAAAAGAAATGAAGTTGACGACCATTTGAAACACTTCAGCTTGTTGCGGCAGCAAAAACGAACGCACGTAACCCGTCGTCCGCTTTCTCTTTCCGCTCTCTTTCTTGTTCTTTTGCTCCCGTGCACTGTCAAGCTAGTGAGCGACCTGCAGTGGAACAAGCGTCTGCCACATCGTTGTCGTCAGGGGCAACTTGAGGGACCAGTTTCGAGAACGCGGTACACTCCGGACCGGATAATCCAAAGACCGTGGCGCCTCCATGCAGGCCCTGGCATCGGCAGCAGCCATCATCCTCAACGGGGCAGAGTGCCTACGAGCTTCCCAGGCAGAGGCGGCCGGGCGCAGTCGCCTGATGCCGGACTTTCACGCGGAGCTGCTGCACATGCGCCAGAACTGGCGCCTCAAGAAGGTCGGCGGCACCATCCTGGGGGACCTGTCCTACCGCAGCGGTGAGCCACCGGCTTTTCGACTCAGAACTTGTTGTGGGGCCGGCTAGCGCGAGAAAAACGACGCGTCGAGGCTGGTCGCTGCGTTCGCGACCACTTACGATTGGGCGCCTTAAAACCTCTCGGGACTTCTTGTGACGAGAGAATGCACCGGGGCCTTTTGTCGGGTGGCCGTGGGCCACTCGGCATTTCCGTATATTTCCCATTTCTTTTCTCGCATCTTTCTATCGCCTTGGGCTCGGAAATATTTGACAGCTATAAACTACCGTTTCTCGCAGATATTACACACATTTGGTCTTATATATTGCAAAACCTTCGGTCTGCTGAGACATAGTTTCACAACTGCCTCATAGATGGCGCCGTCGTGCCCAAGGGGGTAAAGACAGGAGCAGAACGCGGCAAACCCTGGGCGCCGACATTGGCAGTTCCGAGAGAAAGAATGAGAAGGAGAGTGACAGACGTGTGGAGAAAGAAAGCGGACGAAAGGTTAGGCTTGTTCATTTTACCGCGACGAGTTGAGTTTGCTTGAGCGCTTGTTGACTTGATTTAGTTTTATACAATGCGCCATTCCGGGGTTTTCCTGGAAAATAAGCTAGAAAAGAATGAGGTACACACCTTATAGGTGATGTTTTGCCTGTTCTTTGTGCATATTAAAGGGGCTCTGCAATGACTTTTTAACTGGTTTTTAATTTGCACCGAACCTGAGTGCACTGAACGAAGTAACTTAATAAAATATTTCTCGAATTTCGCTTTATTTTAAATGTTATAGGCAAATTGACTTTACAGACACAAGCAAAAAATAACCTCCTTCATGACGTCCTTGGTCGTGGCTGGAGTGGCCGTGAACTAGAGAAGGGATAGTGAGCTCAGCGAGCACTCACGGCTGCTGCACTCCGTGTCGACGGCTCGAGAGGGCTCCACCAAAGCATGTTCTGTATAGTAGGCTGGATGAAGCGGGCAGCCAGGGCGGCTCGCATTGCATTTGCTGTGCGATTAAAAACTAATTCGGGATGCCACTTCATTGGCCACAAACGACAGCAAACACGGGGTAAAGATCAGTTCAGAACTGGAGCCACTTCGCACTGCCATACTGCGAAAGGGCCAAACCGCAAGCCAAACCTGCTTGCCGAAGGCCTTGGGAACGCTCGGAACCGGTTGGATCTTCGAGCCCGTATACGACCGCAGTGCCGCTGCGTACATCCGGGACCTTCCTACGCTCGCCGCTCGTCGGTGCCCAATCCCGCTGCCCCTTTCTAGCAAGCACTACCTTTTCAACCGCTTGGTGGCGGGTATGTCGACGGGTCATTTCTTGTTTCCGTACTTCATAAACTGTATTTGTTTCTTTTCTGATTCAAAGTACTGAACAAAATCTACTTTTATGAATGATTGAAACAGCTTGCGCCACTTATTTGAACTAAAAAGAAGCTTTTAGCGGCTCTGACCAGTAGTAAGGCCAGGACCAAAGACGTCACATATTGCGCGCTTTCGGCACCGCGGGTTGCCCCGCCGTAGGTGGAGGAGGTTTCTGCGTTGTCCGGTTACAATATGGCACACTGATATTTAATTACTCTGTCCGTGCCCGCTGGCTTGCCCGAACCCCAAGAGACGGGGAAACTGCAAAAAAGTTAGATGCTTAAATGTGATTGCAGGGCCCCTTTAAGGGGTCATCAGCGATATGGGTCCGTTGGGACCGCCAGCTGGTACTGCCGATGTCTGCGTCTATGTCCCACCATTCCCAAGCGGCTCCAGTGCATGGGGCCTTTCCCTCTAGATTATTATATTAACTCTACAGTTGTGCCAGTGTGGTCTTTGGTCGCAAGATATCATAAGAGGTCGTGACGCACTTGACCGTAAGCAGTTGCAAGTGTGCGAACCAGCTTTTAGAAGCCCACCCTAAGATGCTATCTGCGTTAGAACGGTGAACAGCAACAGAAGAAGCACTTTTCGGGCAGTATGAGCGGGAATGTTCTCTCTCCGTCCCCAGCGGGGTCCCGTTTCTGGCAGAGCGGCACCTTCGAGGTGTCCAAGAGCGCCCAGGCCCTGGCTGCGAGCGGGGCCTCCCCCTCAGAACTGTCCTCGGCGGGACCTCCGAGGGGCAGCTCCATCAAGGTCACCCTCCCGTCGGAGCTGGAAGGCATCTCCTACATCCAGGTCACCATCCAGAAAGGTAGCCTCCCATGGGGGCAAACTCACTCGAGGCAAATATACCGGAACGATTCGGTTGGGAAACTCGCATTCGCCTAAACGGAGCCGCTGCGGCCCAGTAGAGAGCCTAGATTGAAGGAAGGAAGCTGCTCAAATCGTGGAGAGAATTTGCAATTTAACAGTGGATGCCTCCTGGGCATGTTGGTTGCAAGTGTGTTGCAATGTCGCGAGCGGAGAAGCGTAGACGGTCGACGCTCTCGTCACCCCCTCACAGCTCGCATTGCAAGTGCGGCCCGTAAACTGCTTGGCCCCAATTAGAGAAGTTGGAAACATTCTGCAATCTAGGCACAACATTACTACTCAGATTCAATCATGGTCCGACCCCTTGGCGGTCAGCCCGTCCAGTTAGCTTGTTCATTGGTTAGTTGGGGTCAGGGGCGGATGCAGGAATTTCCTGAGGGAGGGGTCAGGTGTTGATCAGCGTACCATATTCTTAGGAACTCCTGCCCCTCTCCATTGTTTTACGCCCCAAATTTTACACATGCAGAAATCAAGAGGGGGGTGAGGACATCCAGACCCCCCCTCTAAATCCGCCCCTGGTTGGGGTACATAATACATAATTCATTTTGAATCAAGAGGATCAGCAAAAGTTTGCTTTGCAGACACAGGTAAAGTTTACATGATTTTTTGTTCTCCATTTCAGTACGTACAGGGTGTTTCCCCCCAAAAAATTTACAGGGTATTTTTTACCGCAAAAGTAAACTGTGCATCACCGAAGGCTCATTCTCCACCCAAATGTAGCCCTAGTGGTCCAAACCAGATGCCAAAGTTTAAGGACTAACCATTATCTCAGTCAAAAGTTGTAGGTTATATTCTTAAAATTTGTATAGAAAAATGGGGCCCATTCTCTCCCCTTTTCCGGTAACTGGCGTCATTCAGCTGCGTATATTATAAGAGGTCCATGGGACGCCTTTTTCTTTTTCAGAAAATCGGTTATAACTTTTGAATAAAATAACGGTTAGTTCTGAAACTTTGGCATACTTTTTTTTTTTTTTGTAGTAAAAAAAGAAACCTCTGTAGACAACTTAATTTTCGCGAGGACCTAAGTTTTGCAAATCACCTACAGTTCGCGAAAAATAGGTCCTGCAAAGAATTCCGGTGAAATGTAAACACATTAGAATCTATATTGATATTCCACCGGAGTGCGAAAACTAGGACCAGCAAATTATTTGAAAACTTCAGCTTTTACCTAAATCGCGAAATATTGAGCCTGCGAAAAATAGGTAGTTTACAGTATGCTGTAAACCAGACTTTGGCAACCTGCGGCCCGCGGGCTGGAAGAGCCGCCGGCACGCTACCAGAAAAGCCCCCCACAATGGCACACACACGCACACATGCATACTCTTGGGGACTAATGGTGCAAGAAATGTGGTAGGTTGCAAACCTTGTGTAAACGGACATATTAATTCTGAAACAACAGCACCAGGGGGTTAGTTTCCTGTGCACATTCACTGTATGTATCAGGCATCAGCAGTTGTTATGCACCAAAGTGATGCATTGAGAAGCAATAATTAAGGTCCTCGTATCCAGCATAAACTGTTCGAAATCATGGTTTTTTACCATTGTGCAGTTTTAATTAAACAGTTTCTGTCACACACAGAGGCTTAAGTTACTGTGGAGATTCTGGCACACTGACTGGTCAGAATTTTAGCATAAATCTTGTAGGCCATCATTACGAGGAGCAATTGGACTGATGGCTTTTAGTTTGTCTGGGTCTTTGGATCTTGGAATGAGAATGTGTGCCCCTGAAAATGATGGAGGCGGGACCTTGGTACCAAGAGCCTCGCAAGATACAGTGTGCAGCTCTGGGCCAACTTCACTGTGCATCACATTGCTCATGTTCGGAAGCTAATCCCCCCGGTGTTTCATCTGACCTGCTCTTTTTCCGATTCGTGGCGATTTGAACCGCTTCAGCGAAGAGGTTGCCGACCCCTGCTGTAAACTACTTTATTTCCGTGGGCTCAATATTTCGCAAATTCTTTGGGTTGTTGGTTTTGGAAATGTTTTGCAGGCACAAAATTTTGCGATTTGGAGATGTGCTATGTATCCATTACCATGGGGCAGTATATTTGGGATATAAATTTTTTTCGACACTTTTCAAGTTCCAAAACTTAGGTTAAGTCGTTTACAGTAGTTCTCAGAGTGGTTGCTGCGGCGGAGATAGCAGCGCTTCGATCCCGTCATGCTCGGCGTTCAAGTACGGGTTGAGCTCAGTTCTCCAGAGCAGGCTTCTCCGGCAGTTACCCAACCGAGTTGTGTTAGTGGTGTTGACTCGGGTGGTAGAGTGCCACCGTCCACCGACCGTGCGCCCTGCCGCGCAGACACGGAGACGATTGCCAGCGGGCAGCTGAGCATCAACCTGCCGCAGAACGCCTTCTCCAACCCTGAGACCCACTGGCAGCAGCGCCTCGAGGCGGCACAGAACGTGCTCTTCTGCAGGGAGCTCTTCTCCCAGGTGGGCGCCCTCCCTTCCGCTGCCGCGCAGGCGGGACGCTCACCAAGCACGTTCTTTTGTTGCCAGCTGGCCCGTGAGGCCGTGCAGCTGCAGCCCTCCATCCCCAACCTGGTGGTGGGCAACCAGATCACCACCTCCCTCTTCCCGGGGGTTCAGCTCTGCATCGGACTCTGCCACCGCACACTCCAGGTGGGTCCAGGTCGGGAGGGCAGGTTGGACTGTCCCAGTTCGGGGAGGATGCGCAATGCAGCGGTGCATAATGCTTCGGATTGATTTGAAGGCTGAAATGCAGCAACTGTGAACTGCTGTCGCCCCATAAAATCAGTGTTTTGCTTGGGCTGCGGAAGTGGCATCCCATTCTTCCTTCCTGGCAAATGCGTATGAATGAAATGTGATCCTCCCTTTCGTCAATGCTCCTGTCGAAATTAGGCCCATGTAGAACATTAAGTAGGTGTTGTGACGAGCTATGTGTTCCCAGTTGGCGGGTTCGAATTCCAGCCGAGGTGGAGAAGGGCTCTTTGTAACCAAGATATCGGTTGCACATCAAAAGACTCCCAGGTGGTCGAAATGAATCCCCAGTCTTTCACTAGGGCATGTAACATATCTTATCGGCATGATAAGCGGGACGGGGTGCATGCCCAGTTTTTGGTGCGAACTCGATAAAATGCGACTGCACCGGCCGTGGGAGCGCTTTTGCTTGAGATGGGACTGAAATAAAGTCGCCTGCCAGAATGAAGGTGTCGTCACTCCCACCATCCCGGCCGAAACGTTTCAGGCATGCTAGATGCCCTTTGTTGGTTTGGCAAGTAAAACCCCCATATTTTGAAGTTTTTGGGGTGTTGTAACGAAAATCATGTCTGCACCCTCACCGTAAGAACAGAACTGCGGGCAGCCCAATTTTGTGAATAACATCCCGCTCACGAGAGCTACATTGGGTGACCGTATGGATGTGTAATGGGGGCGCAGGACCGCAAGCCCGCCCTGCAGCCCTCGCGCCTGGACCACAAGCATGTGCTGGAGCACTCGCTGCACCAGCTGCTGCGGGAGTACCACTACTCGGCGCTGCACCATGCCACACCCAGGCCCGCCTCGGCACCCATGGGGCTGGGCAAGCGGCGCCACCTGGCGGGGCCCCACGCCTACGACCGCCAGCGACTCAGGGACACCATGCACAGGTGGGGGCCGCCCCACATACCCGACTCGACCCAGCATTTTTGTTGATGGAGGGAAAAGCAAAGCACTATCGTTAGCCGAAGTGACACATAAAATGGCTATTGTTGGCCAAAGTGCCACTTAGAACAGCATTGCTGGCCAAAGTACTAGTGGATACAGAGTCACCCACCTTTGTTGCCAGTTGGAAGACGTGGAAGTTTTGAAGTGTTGGTGCGCTTTTTTGTTCCAGCGAGACCATCTTGGAAAAAATCATCGCCCAGACTCAGCACGTGGTCCTGCGACTTAGGTGAGTTCTCTGTGCCTGTCCGTGGCCAGCATTTGGGGGGCTTCCCCTTCCCAGTTGTTTTTCTTTTCTCGCAATATCCCTGGCAGAGGTTGAGACAGTTAATGAAGTCACGACGCAGAAATCAAGAAACCAAAAATGAGGATGTGAAAAATAAAAACTCATAGACACGTTCCAGGTACCAAAGTGTGCGAACAACTGGGAAGTAGGATGATTTTTTGGGCCTGACCTTCTCTGTCCTGGACATCTGTTGGATTTGCTTGGAAGAACAGCGTTATCCTAGAGACACTGACGCACCTCAAAAAAATTTATTTAATTTTTTTCCAGGTGATTTAATATGGTGTCGGGAGTATACCCAATCAATATTTTGGTGATCACATATATTTTTTTATAAAGCCAGAAAAATTCAACTGCTCGAAACCCAAACACAAGCATGGAAGCTCATGGCCAGAAGTCATGTGGCTACACCCGACTGCATTTTTTTCTTCTTTCCACTTCTTCGGTGCGTAAAGCAGATGACGACAAAGATGAATGTGCGTGCACCATTTGTCGTGCGATTGTTTCATACTCGTGTCCTTTCCACTCGATGTTCTGCACTTGAACATCGATTGGCCGGTACCACGAACAACATTTCTAAAGTAGTGGCCCCACGTCCGTTGCAGCGTTGGTCCATCGTGCGCTGCCATTGCGTCGTCCAGCCCGTGGTACGTCGCCATATCGAGAATGACTTGTACATGTAATTCCCGTGATTTGTGCAACTTTTTTTGTTATCAACATATTTGCCGTTTATTGGTGACCGGAAAAATAGGGTTTATATTTGTTTCTATTTTTAATATTGAATGTGTGCCTTAGATGATCCACGACTTTGAATATATTTGGTACACATGGTTGGAATGCCACGTGACCATGAAAAAGAGAGTGAGCGCGACTGAAACTGGCCAATTCTCAACCGGCTGTTTTTGGGCAGAAAGAAAATGAATTTCGAGCCGCAAATTGCGTTCTGGGTAAGTCATGCTCAAACAAAAGCCTCGGCGAGCATAAATACCCTGTCAGTGTTTTTTTAAAGGATCAGTTATTAGGGCCATCAAATGTTCCCAGAATACCGCATTCACAATTGGCTGGCGTCAGCCTTCTTGCAAATGGGAGAAGAGAAAGGAAATTAACATATGTAGAACATTTATGCAGGAGTTTTTTTTAGACGTTTGATTGGACGTTGATTGGCCGTTTGGTTTTCACTGGGGCATTTTACACCGGCTACATGTTACCTGCATCGGCAAACTGGGTCATTTTACACCGGCTACATGTTACCTGCATCGGCAAAAGAAGAATGCCGGTTTATGTTCTATATTTTCTATGTGACACTGGAGAGAATGGGGGGGAGACAAGCTAACTCTGTTGCTCGCCTGCGTTCCCTCCGTCGTCTGCTACAGCCGGTTCTGTACAGCCGATTCCCAGAACACCTTTTGATGCTGCCGGAGGAGGGTACTGCACATTCTCCAAATGGTCTCTTGTGCTGCCTCGACACGATTCTCGGACGTTTCGTTGTACTCCCGGAGTTTGAACCTGCGTAAATATGTGGCAGACGTCTGTCCGGATGTCTGCTCCTCAATAACCATCGCCACAGTCATGCCTCAAGAAGAGGCCGAGGAGGTCTTGGGTTACTCTCGGAGCATTTGGCGGCTCTGTGACGGAACGGTGCATGTGCAGGACCATGTACGTGATCGACCAGTTTGCGTGCGAGACAAAGGACCCCCTGGTGGTGGCGCACTGGATGTGCATGAGCAGCCCGACGCACAACTCGGTCAAGATCAACATCGTGTCCCAGGGCTACGAGACCATCTGCAGGACGCCGCTGGTCATCCACATCGAGGAGCACGCCCTCAAGGCCATCTGCCGCGACGGCCGCGTCATCCACCTGTCCTACGAGCCCCAGGAGCTGCGCTACCTGCTCATGTGCCAGGTGGGCCCCGCTCTGGACGGGCGGCAAAAGCCCCTTGAATTGGGTGGCGACTTGCGCCCTCTAGCTGACATTCTGACCGCTAATATTTATGGTGAAGTTATTTGTTACACTAGCTGAAGGCAAATCTCTTTCAACGTGCCTTTCCACAATGCAGCAGCTATCACTGTCATTAAGTTTAAATTATGCTATACTATGTCAAAATCTTGACTCTTTCAGTACGTTAGATGCCTGTCTCAGTGTTTTTCCTATGGGGAGGATTTAGTATAGCATTAAATTCCAAGCCCATCCTGAAAGGTGACCAGCTCATTTCTCGGGCTAAATATTCCTAGGGCGAGAACCCCTGAACATTGCCCACCCCCAAAAAATTATTGATTTACTATTATTATTTATTCATAATAATAATAATAATAAATATATAATTTGAAGCAATGTCCTTTTCCTGGCGCAGGTGTCTCAGCACCAGGTGAATGCGGTGCAGACCCTGGCCAAGTTTGTCGGCTGGAAGGTGCTGTCGACGTGCACCAATGCGGGCGTGGGACCAGTCGAGCCCGTGGGCAACGCCTGCTCCATCCTCATGGCATCACCCACCGGGGACAAGTGAGTTCTGTTTGCTGCTCTAGGTCACCCCAGAGCTGGAGATTCAGAGCAGCAGAGCAACCAGTCGAGAGTATTTGAGTCACTCCGATCCCCAGGTGGCGGGTTTGAGTCACGGTCGAGATGCCCACAATCCGACGGAGGCTTGTTGCGGAGAAGGTAACTAGAATTTCGGTAGCGCTACAAAACATCTCCAGGCGGTCGAAATTAATCCTCGATTTTTTGCTGGGGCATGCCAGATGTCCTTCGTTGGCACATAAAGCCCCAAATTTGACTTTTGAGTTACTGTAATGAGGTAGAATTTTGGCGACAATTATTTTAGGGGCGGAGCTCCTTAGGGTCTAGCCTTGTCCGTCCGGCGTCCATGCTCACATCGATCTTGCTGGTGCTCGTGCTTCGAGATCGTGCTCGTGAGCTCACGTGCTCGTGTAAAGCGAAAAAAAAAAAAAAAATGTTTGCGCAGTCGACAGGATTCGAACCTGCGCGGGGAGACCGGCCCCCATTGGATTTCTAGTCCATCGCCTTAACCATTCGGCCACGGCTCAAGAGCTGGGGATGTCATGAATGAAACATTGCATGTAGCTGCTCAGCGTCTATACGGGAGAGGGCGCTGCGGTCAAATGCGTATATAATCGCGTTAAACTTTGCATGCATTGGCTTAACGTTTACAGACGAGAGGGCACTGCGGTCAAATGCTTATATAACCACGTTCCATACCACACATTCTCTTTCTGACATGGATGAAAACGAACGAAAGGCTCGGCATGCTGCGGCTCAGCGTCTACGCAGACAAGCACCACCAGAGCTTCGCCCCAATCAACATCTTTCACCACGTGGAGATGCGGTCGTTTTAGTTTTTCTTAAATAAGGGGGCACACCCCCTAGGAGGGTCAAATTTTGAACCCTTCGCTTAACATTAATGAATTTTACAGGGTAGGCTGGTGGTCATGCTAGAGGGTGCATAACAAAATTTCATGTATGTCGGTTAAGTGGGAAGGAAATTAGGGCAACTTTTATCAGCAACACGCCTACATTGTTTAGTTAATCTATCTTCGGAAAACTATCACGATACTCAAGATTTTTATTCGCTAGATATGTAGCAGAACCCCTAGGAGGTGCGGCTATGGAAAGCTTTTTGTAAAAAGTCATTTATTTCTATTAATTTTCTCTTCTGCAAAATTGGTCAACTTTTTGGTCTTCTGTGTCTTTGACAAAATGTCAACATTTTTTATAAAAGACATCTGTAAAGTGACAAAAACATTCCATAGCCGCATTCCTTATTAAATTTCAGTCAGGAAAAGTGAAGAATGAGCCTTTCCTGTATTGCCGTTATCAAACGGTAGGTTGACTAAAATGGAATTTATACCAAAAATTGGAACGGAGAAAAATGTGTTCAAAGTGCTCCAAACCCCATTTTTTCTTTAGCTTCGGTGGACAGAAAATAAGGCAGTCATGGCACACCTCGACATGGGGTATGAAAGTACTTAGCAAGTGACTTGGTCACTTTTAGTGAGCAACTGTAACTGCAGCTAATCTGCAAGAATGTAACTTGATCGCATGTCAGCTTGAGTAGCCGTAACCTCAGCACTTTTAAAAGTAACTACTTAGTGTGAAAAACTATAACTGCAACTAGATAATTACATCTGCAAGAACATAACTTAAATATGCTTCAGCTTGAGTAGCCGTAACCTGATTGATTACATTTCAGCTCAAGTAGCTGTAACCTAATCACTTTTAGGAGTACTAGCTTTACGTTTTGTGAGCACCGGTAGCTGCAACCGGATACATCTGCAAGAATGTAACTGTACTCGTAACTTGTTGACATTACAGCTCGAGAGCTGTAACATAATTACTTTTAAGAGTTGGTTCACGCACTGGCGCCATCTGTCGCATAGCTGTGGAACACTTGGCATTTCCATATATTTCCCTTTTTTTTTCACCTATCATTCTTTCTTTCTTGGCTCAACAAACTTTTGACAATGTTATAAACGATTATTTCTCGTAGTACGTACATTAGATTTCGTAAATACTGACAGAACCTTCGCTCTAGTGAAATACAGTTCCAGAGTCACCTGATACACGACGCCAGCATGCCGGTGTGTTCTCTCGTCGTAAGAGATTGCAAAGACTCTGTCATAAGCATTGCAAGTGCTTGAATGGGCCTTAACTTCTACAGCTCCGAGGCAGCGGCAATTCACCGGCACCCGTCTTTCTCCGCCGCACAGGGTGATCTCGGTTCGGTGCGGGCCCCAGTCCGGCATCGAAGTGAGCGTGTCGTCGTCCCCGCAGCAACAGGACTTCTACCCGTCGACGCTGGTGCGCGACCGCAAGTGGCACAACCTGAGCGGAAGCTTCCGCGAGGTGTGCCTGGCGCGCATGCAGGGCCGCTCCTTCCTCTCCAAGATGGAGCACCTCATGGCCGCACTCACCACCTAATTCGCCCCCCGCCCTTCCCCTGTAAATATAAGCTGTCGCGACGCCACTCTGTCTCGACTCCGGTGACCCAATGCGCTGCAAATATGGCGCCTAGAGAATGCGGCTCTGACAAGCATAGTGTGTGTTGCTAAACCTATATCTTTGCTGTTTCGATCAGTCAGCCACCCCAAGAAATGAATGTGGCGTTTACTCTGCGGCGCGCAATTTAGTTGCGGAGCCATTTTATCTGCTCGCACGTGTGGCTCGAACTTGACTTTTATGTGAAAGCAAACGTTGCAACGACGTCAAGGTAAAATTTATTTTAGGAGCCTTTTATTGGCTGGGAGTAGCGAGAAGCAGAGGCACGCCCACCATGTGCTTTCTCGGGTGCGAGAAAAAAAAGTGGAGAGGCGGTTGGCAGTACGCTGCAGCCATGGTTTTACCTAAATGGCGTGTCGTAGCAAAAAAGATTTAAATCTCTCTTTGTTCGAGGGAGGGAGGGAAGTTCACATGTAACAAATACATTTTGTTACAAGCATGATCTACCCAGAAAGTTTAAAAACTTTCAGCCTTTCCACTCTGGTGAAGAAGGAAGACCAGCGAAGCTGTACGCTCGTCCCGTGTGTTTCTTCTTCACCCTCGTCTGTTTTTCGCGCTGTTTCCTACAACGAATTCCCACCAACTCGGCCCACTATCCATTCTTCTGTGATAGCTGGAAAGGTTGCCGCCATCTATGAGCGACGGCGGCAACCCGACTGGTTGTCTGGTTGCCGCCGTCGCTCATAGATGGCGGTAGCTGTCCAGAGTTTTGTGTAGTTGTGTCAACATTTGTCTGGTATCGGAAACAAAACTGGGGAAACTAGCCCTTAACAGCTCCGCTGTAAAAATAAATGTTCTTTGCAAGCATCAAAATGGGTAATTTCAGAACAATCTGGTGAACAAAGCTTTTTCCACCTCGGGAGGTGCTCGACAGGGTATGCAGTGAGAAACCAATGCCACAGAAAAGTATGAGCGACGGCATGTTCTGGTAACTTGACGTCTTTATTGCCGGAACGCATTATATCACACTTTGACTGTACATCCTATTTTACACTTCCGGAGACCTATAGACAGATCTATGTTACAAGGGGCATGCCTCTCTCTGAGACGAAACCGACGACGAGCATATGACATCCTTTCGAAGAACCCTTATTCGCAAACATTGGGGAATGTTCGGTCACGACACGAGGGACGTTGACGAGACGGAAAACTAAGCTTTTTTTTTTTGTTCTGTTCAGAAACGGGCGCAAAGCAAACTTGGCCCCAACGACTCCGTGACGCAAGAAGACAATGTCGAGGCTACACAGGCGGCTTCTCTGAATCTTTCGAAGCGAACTCGAGGGCGAATTTCCACCTGGGGACGCATGACGCGGCATAAAATAATACTGACTGCGAAACCCTATAAAATCGAGACCCGGGAGACGGGCTTCTCCTTCTAGTCTACCTATATGTACAACTCCGTATCTCTCGCGCACCGACGCGGGCTCGCCACAACTCGGGACTAGGAGTAAGCTCGCGGAAGTTCTCCGTGCACGCGAGGAGCCGACGGCGACGCTCGCAAATCGGACTCGACGTGTTTTCCAACGGGTGCCACGCTCGCGAATCCAAACTGCGTGCCAGGAAGCCACATCGGGACCCGCCTCGTCGACGCGACTAAAAACAAATGTAACCCAAATAACAAGCTTCGACGTCGCACGGCCCTTTATACGACACGCGCTCCGCGACACGTCCGCCGGTTTGTTCGACGTGGTAGAAAACAAAAGTGCTCGAGGGACGGAGCGCGCGAGGCTAACTCCGAGTCCGATCGGATGCAATCAAAGTTGGGGATGAGTATTAAGTATGCGGTGTCCCCGCCGTACAAAAAGAAATCGTACACGCTTTTAAGAGAAGACATCTATTCCTTCTGCCCTGCAACTCGGCAAGTGCCGCTTTCTCCGCATGACTACTTGGCTCCGCAAGAAAGACAGTGTTGGACAATGACGACGCGGCCAGAGATGCGGTGGCCTCTGCGACGAGTCCCCGTTTACCGTCGAAACCCTTCGAAAAATACGAAACATTCCTTTTTTGGCAACGCTAATAAATACCGGACGCCGGATTCGAGAGGCAGATCCACACCCGTCTCCGAAACTGCGACACAAAACCGCGACGCGGAACGGGCACGCGTTGCGGTTGCTTCTGGAAGACGGGCAGCCGGTCGTGGAAGGGGACGGGGCCTAGCTGGACGACGGGGCGGTGACGTTGAGCTCTAGGGTGCAGCGCCACAGGTGGCTGGCGTCCTCATCGGTGGCCGAGGCCGAGAGGGCGGCCGCAGCGAGTGCGCTCAGCGAGCCCAGCCCCTCGAGGTCGAGAGAGCGGCAGCCCAGCTCCAGCCGGTACGTGCCGCACAGGAAGAAGGCCACCGTGAAGTCGTGCACGTATGTGTCCCCCGGCGCTACCTGTGGGCGGACCGGCACGACATTAAACGAGTATCCACACGATGGACCAGTCCGTAGACCGGCTGGTTGCGTAACGAAAAGGCTACGACAGGAATTAGCTTATCACTCAAAATTCGTATAAAAAGGGGCTTTCTTCCCTCTCCCACCTGTGTCATCTGCAGCACTGTGCCGAACTTCGGCGCAATGCTACAAGGCTAGGTGCCAGACCTGTGCCTTCAGTTGCTCCAAAGGTGTTCCCCGCCGCCAAAATCCACGAGAGAAGGGCAGTTTGCATATCCGAGCATCGCAGTCTGTGAACTAGTGGCGGACCTCGCAAACCGGTGACATGAAATCGCGCGATGTGCGGTTCGCGGAGCATGACGGCTATTTGGTCCATTCTGTAGATGTAGCGACGACGGGCAGGTCTGAGGCAATCCGTACAACGCTAAGTAGAACAATGCCCACCAACTCAGACTATGCGGTTGTCAGCTAGTGCATGGTCGTAAATGAGAAGCACGCTTGTTTACTGGCAATTTTTTTAAAACCATAATTGGATGGGTTTATATGAACATACAGACATTGCCCCCTTAAAAGTTTGGTTCTCTGGTTGATCTGAAGACCGCTGCAGGCAACCTCTAGGACGAGGTTTGATTTGCACGGTAATAAAAGTTGTGTCTATACTCCGCTTCACGACAACTTGGCGAACCGTGGAGGTGACGGCCCCTGCGACCGAATTAGAGCGTCAGAGCGAGGACCGACATTTATTGAAACAGCGAGAAGCAAATGAGAGCATGCGTGTCACTACACCAAACCAACCAATTTCGGATGAACGCAGCATTGCTGTCTGCTAGAGTGACGAGCTTTTAGGGAACAGTTCACGGGACAACTGTACGCTCAATTTACAGTGCGAGGTGATGAGCGGAAGCGGTCGGTTACGGGGCTACAATTGCTTGATCCGAATGAGGTATTGTTGAAAAGTAACATGTCTTCGTCTTTCTTCAGTGTCGTGCGAGTTCCATTGCCGTTAAAAGAAAAAAGAAGCCTAGAACTACTTTTTGTCTTGGACGGTGGTATTGCTGTGGCAGTAACGAGGCCTCCGTGAAGTGTTGTCCCGTGCCTTGCTCCGACGCTTTTATTGGCTTGCGGGGGCGTCTCCACAGTTCGCCAAGTTATTGTGAAACGAAGCATAGAAAGACACGCGCTTTTAAAGTGCCATTAACATATTGCAAATCGAGGTCAATGGTACCGTAAATTTCGTTTTATACTGAAACAATAGTTTTTATTGAGGTGGGATTTATGCCAAAAAATGGATTGGAGAAAAATGCATTCAAAGTGCTCGAACCTCCACCTTTCCTTTAACATTGGTGGACTGAAAATAATTTATAAAAAGAAATACTATGCACTGTATATAAATGAAACTTTCTGGGAATACTCTCTAGATGTTGGCAGATGTAAATAGGGCATTTTTCAAAATCAACTTTTTTGCAGAATTTGTTCTTTCTGGGTAGTGTCCCCCCTTAAAGGGATACTACAACGAAATTTCGGCGCTTATTTTATGGTCTATATGTGTTCAAAGGAGCAGTATCACATTGAACATACCAATATCTTGTTAAAAAAGTCTCGAAAAGGAATTTTAAAATGAAGTAAACGATTAGCAAAGAGCACCTGGTGGATGTCGCTAACGCCTCGCTTGTAATGCCCGTCTAGGAACCTTGACAGCTAGTGACGGAGGTTGTCTCGCCTCCGGCCACGACGAGAGAAGGGGGGGAAGGAGGAACTCCCCTCTTCCCGAGAATGCCTTTTGTGTGTCGCAGAAGTCGCTATTGTCCCCCTACAAGATTACAGAAGATTAACCCGTCACCCAAAATTCGTACAAAAGCAGCCGCTTCGGTGGCTGGAACGACTAGGCCATCCTCTCGACGTCAGCCTGACCGTAGCTTTGCTCGTCCCGAGACGACCCACGTCACGATTGCGTTGGATGTCACGTGGTCTCCGCTGGGCCTTCTCCGAGCGCTTGCCAGAGTGGGCCGTTTATAACGAAAAATACAGCCACCAGGCTCAAAACACAAACGTTTGATTGTCATTTGCGGATATTGTGGATCATATTCAACCAGTTTTTTAACACGACAGGAATATTTCGAATTTCGTTGAAGTACCCCTTTAATAACGCACGACTTTCACGCTACAATTTGCAGGCTCCATCGTCATTTTAGCCCTTCTCAAAAACGGATGTTTGCCCAGGCACGAAAGGTGCACAGAGAGAGCAAAGAATGCGGCGGCACGCACCTCCTCAACAAAGACCTTGTTGCAGCCGACAAAGGCACACTTGGAGTCGAGGCGGTAGCTCAGCGTCCCGTTCTGCCGGTCTTGATAGCCGCCGGCCGACAGCCATAGCCGCTTCAGGGGACGCTCTGCATTGGGAGACAACCGGACAAGCCATTCAGACCCCTCCCCGCTGCTGGCACGTTCGGCCCACGCAGCCGCCACCCTGGCCGCAGCTGCAACCATGAAACTCGAAGGACGGAAAGTACACACTGTCCTTTCCTCTATTCCTTTTATCCTTCCTTTTTGTGCTCGGCCGGTCCCACCCAGTACGTTCAAGTTCAACCAACTAGCTCGACTTGTTTCCGTCGCCAGCTTGCACTCACCAGATATGTTGCGGATGGAGACGCTCAGCACCAGGGGCTCTCCCACGTCAAACACATACTCCTGTTCCAGTTCGTGAGGCTTGTTGTTCACTCGGATCTCTGACAAGAAAACGAGAAGGGGGGGGGGGGCGCCGTTGAACCACCGGCACCGGCGCCAGTCGAGCTTCGAGGAGCTCAAGCCCCTTCGGGAACTAAAGGCGGAGTTCTCTGTATGAACCAGCGTTAACCGAGCCCAACCGTCCCCAGCCGGTTTGTCATCCCCACTTACCCCACTGCAGCGGGGACAGCAGGATGGCATCCAGCATCCGCGGTGTCCAGGGAACCTCGGCAATGCTGGCCTTTCCGCTCCTCTCAATGCCATGGTGAGGTGCGGTTAAGGAGCGCCGGTGTAAGCAAAGAGCGGAGAGCACGGGAGCTTCCACTGAACCCGGACAGTACCCACTGTTGCCACTCGGAAACTAACGAGTGAATGTTGTTCTTACACCTACAGTGCTTCATATGTGGGTTGAGATACCATTCTTTCCAAAACATTCCAATCAGTGGCATAACCAGGATTTTTTTTTTTTTTTGTGGGAAAAGGGGGGGGGGACTTCCATGGGGTAGTGTGCATGTGTGTGTGGGTGTACGCGTGCATACATGCGTGCGTATGTAGGGGAGGGTGGCGTTTAACCGCCGACACCAAAACCCCTCTCTGCCTACACCACTGGTTTCAACGTCTGCACGCTGTCCAAAGAAACTGCTCTAAACTAGGGATGCTTTGTTATATCGGCCACTTCACTAAGTGTGGGCTCATCATCAACGGGTTCAACAGCTCCTTTCCATCCTCGAGCATTCCACAAAAGAGCTAATGCACATTGTGTCACCAATATGCAGTTGGAATATATTCACATTCACTCCCAAATATTCCTGTACGGTCTGCATTCAAACTGCGTAGAGCCAACGGGCGGGGTAGTCAAACTAGACTTGCAGTCTAGATTTTGAGACGGAGAGCCAAATCGAAACTGAAAATCGATTAGACTAAGGGTGTGCGAATCCTGCTTCAAATTAAATGGCACAGCGTCATCTCTGGCTTTGACACTGTAAAGAGAGCCAGTATGTTGTGGCTCTCTCTTGCACTGTGAAGGCTGTGAATGATGCGGCACTATACATGGCTTGCACATGATGTCATCGCACCATGCTGGTGGTCACCTCTACTTGTTTTTTGATGAGAAAAATAAATAAATTTTGGTGCGAAACGTGTATTGTAGAAGACACGCACCACCAAATCCGCCGATGTGACGTCAATGCAAGCCTCGTATTCTATTCAAACCATTATACGCACACCCTTAGTTTAGAGCCGACTTGTCCTTCGAAAAAAGCAGCAGTTAGAAGAACTCGTTGAAAACCACGAAACGCCCGCAGCATTGTGACCAAAGTCATAAAACAAAAAGCGTGTGGAGTCAAATCAAGTGCATGCAGCCGTCCCTCTCCGTCGTCTGCTCCGGAGCAAGGATATGAGGTGCCAGCGCAGGTCGACGACCTCCAGGAGGTGGGTGCGACAGGCAGCCTCGAGGGCTCCCAGCGGGGCCCCGCCTCCCCGGTCGTGCTCTTCCGCGGTTGGAGGAGAGCAGCGTCGGACCGTGACCGGGATGCGGCACGAGTCGTGGGCCTCCATGAGCATGCGCCGCTCGTGCGGGTACAGCAGCTCCATCTCTTGCTCCGTGCCATTCGACACGTCCAGGACCAGGTAGCACTCGCTTGCCCTGGAACATGCAAATACCGAGGCTTCAACGTACGTAATGTGCAAAAGCTGTTGCACAAACGCTCGAGGAGTTGGTCCTCTGTTAGCTAAACTATGGTGCTTGGAATGCATCTCCGACCAGCGAGTTTACCGCGACCTAAAGAGCGGTCCCTCAATGACGTCGTAAAAGTGTCGCATTGTTGCAGCCTGCGATCGTTGCGGTGTTGCAGCGGCGGTGGTGGATGTGAAAGGCGCCTGCTTTGCTGCAGGTTGCTCCCTAGCCTGACAGTTTGCCTTACAAGCGTACACTGCACTCGGCCCCAATACGTACTACACCTTTTTCAAGAGTCGGTCTATTCACCCCGACGCTCTAATGGCGGCATCACTAAGCTTCTCCACACCAGGAAAAACACCTCAAGATGCATAGAGCAGAGCGCAGAAAACGTGGCAAAGAATCGATCCCATGTATTTGCCCCGTGAATGTCACCTTCAATTCCCGAAATCGAGGGTGCGCGATCGAGCCGTTTCATGCCCCCTTTATGGCTTTATGGCTTCTGTGACTATTACTAGATGGCTCCGACTTCTGCTCTGTTCTGTGTATTAAGCGGGGGCTAACTGTTGACATTAAAAACACTGGCTAGGTGAAGGAGACCACCTAACCAGGTTGTAAGGGGTTTAGAGCCATATGCGTCCATCCATTCGTCCAGGTCTACTCACACTTGGGCAGGCAGGACGTCCCACTGGCTGATGAGCAGCGAGGGCTGCACCTCCACCGTGAGTGCCACGCTGTGCTGGCGGCAGTAGCGGGCACGCAGGCCGGGGCCCCCGCTGTACTGGAACTGGAGCACCGCCTCCACCGTCTGCATGCACGGACATTTCTCTCTTGTCATGTCCAAACTCCCTCTAAATGTGGCTCTAAGCGCAGCTTTGTAGAGTAGTGATCCCTATGATGGAGAACGCTCAGGCGTCCTCTGCTCTGTACTGACAGCGTCGTGAAGCGGTGGCTGTGACAGCATATGTGCTGTGCAAACCAAGCGTGGCAAGGCACTCGCTTCATTACTACAGAGAGGCTTCGCAGTAAATAAAAAGGCACCTTCCTGGTAAGGGCCGAAGTGTGGCTTAGACAGAGTGAGCCTAAATTCAGCCTTTCGGATCAACAAGAATAAATTTGCAGAATGAATGGGTAAAACATTTGACCCGACCCTTTGGTACATCCCAAAGGCATCCACAGCATTTCCGTGTTTTCTTTGCATCTGTGCTCCTTGTCATCGCCGTGCTGCTGCTTTTCTGGCACGCCAGGTGACACCTTAGCGCGACAACTTAGTGTTACATGGTGTCCCGTCAAATCAGTGTCATGTGACATCATGCTGACACATGAAGTGATGCGACCTGACCTTAACACTAATGTCAAGTGACGTCGCGTCACGGTGTCACAGTGCAGGCGTGTCCCTGCGTGCATCACTCATGACGCCAAGCGAACACCGTAACATTGTTATGTGACGTCATCGAGGCTACATTTAAGGACACTAAAACACCAAGATCTGGTTCTATAAATGCTTTGCATTTAAAATTAAATGGCAGCGAGTAGAGAAAATACAGCAGAACCTCTTTGATGTGTTTTTCAGGGGACCGCGGAAAAAAACATATCATCCGGAAAAACATAACAACCGATAACGCACTTAGGGGGGCTCCACATGAGATAGAAAGCAGCTCTTATACAATGGTTTATTTTATGCGTACTTACAGAACTGTTGAGGACTCGGACATGTTCACAAAAGCGCGTAATATCCGCCTGCCGCTTCGAATTAATGTTAAGCAGTAAAAGCCGTTTCTCCAGAAGCTGCAGTCCTCTCTCGCTCTCCGCGCAGCGTAATCATACGTTTCTTGCTCTAGTAAAGTGGCAATTTGAGCTAGTTGGTACATCACTAAGATTAAACAGCGCACAAAACGTCGGAGGAAGAGATAAGGACAGTAGAACCAAAAAGCGCTGGTTCTAATTTATTTAGAAAGAAGACAAAAGGGGGAAAAAGAAGCCACGAAAACTAAGCCGCACATGATGTGAAGACTAGATAAAAGAAAAGGAAGAAAATATGTGCAGACATAAATTATAGATTTAAAAAAAATTTTAAAAAGATTTTTCTTTTTTCTTTTTTTTTTAAACTATCAATTATGTCTACATATTTTCTTCCTTTTCTTTTATCTAGTGTTCACTTCACGTGGGGTTCAATTTTCATGACTCCTTTTTCCTCCTTTTCTCTTGTTTCTGAATAAATCAGTTGGGAGTCATTACTCTTTCCTCCTACTGTCCTTTTCTCTTCCTCCGATGTATTGTGTGCTGTTTAATTTTAGTTTCTTGCTCGATTGCGTGAACACCGCGGTTTACACAATCCAGCGGAACAGAAACTAAAAGTGCAGCGTGCAAGCGGGTGCACCTCGTGCCAGAGAAAAAGAAGGACAGATGAAAGAGAGAACAAGCGTTTGCCGCTTCCCCAGCCTCGCTCCCCGTCCGAGCAGTGCTCCAAGGTCACACCCAAGCAAGATGAAAAGCTGTGGCAGAGCTCAGGGGGAAAGGAGCAAAGGGAAAAACGGGCGTCTGCGTGCCCACGCGTGTCGTGCGACCCGCATTGCATGGTTTGGCTTTGCTCCGCTAGCTTCGCTTTGAAGCCAGCTTGGCAGCCTGGCGCCCGGCGCACCGAGGTGCCGCAATGCCAACACTTTTGGACGTAACTACCAGGAAAACAAACGTAACAGGCAAGACACTAATCCATGTATCTCTAGGGAAGTAAAACGGGACCGGCGTTTTTGAACGTAACAGCCGGAAAAACATATCAACCGAGAACGTATCAACGAGGTTCTACTGAGGACTTGTAGGGCAGGTGTGAGGAAACGGCACTGGCGGGCATGCAGCGATGAATCCGGAAAAGAGGATTTGTGATATGCGCCGATGGGTCGCGGACTACCTTGGTTGGACAAGGGTCGTGATGATCCAAAGGGGGTGGCTGGGAGCGACTCGAAGCAGACCTCCGCTTGGGCGTGCCAAGGGGGGATGCCGACCCCTGCCGGCTGTTGGGGACTCCTGGGGAAGGGAGACATCAGACCTTTCTCAGCAATGCGCAATCCACCCCACAGTCGTATTGACATTCCAAGGCATGACTTGAGGAAAGGTAAAAAGTAGAAGTTGCCCGTTTCCAGCAAAGAAGCGTGGACCAACACGAACCCGTGAGACGGCACAGCAGCTGCTGCTTCAGTTACTCGAGATCTAAGCCGAAAGCATCACTACTCTTCACACCCATTGCCTGATATGGCCCTGGTAGCCGTTGGGATATTCACATTGTTACATTCCTCGAAACAAAGGAAAGCACTTCCTGTGGTTTCCATTGGTCAAGTTGTCGAGAGACGGTTCCGACTGACAACACTGATTGCATGCATCAATGGGGCTCTGAAGCTGTCATAGCTTCACAAAAGTACACACACAATGTCTCAATAAAGCTTATTAGAACAGCAGCAGGAATGGCTTCATTCCACGCTGTAATGGAGTCGCCGTGCTCCACTCCGCTCCGTATCATTCTTCATGGTTGCCTAGCTAGCTAACTTTAAACCAGACACCACAGAAGCATAGCTTACTTAGTGATTCTAGCTGCCACTAGGAAAGGACTGCAACGAAGCTTGAATGAGGAGAAAATTGTGGCGCAAACTGATGCTGCAGTCTTGACACGTCTGCGCTTTGCGCAAAGGTGCGACATGCGTCTGAATAATCAGTACCCTGCCCCTTCCTCGTGCCATCTCTCGACAATGGCCAAGGAGCCAGGCTGGCCCCCCTTCCGCTCACCCGGGGCCAAGTGGTTCTTGCCGGCCGTGGGCGCGAGGAAGTGTCCCCGTCCCGTGACGTGAAGCGTGAAGCTGGCACTGCCGCCGGCTGGGATGGGCAGCTGTGACGTCAGCTCTTCCGCGCCCCATGCAAACATGGCCTGTTCGCTCTCTGCACATGCAAGGAAACGAAAGAAGATTCCGGTTGTTACTTTGACATGCCCCACATCTGCAGAAAATCTCGAGGATCATTGTGTTGGCGTGCAACGGTTTTCAAGCAATGGCATGGTGAGCAATGGGATGTCGTAGGCGGGTATTCGGGAACTTTGAGAAATTTGTACGTTGAGCAACTGACACAACTGTGGTACTCTGAGGCAACACAAGCACAGTCGTGGTATGTTTTCGATGCGGTTTGACCTAACCTCAGCCAGACAGTAGTCTGGAAGTATTATAGAACATTTTTCGACTGCTTTTGGGCAATTATTTTGCTGTTTCTGTTGGTCTAGATTATATCGAGTGTGTGCAATGCAGAAGTCCTTACACTACAGGTGTGACACTACAAGGGTGACACAGTGACACAGTTGTGGACCCGAGCAATTCAGGGACCTGGTTAACACCGGTAGAGAAAAAGAGCCACGGACTAGGTCCTTTATTTTGATCCCCCCAACAAAGAAGCAATGCTTTGCATAGACTTTTCTTTGCTTTCCAAGGCTACCGTGACTTCCACAGTCCTGCGCTGTCGAAGCTCCCTGAACGAGCAACTTTCTTTGGCACCTTATTTGCACGAGAGCCCGCGCGAGCGAGACGCAAGACGAAGCTACATCTTCTCGCAACAGTTGGGAACTGTGGCGCCATTGCAACCATGGTGGCCGTGACAATGTGGCGCCAAATGTCGCCGCCAAGCAGAGTACCGCGGTGGGCACGACCCAGGCAACTGATCCGACACGCCACTGGCTGATCGACCCGGGTCGGCTCGCAGACGCACCTTTGTCCAGCTTGGTCTGCAGCGTGGTCTCCAAGCTCTCAATGGGTTCTTTGCCCGTGTTGGTCAGGGTGAACAGGCACTCGTGGCTGAAACAAAGAGGCACGCTCACCGTTCCACGGTCGTGCGAGTCGGCAGACGACAAGAGTCTTGCTCCGGCTTAGAGTTATCCTGTTAGTCGTAAACTGGAGTCATAGGTGTCCTGTGCTAGCTTATCTCGTGACACCCTTGAAGAGACACTGAACCACCAAAGAATTTTTTTTTTCTCATTGCCTGTATAGAACATTTATGTTACAACATAACTTTCTCCCCCCCCCCCCCCAAAAAAGAAAAAAATCATGAGCCATTCCACTCTGTGAAGGGGGAGCAAGTGCTTGGAACAACGATAAAGAGGGGGCGGTGCGAGCGTAGACATGGCCGACGCAGGTCGCACAGCAGCAAATCTTTGAGAAACCTTTATCTACCCGAGAGTCTACTGATCTTGAAAATGGTGCCTATTGATAACTAATCTACTGAATAGACCTGTTGCTATTGCTAAATTACCTAAGCATCAAGGAGAATGCAGGGGATAGTGTTCCACGTGCCGGTGTCTGTAGCAGTAACTGTTCTAAAGCAAAAGCCTAAAACAAATGTTATCTTGCACGCGCATTTGTCAACGCTTTATTTTGGTTATTTACTTCGAATCTTTTATACGGGGAAGGCGTGCAGCACGTGCGAGTGTAGAGTTCTTGGTCACGCAAACAAAAAATTCATGGAACCCTAGCCATAAACACCTTTGCTGTAAACTATATTTTCAGCGAATGTTTACGCTGCAAGACATTATTTTTCAGCTGGGAGCGATTCTGAAATACTATGCTTCTACTTCAATGCGTCGACCCCGAAATAGAAGCACGTTTCGGTATGCCTTGAATTGGAAATGGCCCTATTTTAAATGCACCTTTCCCCAAGAAAAAAGAAAAGCTTGGAAACTGCCTGCGAGCTAGAATCAGACACGAAACCGAAATAGGGGGCATGTTAAAATTTGTACCGTTGGGCATATAAAACTGGGTGTGCGTTAGAATCTGGTAAATATGACAAATACCGTCTTGCGCTAAAATTTTAAAAATGTTTTCAGTGGAAACCTCAAAATTATGCATGATCAATCATGCTGACAAAAAGTCGGAAGACACCTAAGCACCTAAGCATGAATGTCAAATGAAACGCCGCGGAGTGATCCGTGGAGTTTTGTGGCACGAGTAATGTTTCTGAGTTGTGGCAGAAGCACCGGCGATGATGTGGATGATGGAGGCGACGGCATGTTGGTCGGTGGCGAGACGAGCAGAAACCTGCAAGCACTTGCCAACGTGTCCGTTTTAACCGGCGCGGGGCTCATGGTGGCATGGGGTTGCGGCGGTTAGTTTTATTGGTGTGCTGGCAGCACGGACATGCAGCGCCATCTGGCGGTAGTCGTTGAAACTGACGCGCGCAGCGGTTAATGGGAGCCTCGTGGCCGCGCGCCGGCCAATGGGACTTTTGGGATCAAGGAAACTAAGTGCTGTTTTCGCGCTTAGTTTCAAGGGACAGTTAATACTTTCGCATTAAAAAAACGGGAAGCATGGAATGTGTCCTGCACCAACCACGCTCCGTGCCTGGTTTGTGCTAGATTTTTTATTGTGCACCACAAATGTTAGCCGGGGCAAGGCCGTGCGACCGAGCGCATCGCACGGGCGTTACCTTATATAGTTCTTGCGTGACACCATTGAGGCGAGCGGTCACATGGTATGACGTCACACCGCACTCGCTGGCACGTTCTGCCAGGAGCCCATCCTTCGGAGAAGTTGTGGTACGCAGCTCAATGGCTATAATATCCGACTGCCACCCGCCAGGCTCCCGCCGGGGCTCGAACTTAATTTGTAAACTTCCTATATCACCTTAACGTCGTGTAACGCTGCCAGAATGTCACTCATTCGTGACGCCCGTCCATGTCGATCATTCGCGACGTATGCTTGTGATGGTTTTTCTGGTTTTGATTTTCTCGTAGCAAACGACCCATAAAACATATCCTGCGTTAAAAACGTTCTTCAGCGACCTGTTAAAACGAAAAGTGAGAAGGGGGCGTTCCCACTGACCTCTCCCCCGCGTACAGGGCAAGGGCGTAATGCTTGACCACGTGGGAGGTGTCCCCCACGGTGGAGAAGGTGGCAGCGGGGCTCAAGCCCTGGGCCACCACCTCCAGCTGAGGCAGGGCAGGCACCACGGTGAGGACCAAGGCCCCGTCCCGGGGGGCGCCCCCCCTCGACCGCTGCAGCTGGGGCAGGTCGCGTACCCGGCAGCTGCTCTGCACCCCCAACACGCACGTCGCGTAGCCTGCACAAAAACGCCAGTCCGATCCAGAGGGAACGAGAAACAGTTTCTTTCGCTTTGGCTAAAGAGTTCTCAAAATGAATGCGACCAATTCATAAGGCGTAGAGCGGGTATGGCAACGGGGCAGTGAACGGGGGGCACCTCAGTCGGCTGCTAGTCGGCGCGGCTGGTGGCCAAAAAGGGAAACTTTGGGAAGGCCGTGTCATGGAGCGATTGGACACGAACGCCATGTCGCAGTTCAAAATGGCGCTCGGAGATTCTAGATCGGGTCCAATGATCGAGGTCACAGGCAGTCTCAGAGTTGCAATAATTCCCCATAAGATGGTGCCACTTGTCAAAACAAACTTCACTGCCCGGGGTGTATTGGATTTTGTTCACACATGCTGCTTAAAAATATTCTTGGTTCCTTTCCGAATCCTGCAAATGAACTTTGGCAACGGCCAAGGCACTGCACGCTCTGCTGTGCACAAGCTACAAACGACCACACTGCACAAGGGTATTTTCCCTTCAAATGTAGCAAAGAAACTTTCTCATTACATTTAGCGTTGAGGCAGGAAAATGCACAATGTATTTGTCCACTAGGCTTAGCAGAAAAATCTTCCCTGTTGAAAAAAATTTCTCTCCTAAACAGCACATTGTCATGCGACATAATGACATCATGTGACGCCTTGACGTCACAGCGACGCGTGACACAGTGACGTTGTGTGGTCATGGCAAGTCACATGACACCTCAATGTCACGTGAAGTGGTCATGCAGTGTCATGTTGTCACATAACCACTTTGCTGATGTCATACGACACGACGTGACACCCCGACGTATGTGTAGTGAGGCATGTGCGGTTTGCGCATGCATCAAGCTCCCTGCCCGCTCACCGAGTATGTGCAGGTCCCCCGTGCCCCGGGGCGTTCCGAGCAGCTTCACCGGGTACGGACTTGACTCTGGCGGCAGCTCCAGGGACGAAGGGAAGCACTCAAAGGGCAGGCCATCCACCAGCAGCGACTGAGGGACGGGGAAGCAACACACACGGGTGTTCCGAATGGCCGGCACAAAACATACAGACCCCTCCAATGGGTGTATAGGAACTTTTTTACGCAGTAAGACCCTAGAGCACATCCAGGACCCGGATTGGCCTATTTGAACGTCCCACTCATTTGCAAGCAAAAGACGACTGAGACCTTTCCAAGCTCGTTGTTCGTTATTGGAGACAAGACCACTCGCAACAGTAAATCGAGCAGCGTTGACGGTGCGACCTACCAATTGGTTGTAAGCAAATAAATCTCCGAGGTGGGCGTCGCCTTTGAGGCGGCATCTGTGCATGCTTGAAACACTGGCGAATGTTTATCCAAGCCCCTCAAGCCCCTTCTCTCCCCCTAGTAAACCAGGGTAATGTGTGGAGTCGCAAAAAAAAAAAAGACGCCAAATCGGAGGCCCCAAATTCGCCTAGTTCTACTCTGTGAGGAAACAACCATACGCCTCTTGCAAAGAGTGCAACACCCCTAGCTTTGGGTCGGCGACCCTTTGAAAGTACTGTTACGGGAAGGGGTCACCCACCATGTGGCTGACCCTGAGCTCGAAGGGCATGGGGTTGCAGAGCTGCAGGGCCACGGCGCACACCTCTCCCTCGACCCAGAGCAGGTCCAGCTTAGCCGAGCGCCCCGAGCGCCGGTGGGGCTGCAGGGGCGAGAAGATGAAGGGCGAGGAGGTGCCTTCCGCTGCCAGGCCCAGACGCAGGGGGCGCAGGTGGGCCGCCGCACGCTGGGGCACCAGCGACCTGCGTTCAGCCCCGACGTGACGTCAAGGAGGGGCGCCGGGAGAAAAGCCTAGACTTTGCTCACTCTCGCTAGTTGCGTGCTCGACTTGGGCAGAGGGACAGTCGAGGAAATTTTGGAGATGGGGGGAACCCACGAAGGTACTCTGGGCGACCCCCATGTTTCTAGGACACCCGCTTTGAGAACCCTCACACTAGAATGCTGCTCCGCGACAGCACGACAAAAAAGCAGCAGCTTCGTCAGCTGCTCTCTACAGAGGAAATGATTGACCTCATAGTTAACAATAAAGAATTATCTTTTTTAATTTGTTTTCTGGAAAGCGAGCCAGCGATGGCTGAACAGAGGGCAAAGGATGCCCCCCCGGCTCCCACGCCTAACCCCAACGTTCTAAAGGCTTGTTCATGCACTTGCGACTGCTTAGGACTGCATGCTTTTAAAGATAAAACCTCTTGTGATCTCTTACGACGAGGGAACACACTTGCCCCACCTGTTGGCTAGCTGTGGAACACTTGGCAGTCCCATAGGTTTCCTGTTTCTTTCATCCTTCCTTTCTTGGCTCGAAAAAATTTTGACAATGTTATAAACGACCATTTCTCGTAGGTAGCACATACATTTGATCTCGCCAGTACTGCAAAACCTTCGCTGTAGTGAAATGCTGTTCCAGGGCCACCTCGTAGATGGAGCAAGCGTGCTAATGTGTTCTCTCCTTCTAAAAGATTTTAAGAGGTTTTAAGGCATATGGTCCTAAGGAGTCGCGAGGGTGTGAATAGGCCTTTAGATCCATCAGCTGACAAGCTCAACGGAAGACCGTCGTTCGAAAACGGTTCTTCTCGTTGCCCGCAAGCAAGCAGATACAGGCCGACGGCGTTCTTGGCACCACCCTTGGCAACGCCTCCATGGGCAACGGAGAAGGGCTGTTTTCGAACGACGCCCTTTTTGCGCACTCTTTATGTTCGCCATAAAAACCATTATAGAATCACTTTGTGCATCCGACGTTCCACCGGTTCCGTCGCTTTCTGTACAGGCCAAGTCGACGGCATAAAGGGCGCCACAGAGCGGGTGTGCCGCGAACAGGCGCCGGGCGTTCTAGGAAGTTCGTCAACCGACTTCGATCTAGTAACATTGCCCACCCCCGACCCACACGTGGCACCCGTACGAACGGGACAGAGGGACGCACCTGACGTAGGGCAGCTGCAGCAGGTGCACGGGGGGCAGGACAGTGCCGCAGTCGAGGGCGAGCGCCCCCGGCACCGGCTCGCACTGGGACGCGAGCGACTCCAGCTGGGCGCACAGCTCCTGGCGCTCCGCCACGCTCAGGTACTCCAGCATCGCGTGCAGCAGGTAGCTCGTGTGCCTGCACAGCGGGCGACGGACCGGGGAGGTGAACGGACGGAGATGCCGCCCGACGCCGGCGAGGTGTTTGCAACGCGTCTATTCCTATTCCGCCCGTGCGTCGAAAGTGATCCCAAAGTGGCAGCAAATGACGTCGCACAAGCAGGTGCGTCGCGCTGTCGAATGCTGCGATCCTGACTGTTGGTTGTGGAAGTTTCGGCAAAAAGCATGAGCGAACACGAGTGCCGCCGTCGTTGCAGCGTCCCAACTCCTGGGTGCCGAAGCTTCCGTGGACTGTCAAACTGGAGAGCAACTTGCAGCAGAACAAGTGTCTGCCAGATCCACCTCTGCTGCTGCGTCACCGCCAAGATCGCAGCAAGCAACGACGTTACACTTCGGCGACGTCGTCGCACATCATTCGAGGGACCACGTTCAAGGACGGAGTAAACACACCGGTTCAAGACGCGTTCCAGGTGTCGTAAGAATGGGGATGCCTCACCGGACGGCAACCTGGAGGTTGCCCATCTTCTTGGCCGTTACTATCAGGTCCTCGAGCAGCTGGATCTGGATCCTGGGCCAGCCGTTCATGCAGTCTGCGAGCCGACGAGAGAGTGACGGACGAGATGTCAGACTGCGCGGGCCGCTTCCCAACTCGATTCAGCCGTGACGACTGATCGAGCACGAGCCGCATCGGACCAGCTACACTCGATGAAGAGCCAAGAATTCGGTAGGTGCACTCTGCCTCCAACACACACCCGGTGCTTTCCACGGCGCTTCAGCTGCACGCGCGATGAATGTTTATAAAAAACAGAAAGCTCGTGCTCGAGGCAGGGCATCTACCGAATTCTTGACCTGTCACCGACCTCAGTGCCTTTTAGAAATAATTTTAAACAGCGTCACCTAAATGTTGTTTCACTCAAAACCAGTTTTCAGAAAACCGCGTGCACAATTTTATAAGGTCACTGTCATCGCTGGCACTCAGAAAAAGGGGATGATGATGATGCCAGGGTGGCACCATAAGCGTGGCTTTGAACGCAAGAACTGCCCCCGTCAAACTGGTTTAACCCTGTCATTCTTCGTTTATTTTATTACTTTGCCCATTACCAAATATTACGCCGCATTATAAAATTATACCCACTCTTGGACTGTCGGGAAGGGTCCAGGTTTAGCCGATACCCGTCCAGACTCTTCAGCAGAAGCTGGTAGCACTGCAAACAAGCGGATCACAAACACACAATTCTGAGAGGGAAAGAAAAACACTGTGCACCTATGCTGCCCTTGACGAACGTCAGCAGCAAACTCCCCAAACTGAACGCTGCTCCCTCTGCATTAACGCCGTTATAACCAAGTCTGAAAGAACAGGTAGTATTCACTGGAAACGTTTGAACATCTCATCCCTACCACATGCCCAGATTGAGCTCCTATTTGTACATGCCTGATTCTAACACACACTTTTTTTTTTGAGACATGGTTACCTAAAAACTGCCTGCACGTTGCAATCAGACACAAAACCGAAATCAGGGCCACGTTTGAATCATTATTCTTGAGTATAAAAACTGGGTGCACATTAAAGCCAGGGGCACGTTAGGAGTAATAGAGTAAATACAGTTTCATCTCCCAAAAGCATCTATCTTCCGGGGTCCAATGCACACTGCAGGGGCGCTGTGGCACCATGCATTCGCCACATACCCACCAGAGAAGAACTCGGCTACGGATGGCGGCAAACACCACACATTGGAAATTTCTGCAAGGCCCTCTGCTGGCATGGATGCCAGGATGGTTCTGAGAAGCTCGAGGTCATGCAGACTGCAGAGTGCTCAACCCACCTGGGAGGGGTTGGGACCCGGCCCAGCCATGCACTTGACTGCAGCCACCCGGGTGTAAAAGGCAGCCTTGCGCTGGAAGCCCACCTCCGAGTACAGTCGGGCCAGGGACGCATACCACTCCACCTGGGCGGAGAAGACCCCCAGCCCCAGGACCGGCGCTACGGTGACTCGGCAGAATACAGGGTGGGCCTTGCCACATGCACTTTGCCTCTACTTTCCAAATTGCTTGAACCTAATCTGGAGTGCTCTGTCCCTAATGTGAAGCTTTTACGACTCTAAAATGAAGCCTCGAGGACAGGCAGTTTCAGATAGCAATGGCTCCACTCGCTTTCTATACTCTTATTCCGAATGACCCGAGATGTCTTGGACATGACAAATTTCCAAGAGCAAGCTGATTTAATGCTGCAAAACTAAACAGACTAGACTCGTTGGCATTATCTTGCCCACATATATAACATGCTGCAATGCTGTTGGGGCAAATATGCCATCTGTTGCGGGTCAACACCATATGATACGCCGCCACGCTGTGGGCAAACAAGAACGTCCGTTGGGACGTTGGTCCCACCTCCTGCAGGCTGGCAATCTGTGGTCTGCCGGACTTTGCGGATAAAGGAACGCTTCTGATGCTGAGGGAGCCTCACCTTTTCCGATTCTGTCAATGGCAGGTTCATGGAGACAGCGTTCTGGAGGAACTCGGAAGCACTCATGTACCTCTGAAAACGAAACCGAAAGATGCTTTCGAGTTGCACCGGCGGCCCCAGTTTGGATGCTGACCAGCTCACAATAACAAATGGCATTCCAAGTTTGGACTGGACGGTCTGGTCCCTGATCCTTAATGACAAGCACCCGACCGCAAGTCCAGCAAAAAGTGACCCAAAAACTGTATGTCACGCACATAGTGCTCCACATCGGGGCAGCAACTAAAGTATGTATGCTCCAACGCGAGGAATCGCCTTATTTTTGCTTTTTAGATGATCAGGAGTTGTAACCTACGCCAAAACAAAGGTACAACAGTTTTGGATTGCGTGAGCACAGGCCCATCGTCTGAGAGGTGCGTTTTTCTCGACGAGCTGATGTGCTGCGGGGAGGCGTCCTCCCCAAAGTCGAAGGTGTCCGTTCGCAATGGTGCACCTGAGCTGCTACGAAAGCCTATTTAAGGGGTTGCAGTAGTCCGCAACAAACTCGAGAAAACATTAAGATTTCTCTATAGTTACTATCGAAGCCAAAGGTCAAATCAAATTTGTTGACATTTGAACTGACATCCCAAAGTTTTCAATATACCGTAACTAGTGTTTAGTGAAAACGGGGTGGGCACTCCCCCGGTATTTGACAGTAGGCGGGTATTTGCAGTCTCGCTGATCGTAGACGAGCTTACGAAGTGCCAAACACAACAAAATCTCCCTTGAACTAGATGAACATTCCGAGCCAAAAAACATGGCCCCTTAGATCTCCAATTCGTTTCCATCTGGATCTTGCAAGGCTCTTTCGTTGCAAGACCCGGGCACTGAACACGTTGCCTGGTTCCGACATCCAGGCACAGAACGTTTTTTTTTGGTTGTGACATCCAGGCGTGAAACTTGTTCCTGGTCGCGAGATGTGGGAACGGAACATCTTTCTTGGCGTTCTAAGTTGGACGCACGGCAAGAAAGTTGGCAAGATCACTGACCACCACGACTGGCCAGTACCAAGGTCGAGCGCGGTGCTCACCAGTTGCGGCAGTCGGCGACCTCGCCGACTTTTTGGCAGGCGTCCAACTTACAACCTCTCAAGATCCGGGAGTGGGTCGTGTTCCCTGTGACCGTTCCGGCAAGCGACAGTGAGATTCCACGGTACCTCGTGAGCAGCCAGGAAGCGTGCTGCCTTCATGTTGCACTCGGTGTGGACTGCCACGACGTGCGAGTACTTGGCGTAGTGGGCCGTGGCCTCGCGGAGCCGCTCCGTCATCTCGTCCAGGCTCAGCACTGCCCGCCCGGCAGCCTTGTACTCAGACGGCTCGGTACCGTTGGGTAGGCTGCGGCTCAGGGACCCTGCGCACGACGCGAAGGGGTTATGAATCGCTCACGAGATCAAGGAGACAGCAACAAGATTTTCAATTTTTTCTTTTAATGCGTCAAAAAAGAAGAGTAAACGACATTGAAATTAAGAAACAGTTGTTAGTCAGTGCTGCATGAGTGTCTCCCTTCTGTGCAAACTGTGCGTCTGCTTTCGCGCACCGTTACGTTGGAGGCATATAGAGGTTCCGGCCGAGAAGCCCCACCTGGCCTGGGCTGCCTGGCCTTGGGGAATGAAGCGTTGCGTTGCAGGGGCACCGCCTGGGGGCTGCGGGGCCACTGCAGCGCCAGCGAGGCCGCTCCCTGGCCCTCGTAAGCCGCCGCCAACCACAGCCAATCCGGCACCGCCCGGAGCAGCTCGATGGCTTCGCTGTACAGTAGCAGGGCCTCGTGGGCGAGCCCCAACTGCAGGGACAGATCTCCCAGGTGCTTGCGCATGCGCCCCTGGCACCGCTTCTTAAATGGCCTGCACGTGCAAAGAATATTTTATGTTTGAGTTTACACAGCGAAAGGTGACACTGTTTCGTGCCATAGACGAAAAGCACAGCCAATGCAGCACCGCTGCAAGCCTAAGGTCTTTAACGTGCACCCCAAACTAACAATATACGGCCGCAAGCCGGTACGAAGCTCATCCAGGTCGAAACGGGCAGGGATGGGGATTGAACCCAGGATCCCTGGGTTCTGCGGCGCAAGCTTTTGCTCCTTGTGCTCCGAGCTGCGGTGCACCGACACACTCGGCCACCAATTGCCCCCACCCACGCGGGAGGAGACCTGCGAGTATAGCTCGTGCAGGCAGTGGGATAGCTCCACAGTAAAGGACGGTATAGACCGGGGTTCCCAAACTTTTCAGCCTTGAGGAACCCCCATCTCTCTCTATTTCTAGCCGAGGAACCCCTCCTGGTGTCAGTACTGAAGCAATAAAAAGCAACAAAGCGGTACAGGAGCCTACAGACTTCGGTAACAATGGTGCACATACTATAGGGAGGGTTAAGTAAATAATTGTGCATCAATGAAAGCTCAGACCTAATAAATTGGTCCTTAAACTGGAAGAACACTCTACTTAGAGGTGGGGATGGCCGAGGAATTTTGGAAGCTCGGGTAAACTACCCAACGGTACTTTGGGGTCTGGGGAACCCGGTTTCAGGACCCGCGAAGTAGAAACTGCTGCGAGCAGGTTGCTCACCGGGACTCTGTGTCCAGGCCGACGAAGTCCTTGCTCTCGAAGGGGGCCTTGAGGAGGGGGAAGCGCTCCAGCTTCTCGAAGGAGCGGTCCAGCCTCCTCGACTCGAGCACCCAGACCAGGGAGGCCGCAAACTCCTGGATGTCCCGCTCCAGCTTGTCTCCCTCCAGGTCGGGGTACACCTGGGCACGCCACGTCCGTTACACACTCGAGGCCCCCGGGGGGGGCGGGGGAGGAAACTTACTTGCGACACACGCACTCTTTGACCCCGCTGTGTAATGGCACCTAGAGCTAGCCAGTAAGCTACGCTTCAGAGTGACGACAATACTTCAAGAGCCCATTCACACGGTGCCCACCGAATAGCCTCTCTCCGATTCCCCGACTTTTTCAGGTTTTCCCCAAATATTTTGATTGAATTCCTTAACCATTGCAGACCAAGAAAATGTAGAGGGTGGGGTTACAGTGGCTGTTCTGGCTATTCCTGTTTAATCCGTCGAATTCGGTGATGGCTTACGCTGCCCAGTGACGCCTCAGGCAACCGTTACTTGGTGTGAAGGCCAAAGCATGCCATATCTTCCCGCTTTGTCGAGTGTCACTACGCCATTCACCATCACCCATTTTCCTCAACTTGGCCAACTTTTCGACGATTTCCCTACCAATTCCCCGATGTTTCCAGATCTTTTTAATAGTAGACCTTTTGGCGAATATGTGTTGCCACCTAGACACACGACTGGGTTCGAGACTAAGTGGCTAGAAAACAACGCGCGTACAAGGCCTCTCCCACCTGTTCGACAACCAAGATGTCAGCGACATCGTGTTCGCCCATTAAGCCGCTGTAACCTAAATACGCCTTCTGAAACTCGCCTTTGTCCCCATCGTGTGTCATCTATCTTCTGCCCCAAAGTCGACACGAAGAAACCATCTTCCCTCTCTGCTCGGCCAGAAGGAAGAGAGAGAGGGTACTAGAACCATTTACCCTCGAACCGATGTTTCTACAAAAGGTCCATTCCCTCACAATAGACCCTTTACGAAAGTCAGTCTACCCACCTTGTGCAGAGCCAGACCCGACGCTCTAATGGCGGAACTACACTGTTTCTCCACACCAGAAAAATCGAACGTCTTCGAAAGCATAGAGCAGAAAAAGGAAAAGATGTTGGTCCTTTCACGTCACCTTCGATGCACGGAATCGAGGGTGTTTGATTTAGCCGCGCATGATCTCCTATCACCGCCATTAGAGCGGCAATAATGGAGCTTTTAATACTGCCACAAGAGGACTCTGACTTTTGAAAAGGGTCTATTCCAGGTTGGTAAACAGCCTGATTCAAGGTCGCTACAGGGGGGGGGGGACTTTACAACATAAAGATTAGTCTAAACGCAACAATAGACAATGAAAATAAACAACACTCTCAAAAAGCTTGTACGAAAAATTAAGAGAAAGACAAATCGGAGAAATTAGATGTAAAGAATATTGATACCGATTATCAAACACGTGTTCACAATGCACAAAAAAAAAATGATTTCAACATGAAAAAACATGAAACACAGATGTGTACTATACTCATTTTCATCTCAAGAAAAAAGCAAGTTTTGCATATTATTCATACGCGGCGCGTAGTAGTTCTTATGAGATTTGGTTGCCGGAGGAAAAAGCGATGCTTTTGGCATTGGCGGCAATGTGTACGTCTTGATAAGACAACATATATCTAATCTCAAATGCACCCACCCACATATCTCAATTCTCTACATATAATCAGTACTGCTGCACGAGGAGCCGGACCTTTTTTACTACAGTTCTTGAGGTGAAAACGGGTATAGAACTGTATAGTCAGCAATCCACGGAACTCAGCCACTGAGCAACAACATGACGTGGCAAAAATAAAAAGCGCCATAAAAACAGTCAGTGTGCGGAGCACTATCACGGTGAAAAAAAAAAATGAACTCCCTGTAACGCCGAATTAGAGCACAGCTCTTGAGGAGGAGGAGGGAAGTGTACTGAGGTTCACGTGTTCTCGGTGGTGGGGGGTCACGTACCTCGAGGGGGCGGGGGGGGGGGGGGGGGGGGGGGGGGGGGGGTCGCGTGACCTGGGGGGGCATGTGACCCCCAGAGAAATTGTTCCGCTAAATCTAGCGGAAACATTTTTCCGCTAAATTTAGCGAGGATATTTTTTTGCTAGGTTTAGCGGGGAACTTTTCCGCTAGATTTAGCGGGGAAATTTTTCCACTAGATTTAGTGGAGAAATTTTTCTGCTAGGTTTAGCGGGAAAATGTTCCGCTAGATTTAGCGGGGAAACTTTTCCACTAGTAGATTTAGTGGGGAAATTTTTCCGCTAGATTTAGTGGGAAAATTTTTCCTCTAAATTTAGCGGGTAAATTTTTTTTGCTAGATTTAGCGGGGAATTTTTCCACTAGATTTAATGGGAAAATTTTTCCGCTAAATTTAGCGGGGAAATTTTTCCGCTAGGTTTAGCGGGGGAATTTTTCCGCTAGATTTAGCGGGGGACTTTTTCCGCTAAACTTAGCGGGGAAATTTTCCCGCTAGATCTAGCGGAGAAAGTTTCCGCTAGATTTAGCGGGGGAATTTTTATGCTACATTTAGAGGGGAAATTTTTCCGCTAGGTTTAGCGGGGAAATTTTTCCGCTAGATTTAGCGGTTAAATATTTTCGCTAGATTTAGCGGGGAAATTTTCCCGCTAGATTTAGCGGGCAAATAATTCCGACGGGTTTTAGCGGGGAAATTTTTCCGCTAAATTTAGCGGGGAAATTATTCTGCTAGATTTAGCGGGGAAATTTACCCATAATGCACCGCGCGGTTACGCCGACGCTGCTCAAGCCGGAAACGGGTGCCTAAAGGCCTGTTCACACTTGCGACTTGGGGCAGTCGCTGGAGCGACTAGCGACAAGCGACTGGCGACCACCAGTGTTCACACCTGATTGAGCGACCGACGAGTCGCCAGGCTCGCTGCCAACTTAACGGATAGTAATCAACACCTTTTTGAGCCGGCTGAAAGGTTTTTCTGATCAAAGGTGCCGGCAGGAAAAAACAAGAAAACGTAATGGTACTTCGGAACGTAAAACAACGGCTATATGTGTGCTTCCTCAACCGTGATATTGTATGTACCTGCCAGCCGAAAATGTCGCCGATCTCGTTTTAGGCCTGCAGCTTTTTGCCCCGATCCCTGTGGCCGGGGTGCTGCTTATTGTAAAGAAACAAATAGTCTTTGACAGCATTAATAAGAGCTTCTGCGGAGAACTCCGTCCCAGTGACTGCCGCCGTGCGCGCGTCGCTATTTCCCGCGGGAAGCAGTGTCGGATGTAAACAAACGCACACATCACTTCCGACGAGACTCTGATTGGCTCTGCCGTCCAGCGACTCGGTTTTGCGACTTGAGAAATCAGTCGGGGAGCGACTTCCCAAAATCGGTCGCTATTGACAATCAGTCGCTAGTCGCTGGTCGCTCTAGCGACTGTCGCAAGTGTGAACGGGCCTTAAGAGCTGTGCTCTAAAATGATTGCAATGAGCACTACGACTGATTGTAAAGCGATTGCCTGGGCTGCACATGAGTCTGCGTAGAAGACATCTCAATCACCATCTGAGGCCCCTTTTTACAACAAGACGTCTGGAAAGAGCCACAAAAGTGACGGTCACTCACAATGCACTGGGTGCTCCGCAGCTTTCCCGTGAAGGGGGTCCTCTGGACACGGTTAAGTCGAGGCGGAGAGCTGCTGCCGTTGGCCAAGGGCGTCGCATCGTCACACCCGCTGCTGCCAGATGCGACCATGTCGCGAACCTCTCTGTGATTGGTCAGAGCCTCCTGGGGGTAGAGAATTTGTGGCTTACTCCCACAACTCGGCACACTTAAAGCCACTGTGTAAGCCAAAAGTAACGACATTCGTTGTACAAATGAGCGCGACACAAGCCGAGCATCAGATCCAGGTAGAAGATAATGCATTCATGGTTCAATACACGTTCCAGGCTTCCATTTTATTTCAATGGTTACTTCCACTACAGTGCCGTGTCGCCGTGATTTTGGCAAGTTCTATATGAATCATGTGCAATGAGCAATGACACACCTGAAGCAACTTTTAACCCATCAGATGCATTCTAGAGCCACCTTGTGGCATCGTGGCACATTAAACCCCACAAAGTAAATTGCCGCGATCTCGCGAGCATGCTTATTTCAGCTCTGGTTCGCCTCGTTACTACTCCTTGTTTATTTCTGCCACTTTTGACAACACGTTTCGCAGCACCCTACTCGGATGTGGCATTCAAATTGGCAACCCTAGAGAGCGGAATGGTGGGGAAAGGGGTGTCAATGACCATTTCAAGAGAGGGAGAGACGGAGGATGTTTACCCCGGGCTGGCCGTCACAGCCGTTCATCTCGGCTGCTTTGGCTTCCTGGCTGCCCTTGGACCAGCGTCCGACACCAAGCGGGTCTGTCTCCTCGTTGGGTGATGTGGGGCTTGCTTCGTCTGCTGGACAGCTTTCCTCCGCAGAGTTACTTGGGGGAGGTTCCTCCGTGCTGCAAGTGGGAGGCACAACTGTCCTTTCACGATTGAGAAAGTCAAACGCCCGAGCAACAATGGACGCTCAACAAAAAACCAAACTTACCCCCTCCCACTCCCCTCGAGACTGCGAATAAAATTACGAGAATTATTTCTAAAGACGGCGTTCTTTCACTGCCCAGGATGCACCATACGCCGCCAAACACTTTTTACAAACATTTTAGGTGAATATTGCTTCGAGAAATAGACCGTGTGAGAATCCTGTCGCTTCTCCGGGCTGTTGTCATGGTTGGGGGAAGAGGGGACCGCAATTCGACAGAACTCCAGGCGTGTGCACTAGGTGAGATTGTTAGAGCAAACGCGAAATTGGCCCTTTTTTGCATTTTACTTCAAAAGGATACTGGCACACACCAATTTTTACCAATACTTCAGCTTCAGCGAGTTGGTGGTTCGTGTTTACACTTCACAATGCACAAGAGCAGACGCACTTAAAAAAATTACACTCACACTACGCTGACTCTCAACTCTGGTTTGTATTGTGCTTCCTCTTCATCTTCTTTTACTCTCATATATAAAGAACTAGTCCAAGCTATGGCTGATATAACTAGGTAACCTTCCTAAATAGTCTAACTTTTTTTGGTGAAGCTATCAAAGGGGTGCTAACACGTAAGCTATCCAGCGTGACAATGTTAGCGGTTCCTATGATTTCTCGTGTCGGTTTGTTATTGCTCCTGCCCAATACGGTGCAGTTGGCCAGAAGTGGAGAACACCCGCAATCTCGGCAGTGGATTCCTAAATGGCCCGAGTCAGCCTCGATGGCATTGTTATTGTGTTCACCTCACAGATGGCGCCAGTATATTCTCTCGTCGTAAGAAGTCACAGGAACTCGACAAACACAAGTGTGTGAACGGGCATCAAGATGCACCAAGGAACTAACTAAACAAGTAGATCAACGACAATTAAATAATAAAAAACAACCGTCGACCTAGAAGTAACAAACGCCTCACCCGTCTGCGAGCGAGTCGAGGCCGAACACGAGGCAGCGAGAGTCGATGGCCGTCTTGTACTGCTCCTGCAGGGCAGAGTGCAGACGGCACACCTCCTCCAAGCCCGCCTGGTCCTTGCACTGGCCTAGAACCGCCGGCACAACTCCGTTAGTATTACGCTCCCCAGAAGGCTTCTCCGACCGGCGTGTTTAGCGTCCTATCCCGCCCACGCATCGAAAACTCTTACGTCGTCGTTGGGCGGAGATCGAGGGACCACTTTTTTTGGACACGGTAAACGCACCGGTCAGAGATGTGTAGACGACGCCGGGGGGCGGCGAGGCGCGCACTCACCGATGGTGAGCAGGCCGAGCACCCTACGGTGAGCCTGGAAGTCGCCCCAGTCGCTGGCCTCCACCGGGTATGAGCGGACGTAGCGCAGCCAGACCGTGCGGCTCCCCTGCTGCTGGTCGTTGAGCCGGGTGTGGCACAGCCGCGAGATGCGCTCCCACGCACGCCCAAACACCCGGCCGCTTGTGTCCGGCCCTGAAGAGACGCGTGCTTTCTTGTCAGACAACGAAGACGACGCGGCCTTTGGCTGGCCACATTGGTCGGTAGCACGTCGGAGAAACAAACACAAACTATACTCCGTTTCGCTTGAAGTCTGATCGCAGTCAAGCGGCTGTGATCGGAGTTAAAAAGGGCATGGTCACGGCGCTCATCACTCTTGTCTGTTGGCAATCACCGACTAAACCAGTCACGCACAGTGAAGCCTCTGTGATCCAGCGCATTCTTTCTGCACGTGACGGTTCAGCCAGTGATGGCGAACCCAGAAAGAAAAAGAGCGCCGTGAAGATGCACTCCGGCTCTGCTCGACCAGCTCCGTCGGATTGCGGTGTCCGCTGCAGTCGGACTTAAAGGGAAATGGAGCATAGTGCAAAGCGAAGCACAAATAGCGTCACGGACAAGGACGAGTCGAAGTAGTCGGGAGTAGAGTTGCCACGTAAGCTACGCTTCGAATTACCGACACTTCAGCCATCTTGTTGCTTAAAATCACCGTTGTCAGCTGTCTGAAGCCTCGTCTGATATTGCAGGAGAGGCTTTTCAGTCTTTGGGAAATATCGAACCAGTCCACGACGGAGAAAAACAATAACAGACGAGCTTCGCGACACCGTATTAAAAGTGCAGAAAGTCACATTTTCTGATCGTAGTCATCGCCAACTCTGTGCACGCCCAGCACTAGGCAACAGAATGGCGGCGTCCACGAGGCAACCGAGGAAGGGGGCATCGATATTTGAAGCGTAGCATATTTGGAGTCTCCAGTTGAGACGACAAGAGTATGTCCTGGCCATAATGATATCCATGTTTCGGTGTGTTTATCCAACTACCTTAGCAGTTCATTTTGGTCTAGGGAAAAGGTTTACACCCAGCCGCAGCCAGCGCTGCCAACTGGACCCAGCACCAAATGCAGTGACCACCTTTTCCTGGCAACCACTTTTAAGCCAAGATGACCCGTCACTGCTCATTGCACATATCTCCGGTAAGAAGGCCAGAAACGAGTCACTGAGCCCCCAGAGCTTTCCAGTGATGGCTATGTGCAGTTTTGCATGCTCGCACAAGTCAAAAACAACACAGGATAGAACGGACGCTGCCATTCACTAGCCATTGTTGGAGGAAACGTCACAAGCCCCCTCCGCACCCCATCCAGGGATCTGCCCTCCTCCCGTCTAGCATGGGTGTGTCCATGGAGAGAAACAACAGGTATGTGCCCGGATCATATGCTGAGCCAGCACAGTTCGCCTTTGGTTATTCCTGCTTACTGTTCGCTTCGAAGAACCTGTTCGATGGTTTAAAATCACCGTGGCAAAGGCAACGCTCGTGGCAGCAACACCGACAGCACGAAAGACCAAATCACGTCACTACAACCTAATCACAGACGCCCTGTGTGGCGTTCACACGGCTCACGGCCACTTTTCCTGCTGACAGCGCATACACTTCATAAACTTCGTGCTGGTCAAGTGGCGGCTCTCAGCAGGCTCAAGGTAAGCCCGTGACTCGAACACCACGAGCGAGATTACCATCACTGGACCGGGTGCGCGCAGCACGGCACCGCTCGAGTGCGGATACCAGTGGGGGCGTACTCACCGAGCGTCCTGACGAGGACCAACAGACACTGGTGGTCTTCCACGCGGGCCTCGTAGTCCACAAAACTCATCGCGAACGGGTGGTGGGGTACTTCCGCGTCCCCTAAAACACCGTCACTCTGGTGTCAGGCGTCCACTATCGCGTCCTCATCGCCTCGCGACCTTGTCCGACGTCCAACGGCGGCTGGAACTCGCGACCACTGCATGACCGACGGCAACGGCCACGATTGCGTCCTCCGACATGGTGGAGTCCCACCTTTTCGACGCTTCTTTTCTTTTTTCACCGTTTGTGCAATCGTGCAGTGGGATGCTCGTTGTTTTGGGACAGTCGTCAACGCGAGCAGTCTAGCTTCCTCGGGGAGGTTGTGTCGAGTAGGGGGGTGCGATGACTCATCGCAGTGGTCGGCGGCGGCCCCGAAGGCCGCGTTGGTGCACGCACGGTTCGGCGCTAGGGCTTTGCGAGTGCTCGTCGATTGGATCGCGCACTTTCATCGTCGTTTTCCGCTACTTGGAGAAAATTGCCGTGACATAAAGAATCAGAACGGCCCTTACAACAGCACGGAAACGTTCACCATATGATCGACTTGGGAACGCACAGCGGTCGTAGCGGTAACTAACGTTTCCGCCAAATTTGGTGATAGTTACGTGCGTTTGAATCGAAAGTAGTCCGAAGCAGTTGGTTTTCGTCGTATATTAATATATAGTTGCGAGTTAGGTTGACAAACAAAGGCAATTGCTTTGTATTTTTATAGATGTCAAAATACACGATATTCGTTGAGACGTCGGTGGTTTCGTTTTTAGACGCGCTGTGCGTGTTGACGCTGCGCACTACTCTGAAAGGTAGGGCTACTGTTCGCTGCACGGTTACAACAAAACATGTCAAACCCAAAACTAAAAGCGTAAGAAAAAAAAAAAAAAAAAAAAGAAGATTGGGGAAACTTTTTCAGGCGTTAAGCTTATATAAGGCTTTCTTATTGGATGTATTTGCTTGTTCTTTGCAGCAAAGCCGGTCAATTATTTATCTCGAACTTTCGCAAGCCTTCTCTCTTTGCCTCGAACTTCGCCACGGACTCAATCAGCCGCTGAAGCTCACGCAACTAGGGTGCCTACATGCTTGGAGCGGCGGAAACATGTAGGCACCCTACCCGCAACTAGGTGCAAGCTTACCGTGCATGCCGTTTTGGTTCTTTTTTGACGGTAAGACATGTTAGCTAAAGCAAAACAAGGCAATGTCTGCACGCTGAACCCGCACAGCGTGCTTGTTTATCTTGAGTTCAGTTGTTGCACAAAGCGCTCCAAGAACTTTTTGACCCTGACTTGCGATGTATAACTTTCTTTTTATGTATTCTACAGTGATAATGTTAATGTCAAGTTAAATAACTGTTTTTCAACTATACTTTAATATCTCATTATTACGATTATTCTTAGTTGTTAGTTTATTGTTTAGCTTTTAAGAGACTATCGCCTCTAACATCAAACTTTTTTTACTCAACGATCGGTTGGATATAATTAATTTAAAAAAGTAAGCAGTGAACTGTAGATATTATGCATATATTAAAATAAGAAAATAAAGTTTAAAATGGTATTATCTACGTCAACAAGTCACAATTTCGAGATATTAAATTACGAAGCATCCTTTGATATACATTTTCCAGGACTTCCATATCGATACATTACACGTAAGGTTTAGTATTATATTTAGACCTCAAACGTTTCTCATTCAGTTACGGCAAGTTGCAGTTTTTGGACGCGCCTCCATTGTGATCCTGAATCCCGTTTTCACCTCAAGAATGAGGAAAATGCGATGCTTTTGGCGTTTGGGACGTGTACGTCTTGATAAGATAACATATATCTAACCTACAATTCATCTACATGTATCATAATTCTCTACATAAAGGAGAAAAGCAGCAAAACTCCGGGAGAAGTCAAACTTTTTTTTTTTTTACAATAAAAACTTTATTTTTTGCGTGCAGTGAAACACGTGTCAATTCTTGTCAAAATTTAGTGGTGCTGCCATTTATCGAACATGATACCAAACACATTTAGATTCACTACTGACGCTGATTTTGGAGTTTAATTTACTGACCTCTTGCATGATATGCGTCGTTTTCTGTGTTTTGTCTGCCTTTCTGTTTCCAACGTGTTGATGTATATTAAACCCACTCCTCTCTGTAATTCCCCCGGGCCCCGAGAGAAAATCAATTAAATTAAATTTTAGAAAACAAATTCAAATATTTACTGCAAAAACAAATTTCAAGATTTTTCAATAAAATGTTTTCCGCCGCTCCAAACATGTAGCACCCTAGTTGCGGGAGCTTCAGAGGTTGCGCACCCAAAAATTTATCCCCACTTAAGGGGTTAATATAAAATACAGATCGTGACACGTGTTCAAGAATAGCTTGATGTACATTTGACATCGTGCGCCGCTGAACGCCACCTGAAAGACAGGAAAAGCGCGAGATGTTTGGGTGTCAGATGCCGTCGCCATTTTGGCTCATGAAATAAGCTATTTCTCCTTGACCTCTCCATTCTTGCTGAGCCCATCTAAATTCGTTGGTGGGTGATAGCTTTATAGAGACGTATACCGAGATTTTGCTGTCCAAACACCGACGAAACAAGCGTACATCTTCGTACCACTATTACGTGCAGTGCCGGTGCTTGGAGGCACTGAAAAATAATTTTCCTGTTTTGAAATACAAAAGAAAAACAATAACATTGTAAGAGATCCGTGGAGATGGATATGATTGATGAGTTGATTGCACACACAGCGCCAAAGACGTTTATATTGGCGAGGAACGCCTCCAGTGCGTTGATGCTACTTGGCGATCTTGATGTACCCTCAGGAAGCTTCGAAGGGGCCGAAATGGCGAAAAGCCACATACTGTTACCGTACCCAGGCAGTGTTTTCTTTTGTAAACAAATTCGCTATCGGGCGTACCCCTGCGCGCTTCCGGTTTAAATCTTGTTTTGTTCTTGTCTCACATCCTTCTGTTATTCCTCCCGCTCTCAATCCGCATAGGCGCTTACGAGCCAATTTAAATTAACGTTTACTTCTTCGATGAAATGCCGTCTTTACCAACCGCCCTGCGTTGAGAAAAAACAACTACAACAACAAATAAATGTAGGAAGTCTAGTGGACCAGAAAATAATAGAGCGACCTCCTCGTGCTGAGGCGGTCACCGACCAGCTTTTAATTGTCGAGCAGTCAACAGTGTCGTTGTAGTGTCGTGATTGCGTGCACGCCCTGGGGCGTTTGGATACTCGTTGTTTTTCTTCGTTTCAGTGTGTGCATAGGGTGGTGCCTGGTGTTTGTAAATCGTGTGGACAGCACCTTTCTTGTGGGTGTTCACACCAACAAAAACTTCCAGCCTTTCCACTCGGGTGAAGAGGAAAGGCCAGCGGAGCTGTACAATGGAAATTAATGGCCGGCCGCAAATCGGCAAGCCAGAGTGGAAAGGCTCCCGCCATCTATGAGTGAAGGCGGCAACCACACGCGTGGCTTGCCGCCGTCGCTCATAGATGGCTGTAGCTGTCCCGAGTTTTGTCTCGACATTTATTTAGTGACGGACACGATCCTGGGAAAACTTCGCCGGTAGCCCTTTCCTCCTTTCTCTCTCGCAATGGCGCTACCCACGATAAAACGGTGGCAGATCGCCACGAGACACGGCCGCCGAAATGGAAAAGGTAGAGCGGCAGACAACGGATAAAAGGAGAGCCTTAGGAGAGCCACGTGACTGGCGCCCCGCTGCAGCGAGACGCCGAAGCACACTTCTCCCGAGCGAACAAGTGTGTTTCGGGTCCTCGCCGCTGCAAAAGCTGTGCGCTTACGTACAGGTTCCCCGAGAAATGGCTTTTTAATGCTCTGTGCTACCAGATCCTCGCGCTCCAAATCTGCGACCGGGCACTCTAAGGCTCTGTCGTCGGACTGCCAGGCTTTGCGAGTGAGCAGGCTATGACTGTACCAACGCGGTACGCGAGAATGGGCAAACCTTGTACTTGTTAGAATTAAGTTTTTCTCTCTTTCTTTTTTTCTGCTGTCCTCCTTCACATGAATGGGAGGAGAAGCCAAGGAGCTAAGCAGCGCGGAGGAGAGACGACGAAACGGCTCGTGCTCTGATGCCACTGGGACGTTAGCTTCCGCTCAAGAAAGAAAAAAAAAAACGGTTTTGCGCAGAATGAATATTAAGTTAACGTTGTTTTTCTTTTCGCATTCAACGGAAGAATTTTTAAAGAGGTGCCCTGAGACAAACTAGGGGAAATGTACACCCCCCTCTTCCCCCCCCCCCCCCCCCCCCCCGCTCCTCCCGTAGGGGTAGGCAGGTAAATCGTATACACCAACTCATGTTTACAAACAAACCGGAGCGCCCGGAGCGCCCCTAGCGGACGCCACCGGCGCCGCGCATGCGCGATGGGGGTGTGGGCAAAAAGCTCGCCGTCGCCCATAAACAAACCATTGAAATGCGATGTTGTCGGCGCCGGTGTGAGTCCCCGCGCTCTTTTTCGCGTTGGAACTGTTGATTCTACGTCCTCCTAACGATGTCTGACTACTTGAGCAGCGTCAGCGAAATTAACGAAGCTCGTTACACCGCAAAACTTCGCGTGAATAATCTGGCACGCGGCGATTCATTCCGCGCGGACGCCGCAGAACGTACGCTAAAGCCTGATTCACATGATGAGATTTCGCTCGCTATTTTCAGTAGCGACATCGCTCGGGCTGCAAAAGCGTGAACCGTAGCTGAGATGGTCGACGTCGATACTGAAAATCGCAAGCAGAATCTAACCAAATGAATCAGGCATAACACGTCGGTGATGGCCACTGGTAACAATGATCAACATCTCCTTGTATCTACTGTTTACGTCGAGCCTGCTTACCAACCTTCAAACTTAAGTCTTTTAAGGCCTGCACTTAATTCTTATCGCAAGTACCGGGCCCACGTTTCGCCTACGGGCCGGTGTCCTCTAAAAGAGCAGACGACAAGCAGAAACGTTTGCAAGAGCAGACGACAGTTCGAACGATCAGGCGACCGTTTGAACTTGAAGACGCACTAAACGTAGTCCGCAGGTGGTCCGTACAACTTGACGGTTTTCCGGCGTTCATTTTGGAACCAAACAAATAAATTTGATGGCCAGTAGTATCCGTGAATTTAACCCAAAATGCTTCCCGCCCAAGCAATCGTTGTCCGACGGCGTCTGGTTTTCCCTTTTCACGGCACATATCCGCGTTCTCGGACGAACCGAGCGCATGAAAACTGACCTTCAAACCTTTCTCGACTCTCTTGGTACAGCCCCAGTCGCAGCATTTTGACGACAAGGCAGGTTTTTGTATGGTTCCTTTCAAAACAACGCAGGAATACACGTCTCAAATGGGCACTTCCGCCCACAGCCCCAGACCGGAAGTGCGTCCGACGCGCCACCACCGCGCCGTGACGTAACAGAGATGAGTTGGTCTTCGTTGCGGAGAGCACAGTCGAGAGGGAAAAGCGGTCTAGGAAAACTCCCTATTAGGGAAACAAAGAGTAGATCGCACGTGCTTGAGGCTTGTCGGCGTCGGTTATTTTTGTTTGTCGCTCTATACTTCATCTCACCTTAGCATGAACTATTGTTAATCGCGCGTGCTA